CGAAGGAGTTTGGAGTGTTGACCGTAGTGTCATTGTAGAAAACAGGATCAAGTCAGGAAACTCCATCTACGTAGGAAAATTACAGAATTTGAAGAATAATCTTAGTCTCACATTCTTCTGTCAAGTGTAAAATAATTTATATTACTAATTTCCAATTCGCACGTAAACTACAAACTCTGCACCCCGTCCCATGTGACCCACTTCTATGGGTTCATTATATACGCAAGAACTCTGGAAAAATCCAAAAGTATTCAGTGTTTAGATTTTGGTTGAAAGCTGAAAGGTTTGGTTACGGCCTGTTTGGGCTGCTGCGCCTGGAGACTTTTTTCCCTCAATCTCAGTGCGACACTGCTTGCGGCAGAGCTGACATTGTGCATTTTGCTGCAGCAGGCCTCTAGTTATTCATTGGAAACCATACTTTGTTCTTTGTTTTCATGGAAACAAGTATTGTAGAGTGTTTTGCGCGACACAATAAAAATGCTGAGAAATTAGTAACAAATACCCTAACTTTTTCTCTAGGGGAAATATCTTCAAATGTTATCGGGTGAGGATTTTTTTAGAAACCTCAGAGAAGCAGAGACGTGCATTGGGAATTTGTTTTAGGAAGTGGAAGGCATCCCTAATATTTATCCGTATGGCCTATTCCGTGTATTTAACATCTTTGGGAAAAGGAACTCTGGAAGTGAGTGGCAGGAAGGCCAGCCATTTTACACAATCGGACGGAACGCAGCACCCCTGATGACGTCGTGGGCGCCTGGGGGCCCGTTGTCAGCGCGCGAGGACCTCGCGTGCGCCGAGAATAACCTTGCTTGTGTTCGGCCCTTCGCCCTCCCGCTGCCGGAAATAGGGGGCGACACCGTCGACTCCATCTCGGCCAGTGCGAAAAATACTCGCCCAAGTGCTGTGGTGTTGGTCGCGTAAAATATATCAAATTTTAAAAAGTTGCTGTTGGGAGGTTTGGCTCTTGGCTTCAAGAGAAATTGAACGCGGATTTTATTAGTTTTGAAAATGGGGTCACCCGGGGTCGTCTTGCTGTTATGTACGTAGCACAGAACTTAACAAACGCATAAATGACTCATTGCCGTTTCATGGGTTAATGAAGCGCTTTCTAGATTTTTTTTAGGATGCCTAATTCTCGGACTGTGAACATGTCTGTAGCTTTTAATGTCGGTAATAATTTTAACATTAATGAACAAAGTCGCCAAATATCGCCTTGAGTTGGGACGTATTAAAAAACACGCATTAAGTCTAATAGGGTGGGTCTAGAATATTGGAGAATTATGTAATCAGCGTTTTGTGTAGAGCACAAACTAGTGTTTATGTGAACAGAAATATTTTTTAAAAAAGGAGAAGTCTGGTATGTTAATTCCATAAGTCAGTGTTCTTTAATTGTTTGGCATGGGGCTCGTGAATGGTTTCATTACGGATGCTGGAGAGCCAGTGCGGCGTGGCGAGGAGAGGAGGGTGAAGGTTCGTTGGCCGTGCAAGACATCGGGGATCGTCTGCCGACGGAGGCTGCATTGCACGTCCGATTATGACTTGTTGAAGGCGACAGGTTCCTCGCCCCCTAGTGTGCGCATGCGCAAGTGCGATTCGGAGAGAGATTCCTAAGAATGGGACTCCGTGCTGGTATAGATAGAGAATTCAGACGACGTGCATGTGCGCTATGGGATTTAGTGAAACGGCGCCATGTCGCGTAACAATTACGGTGAATTCCTTAACGTACTCTTAGAATGAAAGTATGCTAGAGGCAATCTGCATTTGTTAACCCTACCAAAATCACTTCTCGAATGAATATTTGTATTTAATGTCAAAACCATTAGATTTTTATAAAATTTATGTAAAAAAAATTAAAAAGCCCATTGATCGTCAAAAGGTAGGTGTTAAGATATTGGACTAAGGATTGAAATAGGTTTATTTCCAAAATGTATTCTGAATATTAAATTTTCGAGTGAAGTCAGATTTTTCAAAGAAAACCGTAGTCGTTGCAATAACTCAAATAGTAACAAATGCACGATAAATTGCGCTGTTTTTTAAACAGAAAGCTCATCATAAACAATAGGATGATTTCCAGCTGCCTGAAAAAAATAAATTATAACTCAGATTTCAATGTCGTGTCCTACGAGAGCTAAATACGAAAACCTTAAGTCGCAACGAAGCTCCCTATTGGAGGACCCCTCCTTTCTGTTCGTAATGTTAAATGAACACTACATTTAAATAGGAATTAGTGAAGGGCTCTGGGGGTCACTATCATTCACTCAAAAGTTATAGTTTTGTGATGCTAAACTTTGGTAGGCTTCCATCTGCTGTCCACGCTCTGTGATTGTCAAATAGGCTAAATTATGGTGCATAGTTATCTCCCAGCTGTTGTCTTTGTCCCCCTTTTAAACACCTCCCAGGGAAAATGTTCACTTGCGTATACAGTCGACTCCAGTTGTAGTGAACGTTTGGGGATTAACATGTTCAGTTCACTGACAGATGATTCAAAATTAAATAGAATTTCCCCACAATGATTAATTTTATTATTTATTATTAATAGATTAAAAAATTTTAATATCTTTATGTATCTATCCTTAAAAAATCAATTATTTTCAATTGTTTGGTGCGTACTTTTTTCATTCCTTATTTCTCTCGATCGTTCTTGAGAGTTCGTGCTCTCTCCACACTTAATTCTGCATTGTCTTCATAGTGTAAGTATCGTAATGTAGTTAGGACAGAAATGGAGCCTGTTGCACTGTTGGTAGTGTCGCTGTTGGAAGGCCCTATTACTCCTTTAATATATAAAATGTAATTAATTTGTAGGACTTATTTTCTATGTGCACTGCAGCCGACGCTCAGGTTCGCTAGAAGCTAATGTAGTTACGCTCCTGTGCGACGCAAGCGCGAGGGCGTGTGTGTTGTGGTGACGTGTGGTGGTGGCGGTGTGTCGCAGGTCCCGAGGAGCGATGACGTCCGAGAAGGAGGAGAGCGGGGCTAGCGGAGAGACGTCGCCCGCAGCCGCCGCCGCCCGCCGACGCCCAGGCTCGTCCCCGCCGCCCGCTCGCCCCGCCTCGCCCGCCGACACACCGCCCCCGCCCCCGCCCCCGCCGACGACGCCGGTGAGTCGCTCAACGCGGGTGCATTTGCATCAAGGCGCTTGCGTTCACATCGTAATTGCCGTACTCTTTGACTATTACGATCTAATGTGCATGTGGACATCAAATTTGTGTGCGTTCACGATAATTCGTTAAATGTATTTTACAATAAATGAGGAAATTTGATTTTATTTCTTAAAAATTTAATCACTATATGAACCTAATGTGGACTTGTAAGTTTTTAATTTTTGTTTTTGTTTTTTTATTTTGTACTTTATCCCGGTGAAATCGTAGATCTGATATGTTAGTATCTGGCTTGCTTGAGTATTTTCTTAAAAATAATGGTGAAATGGTCCACTTTTCTATTCTTCGGTGAGAAATGAAAGTTCTTGAAAACCGACAAAAGCCAGGAAATGAGTGTCCATCGTGCTAGTGTGAAAACCCGCGGAAGGAAACGCAAGTGGAAAAGGAGGAACGGGTCCAGCCGCGTGCAGAGCAGTTGGCTGCTCAGGCCGGGAGGAGAGGGGAGGGGAGGGTCGGCGATGCAAGTTCAGCAGCTGTTGGAGGATACATCTGGCTGCGTCACACCGGCAGCTCTGATCTGCAGTTTTCCCTTGTTTCGAACAGTACCAGGCGAATGCCGGGTTTGAACTTCAACGATTTTTCTTTACTCAGCCTTATCCATTCCTCCCCTCACACGCACACACCCACGCCTGCATGCTCTGCATCGTCACTTAACGGAGATGTGCCTGGAGAAATCCCCGCAAACTCCGTAGAGGTCGGCGCCGAATCTCGCGATCCAGGGGGCGCCCCCGCCTTCTCCTGCGATTAATCATTCACTACGCTAACGGGATTAATGCCCATCGGTTGAAGTGCCCGGAAACGATAAAAAAAACTCGGATTTAAAGTACTCCTGGAGAACTCTTTGTTCCCGCTTCGTTTTTCGCATGTAGAGCGCTACAACAAATGTTCGCACCCTCTACAGTGCAAAGTGGCCAATTATTGTATTGAAACTCGGTGATAAAGGGATTTATCTTAAACTGCATCGAAACAAATATGGAAAAAGTTTGTCTACCGCTCAATACGGCGATGTGGTGCTAGTCGATCCGCCACGACGACTAACCGTCCTCGACACTACGCAAACACATTCATTCTCTGCGCCGTGGAGAAGCAACACCGCGACCGACCACTGCTGTAAACTCGCGTGCTGCAACTGGACTGTAATTAGAATGTGGAATAATTTCGCACGTTCTTTGCCATCAGTCGCGGTGTTTTGGAAAAAGCCCGGCGCGTCAGATTTGAAACTTAGAGTTTAGACGATTTTTGTTATGGTGGGCTTATAATCGTTCATCAGAGGTTAGGTGCCAAACATTTTGAAGAATGCGAATGCAGAATGTGTTAATAGGGTGGCCACTTTCTGGAAAAGAATACAAAACTGGGGAATATCATTGCTCAGGAAAAGTCGGGATGAAAACTGGGAATTTGTAGAAGAATAGTTAAGTCGAGGCAAATTTTGAGATGTTACAAAACAGCTGAAGGGAGGTTACAGATTTAAGGTTACAGGTTATTTTTTTTTAAATAGTCCAGCACAACATAGCAACTTTTAAAATTTGTACTTCTTACTGTGGAATTAAGCTGTCAAATTTTAGGCTTGCTTTAATACTTGAATGAAAAATGGAATTAAATACTCAACAAATAATGTCATAAACAAAAAATAAAATGTACTACAAAGCCTGGGAAAGCCAGTGAATTTGTTTCATAAAAGGAGTGGCTTCACTGGCTAACTTTTAATGGTAGTTTAGACAGCTAGTTTATATTAAGATTTATTGAACGAATGGAATAAAGCCAGATTATGAAACGATGGCATACGCTATTTTTTGATAGGACACAATCATAAATTGATAAGAGAGTAAAACTTGATTTTGCGAAACCACTTTCTTATGACTTCTCAGTTTACCTCTACCTCCACTTGATTCTTTCGCTGCGTTTGGCTGAATTTATGATACGCATTCATTCGTCCCGAAAATGCTAAAAATCCATTTGTGCCAAACAATGCCCGATTATGAACAATATCTTGCAAGACAAAAGGTCGTTTGTAAAGTTGGTACACAAAAAAACGTTATCCCACTAATGTCAAAAATCATTCTTTCGTTTTTTCCCCTTAACGAGATGGCACCTCGCCACTCTTTCCCAAGAGTGGACTTTAACTCCATTCGAGCGATATCCGTTTTTAGAGAAAATAATTCACTCGCCATTACTGAGCGTGTTTTTAGATTCGTCTGCGAGGATTGAATTCTCAATTGGAGCGCGTATTTTGTATAACTGACTTAAGAGTGAAACCGAGTGAAGGGTGGCTGATTTCACTCGAATATGCGTGAAACAGCAGCGACTCGTTTTTAGTGTTTTTTTTTATTCTCCACTCAAAAAGAATTGATAAGGAGCGTGTTGCTTGCAGGGGGCGACGCCGCCCCGAAGGAGGCGGCGGCGGCGGCCAAGGAGGCGCAGGGCGAGGAAGAGAAGAAGGAGCAGGCGGATGACAAGGACAAGGAGAAGGACAAGGAGGCCAAGGACGGCAAGGCTGCCGGCGACGCCCCCGCCCCCGCCCCCGCGCAGCGCACCGTCAAGTCGGTGGTGCTGACCGGCTACGGCGGCATCGAGAAGATGAAGGTGCGTACCGCCAGTTCTCGGTCAGGCCGACATATCGGGGGTCAGCAAATCCTATCAATTCACGTTGTATTTTACATTATTGAAACAAAACATTTAAATATGTGCTAGTAATAAGATTTATAATTACATAGAAAAAGATTGCTAATGAAATAGTTTTATGCCAAGTTTAATCATGCATAATTTTTGTACTATTTATTTTTTGAAAGAAAAGGGAAAAAATAGCATTAAATACTTTTTAAGAAGCAGCGAGAGCCAGTGCGTTAAACGGCATTGGCGAGGAAAATCGTCCCCTAATTTCTCCCGAATGTTGCGACCGAAAACTGTCAAATATTCCTACGTCTCATTGTTGGCAGCATTTGCAGAAACAAGATGATCATCTGCAAGTGTTGCAGCTAATTTTCGGCGGAGGTGTTTTCGTGCGGTGTGTTGCATTCGTTCAAACACGTGCTGATGAACTGAAATAATAGATGTGAATTCGAACACCCCCCTCCGCTGGCATCCGAAAACCTCTGCTGTTGGGCGAAGATCCGTTCAGTTCCGTTTCTGTAGGTTCCATTCTCCCGAAATCAGCCGGAGAGTGAAGACCATTCGCAGTACCAAGAGCATGTTCAGTACTAGTAGAAGATTCTGTATTAAAATAGGCAAAAAACTCCCGTATAAAGGCCTTAAGGGTCGTTGAAGTTGGACTCGGTTCAAAGACGTGCGATTGATGGCATTATCGCTTCTAAACTGTCTACAGTACACGCACGAGCGCGCGCGAAATCCTTGCGTTCTGTGTTATTTCACTCCATCATTGGTCAATTTTATTTTTTATTTAATTTGGTCAAAACTGTTAACTGTGTGACGTGCAACGGGGAGAAGTTTATTCTGTACACCTATTGCTAATTCTTGGATTCTAAATCGTATGTTGAATTCTGAATACACAAAGAAATAAGCGTTTTTGACAATTTTATTATTAATATAATATTGCTTTTTTTTGCAATGACCGCTCCGATATAACATAACCTAAGGTCTCTCTTAAGTCACGGATCGCCAGGCAACTCCGAATGCACTGGCGTTCGGCTGGTATAATAAGTCTCCTGAAGCGTCAGAACATTCCGAGCTGCCCACGCTGCAAAAGTTGCCTAAAATCCAAGGAAATGCCGCAGATGTGACTCAGTTGCATGAAATGTGTTGGCGAAACAGCAGAAATCTGTACTGTAAAGATTCCCACAGCCCCCTCGAGACCTCGAGATAGGAGGTTATTCACTGATAGCGCATCGCCGTTCTCGAGATTCGTGGAATCCTTGAATTTGCCGATCAGACATTCCAATGGGTTTGACTCGGCTTATTTGAAGATGGTAACTAGCTATATGGTTTTGGAAACAAACAATCGGAAAAGTACAATGTGTGTGTGTGTGTGTGTGTGTGTGTGTGTGTGTGTGTGTGGGTGTGTGTAATTTTCATAAATTGTCGAAGGTCGTACGTTGTTTGGCGTAAGTTGCCATATTTACTGGATTGTTGACTTTTCATAGAAGAGCAATCGGGCGAATAGAAATTGGTGGAAGTCTTAGCCGCAAGTAAAAAGTTACCGTTCAGATCTAAATTATCGCTAATATGCTATACAAATTGGATGGCAATGCATTTAAGTGAGGACACATCAACATTTAACATTCGACAAAAACTTTCTGCAAAAGATATTTCAAATTTAACTAGTGGTGCTTCAGAATGGCAGACCTTCTCGTACTGATTTCCTGCCCTGGATAACTTTTCGGTTTTGCCCACACTCTGCCCAGTTGCCATGTATTGGCGCCTAAGTTTAACTTTTTCAATTTAACAATGCCCTAATAGTAAAATTAAAATAAGACTTTGAGAACATTATAGGGAGTAAAACCAGAAGTTGTATGCAAATGTTCATGCAAACTTTTTGAGCAATTTTTGAAAAAGTTTTGTGATGAGTGAAGTGCTGGTTATTAACAATTTTCCAATTTTAAAATTCATTGTTACACGATGCTAACACACATTGCATTGTTAAATTAATAAAACTAATGCTACAACAGCACATACTTTTTTATGTAATTGGTATCTAATATTTAATGAAATTTCAATTTATATCCTAATACTTTTGCCGCCTTTGACGAAACGAACGTGCGAGAATTTTGAGAAACGATGGCAGATTTCCCTTTTTAAAGACGTTTAATTCAGAAGAATTAAAGGGTTGCGATATCTGCCATTGAATGTCGCGTATTGTACAGCATTGTTACAAAAATTTACCTGGGCGGGGATTTAAACCCCAGAGCCGTGGTTGTCAGGCCAAGACGCTTAGAACGTCGACATGAACGTTTTAATTTTCTACCTGGGTTGTCAATGGCACTTATATAAAGCTCTGATTGGTCAGTGGTCAATGCTGAAAACATTGGTATATAAACGTGTGACAGAACCCCTCCATCTCTGGTGCTCTAATTCAAGGATTCGCATCCTTATTTTATCGTCAGTTTTAAGAGCGGTATAATTCGATTGAACAGTTTTAGAACACATTTAAAAATTTTTAAATCTTGTACACTATTATCGAATGGTAATGTCCTACACTACCACGCGTGCCGAGAGACGGGTCTGGAGGTTAGAGCTTCTCTCGACTGGGGCGGTACCTCGCTGGTGGGAGAAAAGTGGTCTGAGAAAATCGTCGAAAACTGACGTAGGTCGGCCCCGGATATCGTCAGCCAGTGGAGGGATATCAGCGCCACCTCACGACAGCAACAGCATGCGGTGCAGTTACGGGACTAATGACCTTAGCAGTTGACGCTCCCGAAATCGCTAACAATCCATCAGCGCAGCCGCCGCCGTTTAGTGCCCACCCATCCGTCAGCCGTTTCTGCAGCGCCCAGAAGTTGAAGATGGATGACGACAATCGAAGGCATTGAAGGATTTAAGGCTTTCAAGGAAAGAAATTCTGTTATCTGTGGTTAGGTTCGGGTTTCTGAACCCTCTGACTTCTGGTAATAAAACCGCGGACTTTGCGGCGTAAAGGCTTGCGCTGCTGATTGCAGGGCCTCCTGCGCTCTGCTCTGCTCTGCGAATTCGCAGCTGCGCCACGTGCTGTGCAGACGTTCTCCCACACACACACACACACACACACACACACACACACCCCCGCCCGCGCTCGCTTCGGAAGACGCCCACGGCTTCGAAAACCGACTCTTTTCGTTTGTCCAGAAATATTTTATGCAATTTATGTTAAGTTTTTTAAGTTTTGAAAATGAGCGGCGTTAGATTTTAAATAGGTACGAATGCAATAAAACATTGTGAAAGTTTCTTCTTTGTATAACATCATAAGAGAATCAAACTCAATTTTGCGAAACTTCTTTCTTGTAGCATCTCGGGTATTTGACATCTGTGCGAGAAAACTGTGGTTGGCTGTTCGTTCACCGCTACCTCCGCAAGATTCTCTCGCTGCGATTGGCTGAATGTATGATGACGTAATCATTCGTGCCGTAAGATATAAATAATCATTTGTGCCGTAAAATGCTCTTTTATGAACAATTTAATGCAATAGAAAATGTAGTTTATGATACTGGTATACAAAAAATAAGTACTCAATGCTTTACACAGGCTCGCTCACATTGAAGACTTCTAAAATAAACATATTTACTACACAAAAAGTAAATTCTATGTAATGTTTGTAAAAAGGAACTCGAACAGTAGAGATGGTAGCATTGCACTTCCTATTTTCAATTATTTCTCATGGCGCACTATATTTTCATCGGACGAGGACATCACAAATGGAAGCGTCGAAGCCATTTGCAAGTTGGCCAACTGCAAACGAAGGAACGAGTCAAATGGGAAGCGGAAGGACACGCCGACCACAGAACTTTCAGGTGTTGCCAGCGGTAGCTGTCAAAACCACGCAATATGACTATTGCCCCTAAATTTAACTGGATTTATCCACTTTTCTTTGCTAGGGCCCTGTAATAAGTTTTTCTGCCGAAAATACTCGTTTTTTCCCGCTAACCATTACATAACTTCCTCTGCACTCCGTAGCGAGAAAGTAAAAATAAGAGAGAGGAAAGTGAGTCTGAAAGCTTGTGCGCCCATGTGTTCTCATGGGGCCCGGAGGATGCCCTACGCCCTGGCGAATGCGTTGGCCTCCCGAATGGCCAAACAGGAAAAACGCGGGGGCGGCGCCGGGCGAGAGATGGTCTGTTCGGTGAATCAGCGTGCGCTCTGGTCGTACGCATGAAGTGATATTTGTTGTATCGTATTTTAACTTTTACACAGCAATGATCATTGGGCTTCTTCATCCACATTAAACAAGAATGTGGATGTTGTGATGGTAATCTGAATGCGATGTGATGGCTGGCGAGGAACTGCGTCGTTCGGTAGCGCCGCAGAGCGCTCGCCCCCTCGCCGCTTCCAGGTGGCCGTGAGTCTCTGCTCGCGAACGAGAGAAGGCGCGAGCCCAACCGCGCTGCTTGACATGTCCAGCCTCGGAATAGCTACCCGCTGTCTCACGATGGCGAAATTCAGCATAAAAACGGTATTGGCCGTTATTGCTGAGTTTGATAACTTGAGAGTTCGCATCGGAAAATGAACTGCGTGTTGGATTTAACAATGTGAATAAGAGCTCACCGCAGTATTCCAGAGTAGCCTAATATATTCATATATTGTAATGTCAGCCGTTGCGAGTACTATGTAAACTGTGACGCCTGTCGGCGCCATTGTCAGTTCAGCCTGTTTCGCTATAATTGAAGGCAGGGATTTTCTTTTAAAGAACGGTCCAAACCCGAAGTTTGCGATCTGAGTTCACTTGAACCAAAGGCAGGAACCTCCGTTACATCAGTAAGATATCCAAGAGCTTGAGTTGTTAATCTAAGTGGTTTTCATCAAATTTTTGTTTGTCTGTAGGCGATTTTTAATAATTTGGCTGTCCTTGTTTCGCTGCGCAGGTGAAGGCGTGGCCCCTGGCGAGCGCGCCGGCGGCGGGGCAGGTGGAGGTGGCGGTGTCGCACTGCGGGGTGAACTACGCCGACGTGTGCATGCGGCGCGGAGTGCAGCGCGAGCGCGCCCCGCCCTGCGTCATGGGCCTCGAGTGCGCCGGCACCGTCTCCGCCGTCGGCGAGGGCGTCGACACGCTGCAGGTGGGTGCCCCGCCCTCTTCCCCCTTGCCCTGCCGTGCCCTGCCCTGACCCTGCCCTGCCCTGCCCGTCTGCCCTGCCCGTCTGCCCTGCCCGTCTGCCCTGCCCGTCTGCCCTGCCCTGCCCGTCTGTCCTGCCCTGCCCTGCCCTGCCCCATACTACCTGCATTATCGCCAGGTTGTGTGATGTCATCAGTTCTTTCTTACAATGTTTATATACAACTGTTAAGGCTTTTTGCACTGCCTGCATTTTTGGGGGAGAATTGTAAGATGAAATTTGATATGCCTCCTGACATGATCTTGGTATATAACAAGCTATCTGCTTATGCATGCGTTAAAATCTGTTTACAAACACTACATATATAAATAACAAAATTATTTCACCTTCTGGGCATATTCACGAATTTTTTATTAAATTCCTGTATGCCTCATGTGTACTAGCCTCGTCAGTAGACCTTTTTGGTTAGGATTGTAAATGGCTTGTGTATTAACAAGTTTAAATTTTATTTTCCAGCCCGGTGACAGGGTGCTGTGCTACCAGCATACAGGAGATCTGTACCGTGAGACTGTGGTTGTACCTGCCACCAATGTGTTCATCCTCCCTGAGGGAATGTCTCTGGAACACGGTGCTGCCATCACTGTCGATTACCTCACTGCTTACTTCTGCCTAATGGACTTCGCTAACCTGCGACCAGGGCAGAGCGTCTTGATCAATTCTTGTGCGGGTGAGTCTTCTTAGCCTTCCCTTTCTCTGTGATGGGGCAACAAAGATGTTCTGTGCAGGCACAGCATGTGATTAAAGGCTGTAAGGCGCAGCCCCCCCCAATGTAGAATGTATTTATAAATGTATTTACTTATTAATAATAGATTTCTGAGTTCAATCATATAACAATCATGTCTAAATTTGTCAGTTTCATAACTGCTGTCTGTAACGCATTTGAAGCTGTTGACAGAGAAGAGAGGGGTTAGGCTCCGTCTTCATTCCGCCATGAGGCTTGTGTAAAATGAGGTGGTGTGACTTCGTGTATTCATTGCACAGACTTGCTGGCAGACGAAGGCTGCAGCCAGGGTTCAAGGGTGGGCGTAAGGTCTGAAGAAGGGTGTGCTCACCAGACCTCACTAGTATGCAGCTAAGCGAGTAGCATTGTACATCTAGTTGCATCCCATCTACAATATGCGATCGGAGCGCAATGCATATCTACAATCTATCACTTTAGTCTTAGTGATCAGAGGAGATGATGTATTGCAGTGCAGTGAAATTGCAATTGCAGCCTTCGCTATTTAGAAAACTGAGAGTCATGACTGGTTCTGTGCATTGTGTATGGTAATTGGTTGACATGCTTCATATCTTTACCAGAATCTAAAAATTTATTTTGAATTTCAGCTTGTAGAGGTAATTCTAGATGCAATAAAACATTAACGACCTAGAAGTGAAAACGTCTGGATTTGTCTGAGGGGTTTTCTTCAATAGCACTACTTATATTTGTTTTTATCAAATATTTTCAGGTACTGTAAGGATGACATTTTTTAATTTTGTGGCCATAAGCAATACTAACACCTTTGTCCCTGCAGAGCATTCAAATAAATATACAAATCCATTTATCTCTCAGAATTATACTAATTTTTGTTCTTCTCTGAAAATCAATTCCTGAATATTCTATAAACACTATTTTCTGTAACTTCACAATCTATCTTCTCAAGAGTTCTGTATGAAATACCGTTATTCAAATTATCATTATCAATCTTCTCACAGCAGGTAGTAGATTCCTTCACAAAGGGTGCAATAAGGGATATTATCCAAGCTCTTTATCTGATTTGCCTTTGTGAATTGTTTTTATTATCCTGGAATGAAATTTTTTTTATCAAATCTTTTCCAAAATGCTAATTCCATGTGTATCCAAAATTCATCCTTAATGGTTTAGGGTAGGAATCCCAGAATTAGACAAAAGGGCACCGAATACACCTCTCCTTGTAGAACATCAGTTTTAAACTGTTTTTGATGTTAAATAAATTAAAGAGTTGCTTTTTGCCATGTAGAAGAGGACTCTCTAATTCTGAGGAGTGTCCTGGATGTTTACTCTCTAGGCTTAATGGTTTTGGGGGTACTTTACGTAAAGACTTAACATTTTCAAAATTTTTCTCAAAAAATTGCTCCCAAATTTTTTTCATTTTCTTTCAAATCCTTGATTTATACTAAAATTGCAAAATGTTAAGAGATTTTGCAGTCTGAGTCTGTAGCCCAATCCAAACTATTGGTCTGAATCATCGAGCAAATTCGAGATGGATGCAAGGATTGTCTGCCAAATAATTTGATTTATGTGATATTTATTGCCTTTGCAGTTTACTGTTTCAAGCATTTGAGTTACTTCTTGCCATGGAAAGGCAGAGTAAACGCACACATCCCAGTTGGCAAGGGCTAATTTATGAATGTAAGGCCAGGTGTTTTTCGAATGAAATATTTAGGGGGAATGGGCTGGTAAATAGTTCAGTGAATGTCGAAGTTCTTGGTAGTGTTTCATATGTGTAATATTCTTATTATACTAGTTTGCTATAATACTGTGCCTGATAAGTCTTTCTGCAGTGGTATGTTGCGGGTAAGAGTGCCAGCAACAGAAATTATGTTGGTAGCGTGAGATGCAGCTTGTAAAATGTATATTGCCAACCACATGCACTGGAAGTGTTGTTCCCTTTACTTGCTTCTCAGTGATCTGGTTGCTACCAACATAAATGCAATTTTTAGTAAAAGGTCCTGATTTGACTCTGTACAGACACACTTGGCACACTACACCTTGGTCACTCTAATCATTTGTTTTCAACTCAGGTTTCGTGCAATTTTCTTGTGTTGTTACTCAACATGCTATGCAAGATTTGCTGCATACATCTGCCCTTTATTAAAACTATAACAAATCTATTGAAACAGTACAGTGTGATTATGTTCATTTAATTAAATGCATTGCATATTTACCATGTTATAATAAAATGAATTTGCAATTCTTTATTTGTTAACATAAAACGTATTAGTAATGTGTGGTAATGACATTAGGTGCAACAGAATTCACAAATATTTGTTAGACATCTCAAAAAGTTAGTGTTAAAAGCCTTTCTGAATTCAGATTCAGTTAGAGATTTAATTCTTTTTATCCTGTTATCATAACGTTATTTCACCCTGATCACATAGCAGCACAGATTAGGAATAAACATAAGTTACTATCTTTAGTACAAAGAACTTGAAGATTCAGTTCTTCATGGTTTTAATATGCTTATGCACCTCGAAACTGCTTCCAGAGGGCGTTGGCTGGGCTGCTACTCAACTTGCAAAGACTGTGGAAGATGTGGTGATCTTCGGGGCAGCTGCAGCTTCTAAGCACGATGCTGTGAAGGAAAACGGGGTGACGCATCCCTTGAATATCGAGTCAGTTGAACAAGAACTGCATGCCATCAGTCCTCAAGGAGTTGACATAATCATTGACAGCTCAACTGGATCCAACGTTTCTGCAAATCTGAGGTTGTTGAAGCCACTAGGCCGTCTCATCATCATAGGTTGGTACATTTAATCTATTGATTTAAAACACTTAGGTGCTGGTTTTATTGTTTGTTTGCAAAAATGGTACTTGCATTATAGTAGGTGTAACTGCATTATAGTAACTGTTCAGTTGGCTCTGATGACAAGAATGCATCTCCTAAAAAAGTTTCGGATCACTCGGTAAACGGTATTGTGTGGATTGTAGAGATTTGTTCCTGTATATTGAGCCTTAATTCTTCTGTGAGGGGATTTTTCGCTTGTGCGGATCTTCAAGAAATCTCCACAGAATTGGCTGACAAATCAGGAAAGTGTTTAGACCACAAATTATGTGAGATTATTCTGCCTTCATAACAGACATTTAAACCCGTAGGCAGAATGAGAGATTGTGAAATTCTGTTGAGAATGACCGTAATTACTCTTTATTTGTCAAAATTTGGAAGAAAGGTTTGAGAATATGATGCGCATATCAGCTTCACACATTTTCTTTGAAAGAGATTTTAGAGTGAGCTATTACAGAGTAACAAGACTAACAAGCATCCTTTATGCAGGGCAATGCCTTCAAAACCTCCCATCTGCACAGTTGCCCAGCATTTGACGGCCCATCCATTTTAGCAGTTTTCCACAATTGCAATAAATCATTAAAATAGTTGCATTGTGTAGGTTTAATGGGGATTTTGTGAAGATTGGAAAGGTTTTTGCAATGCAGACTTTATAATCTAGAACTGGTGCTGGAATTTTCAATGATTTGATATTTTCATGAATCTAAGGATGTATCTGACGGTCTGAAATTTTCAGGGATTCATTTCAATATTTCGCAAAGAAGAATTAAATATTAGTTATTTAACATTAAATATAATAATCCAATATATCAATAACTTTGATGTATAACAGAATCTCCAATTGTATTAACCAATGTGCAAACATGTGGTATTCTGTGAACCCTGCCAAGTCATCCTTCAGAGGGCAAATGGACATTGCTCCACATTATCGCAGAAATAGTTCTTAATTCCCACTTTATTTCATGCACAACAATAGTTACTTGTTACTATTAAAAAAATTACTTTGATAGGTTCTATGATTATATGAATTTCACCAATGTTAATTTTTTTGACTTGTGTTATATGGTGATTTAATGGAGCATTCTGTAAATTATGCCAGTTCGTAGCATCCACACAATCCATTTCTGATGGTCAGTACATGGTGTGGATAAGAAAATTGGTTCATTGATATCAAAAGTGAATAGAGCAGAGAAGCGACTAACCACAAAAATGTTAATTTTGCAGGAGTGGTTTTATTCTTAGTGAAGCTGTCTCTGCCATGGGTAAAAGTGGTCTTTGTATTCTGTATTCAAACAGTCTTGTAGAAAATCTTTATGAAATTTTGTTAGCATGAAAATGGACTATTTTCTACTTCTTAATAAATCTTCAGCATTAATTGAATCAGGATGACTAGAAAAGGAACAAGTCAAAAATGTAATTTTTAGTTTTATTTTGAAAAGTGTTCTTTAAGGCAAGGCGAATTGTACTATGAAGAAATGAATCTGGCCTTTAGTGTTTAGGCCTTCATAGTGAATTCACACAGACATTAGACAGGATAATATAACGAGTAAGTATTGTGTAATGTTTCCTTCCTCCTGAAAAATTGCAAAAAATTACTTGTTCCCTTTCTCTTCAGCCTAATTCAATTGTATTTAATCTTGAAAATGAATATCTAAAAGTGCTCGAGCATAAAATTTGTTCTTCGTTTCTAGGCACAAGCAGTGTTGTCACCGGTCACCAGAAACCAGGCTTCATGGACATGCTGAGGAATTTGTGGTCAGTGAAGACATTGTCCACAATGGATTTGGTCATGGGAAACCGTTCTGTGGCTGGTTTCCATCTTGGGAAGATTTTTGAGCAGATGCCAGAAAGGTTCAATCAAGTGCTGGAATATGTTTTCAATTTGTATGCCCAAGAGCGCATCCGACCCAGAATTGACTCTGAAGTTCCGCTTGAGCAGGTAGGCTTTGCTTAAATTTTATTCGCTTCAGATAGGGAACAATTTTATTTTTCATTTAAAATGATAAAGAAACATGAAAAACTGAAACCATGGAAGTGTTGTTGAAAAAATTGTTGTTTTTTCCACAGGTCGTTGATGCAGCAAAACGTTTGGCAGAGCGTGAGAATATTGGTAAAGTGTTGCTCAAAGTAAATGCTGAAACAAAGAATGCAGAAGAATGAAACATTTAAGTGCACTTGACTTGCCAAATGAACAGCACTTTGCTCACGTCTATAAAGTTATGCTTGCATTTGCCTATTTGTATATTTAAGTTTTTATCAATAAATATTTGTTTACATTTGCAAATTTCTTTTAATTTACCTTCTTGCTTAATACTTCTGCCTTATTTTGTATGGTAAAAACAACTTTTGTAACGTGGGCAAAAAATAATCAATGTAGTTGGAAATGAATATTTCCTGGGAATGTGAAGAGGATTTGAGGGATTCATCGTGAGGGCTCTAGGACATTTCCAAAATGGTCTCAAAGGCTCAGGATTTTTTCTACTTGAATGTGTTGAAGTGTGCATTTGACTCGGTTTACATTTTTTATTAAAACCTGAAACTGAAAGGAAAAGGCTTTCTCTTCAAATTATCATGCAAGTTAAACTTCTCTAAATCTACACAGAACAATAAATAGTTATATCTGATAGCTTCCTTGACAATATAGGTGTGGTAAGATTTCTTTGGCATTTTAAAAATAAAGATGTTTGTAAAGACTACTGTATGTAAAGACTACCTAGTAGTCGTTTTGTGGCTTCCATCTAGCAGACAACTGATGATGATGGCTAAGCCATCAAAAGCTGCTATTGCATTAAAAAATATTGTTGGCAATGACTATCTTTAATTATTCCTCGACAATGTCAAAACTTAGTGGTCAACATGGTTTACTTCATTGACAGATCAAGTCTTATCTGGTATGCTTAAATCATTGTACCAAGGAGTTCGATAAAGAACAGCTAATTGATGTCATTAATCTGTATTCCCAAAATGGTTTCGATATGTTCCAGTATGTGCAACTGTTGCAAACATGAACAATTTTACATTTGAGGATAGCTATTAAACTGGGATATTGTTATTCTTTAAAACAAAACTTCAAAGTTTTGTGCGTTTTCAAAGTTCTTGCAAAGCCATATCTAGTACTTAGAGGTGTTTGCCAAGGTTCTGTTAAGGTGAATGATTCACAAAGTGGCTGGTTATAGCATGCATATGTTGCTACCAAACCTTTTCCATGAAGTCCTTTTTTATTGTCTCAAACAAAATGCATGCTAAACTACACTTGAATTATGAAATAGGCTAATCTATTTACAAATGGATTTTACTCTTTCAGAAGTCTTAAGAGTTAAGAATTGTAATCTATTTAGCTGTACAGATTTTGAAACTTCCACGAAGTGTGCCCCTTTTTTTATAACATTACTTTTTCACCCATACTGTCAGCAAAAAATCTCAAAGAAGCTCCCCTCATTTTTCTAGGATAATTTAATTGGCGAGGTGTCCACTCGTAGATAATTTGTCAGTGTCCAAAATAAAAATCAATTTTGAATATTTGCAGTTATTGATGATACATTTAGTAAATCTTATTTTATCTTGCATCCACTTGCTCCTGTTATAGCAATTTTCTCTGCTTTAGACAGGCTGGCGTGCAGCAACTTTGTTTCTGGACAAGGATTCAAGACGGAAAGTACACGGCTCGCATGCCAAAATATTTTTTGTGTTAAGCAGGGTAGGGAGTGTGGAGATGACAGGCAAACAAAATGTCTTTGAGATTCTATCCAGTTCACTTAAACAAAACTCTGATTTCAAGATGTGAAGTTGATTGATTCATTGATTTATGAACAGCAACGTAACAACTATTTAGTGAAAATGATCTCATAAAACAGCAACATCAAGCTCTTCATTATTTATAACATTTTAATGTTAAATTTCCAGGTTCCATAATTAAGTTAAATGATAATGAAATGTAAGTAATTTAATAACTATAAACTAGTGGTGCTACAGAACGGTACAGACTTTCTCGCATTTTCTATTTTCTTTGGTCTCTGCTAGCTATTCAGACTTTAACTCCCAAAAATTTTTTGCATTTTTTTTTTTTTTTTTCAATTCTTCAGTTTCCCAATAGAACAGAAATATTTCTTTAAGAATAATAAAGAAGAGTAAAGTATTGTCCTGAATGAAAATTATTAGAAAATTTGGAGCAGTTTTTAAGAAACCTGTGTTTAAGTCTATACAAAATTTCAAGCTCTCACAGAAAATTTTTGAGTTTTTAAAAACCTCATTTGAAGCACTTTCACTCACAAATGCTATAGTTTCTACAAATCACTGGAAATGTGCACAATAAGGGCATGAAAGTTATTTTAAAAAAAATACATTTGTGTAAAACCTTGAAATGAACTTTATGGCTTATTAAACAGTGCAATTAGCACTATCACTACAAAAAGTTTGAAACCATTTTTGTGAAAATGGTGTTTGAGTGTTTCTGAAAATGCAGCATTTTGATCTCAATTTCACAGAAAACTTGGGTTTTCAAGAAACTTAATATGAGATCACATAAAGCACATGTAGTCCTAAATGCAGTAATGTGCCAATTTGTTATAGGGACTAATGTAAATATACGAGGCTTGTCAAGAAAATTACATTTTTGTAATTTAAAAAAGAAGCAAAAGAATACAGTAATATGGCGTTTGTCATCTCAGAGAGAACATTTAGTACTCTATGTACCAAAAGTTTAAAGAAAAAATTTGGAGCAGTTTTTGAGAAAATTGTGGAAATGTGTCGGCGACTTCTTGTAAGGTACTCCAAATTTTAAAGAGCTTTTTAAAATCTCAAAGCTTCGTGTCGAGCCAGATCGACAGCGGGTTCTTCAATTTGGAAAATTCTACGTATGATTTAGGCGCTAGTGGTGTTCACAGATGGATTCACGTTTTGGATTTTTCCTCTTAATTTATACCCTTTTTCGTTACCAGGGACCAGCAATTTTTTTCCTGCCGAGACATTGTGAAACAATTCGTTTTCCGAAAAAGTCCGTTAAAAATTGCATTCTATTGTGCGCCGTGAGACATGGGGCATCGACTCGCTGAAACCAGCAGTACCGTTCATCGTCTTCTAAAAGATACGTTTTCAACAATGTCTTTATACTTTTCGGAAGTAGTTGTCTCGGTGAAAAATATTGGTTCGCTAATCCAGTGGCAAGATGTGGTACACCAAACCCTGACTTTCCGAGAAAAGAGATTTTATGTGGTTTCGAGGTATACCACAATTGTTTTGTTTGTTTAGGTTTCCGTCTAGATCAACTAAAGCTTCATCACTAAAAACACTATGAAACTCCTAAAACCGCAGAAATGCATTCGCGCGTCCCTGCCTGGGGCCTTCGGCTCTGCCACTTGTAAGACCGCGTTTTCAATGTTTCGTTGCAGCATATGCATTGCTGAGAAAAACATCGCACTGCTGATGCAATTTCGACAAAAGTCTTAGAGTGCTTCAAATCCTGCATTTCTAGTAACTTCTCTTTAACAAGAGTCACATCGACTACCCTTCCTAGCCATAGTGTTCCCGTTGTCCTGGCTTGGGAGTCGGCGTTTCCAGGATCTTTCCTTGAAGCATTTCCTTTCCTGGCACTTTAAAAAAGATTCTCTGTGGCGAAGTAAACTCCCACCAATACACGTGGATCCTTGAACATTTTTCGAGGCGATTCTATTTTCCTAATCGTGCGTTATTACGACAAGAATGAAACGAGAATGAACGACCGCCCTAGGATAGAGTAAGTGCTTTATCTTCTTCTCCAACTAAAATAGTCGCACTCTCCCACCCCGCAATCTGAGGGCGTGCGACTGGCAGGAGTCGCCAAGAGAGAGAGAGGAAGGCCGAAGGAGTTTCGCGCGGCACCAAATTGCCACAAGAGCAGGTGCTCCCAGACAGGGGTTGCGAGATAAAAGTAGTCAAGAAATACACTATTTAAACGGTATTAGTGCAGTGTAGCCGTTTGAGTGAGAAGACCGGAGCGGAGTCGTTACTACCGGCATAATTTACGGGCGGCCTGTATACTCAGAATTACCGTTCGCGGCCCTTGATACCGAAAAATAGATTGACGGCAAAACATCTGTAGTAAACACTAGCGCCTAAACCGTTCATTCGATTTTCTCCAAGTAATATTCCGCGATCGATATGAACGAAATCGTGGCCCTGCGAATTCAAACCTGAAATTTTGATGGGGGAAGGGACTTCAGATGAAGCCTCAATATTTTAAAAATTTTCTCAAATATGGCTCCACATTTTTTAATTAAACGTCATCTGATATCGTAAACGACGCTTAAAAATTGCGTTTTCGCTGGAATTCCTGAGTTTTCGAAAATTGCAAAAAATTAACATCGCAAAAGTACAATATTGAAGAGAAAAAATATCGTCTTAAATAAACTATGTTCAAACAATTTAAATCTTTACGATCATGTATATTTAAAAAAACTAGTTTTGTTCGCATAATTTTTGCTTAAATTAATACATTTATGAAAATACATTTTTTTTAAACGGTCCAAAATTTTCCACGGACAGCAAACACACATAAAAAATGTCGCAGGTCTCATTTTCGTTGGACTCGAAATTTTACAAAATCGTAAAAGTTGGAAAGAAAGCGATGTAGCCCCACTAGTTCTTACGCGGTGTCGCGTGCTGATCAGAAATTAGCCTCCAAGTTCATTTCGGTAGCAAGTTCTTTCGCTTCAAAAAGTTTCATCAAAGACGAATCCGACCGATCCTCCATGCACACTTTGCAGTTATGTAAACGACCAAGAGCGCTGGTTAGATGAATTTCTTTGGTTTGCATCTACTTGTTTATTGGTTTAATGCAGTTAGTATTTTATACGAATTAACTAATGAACACAAAAACCGAACTTGAATAATACAATTGTGCAAACCCTGAGCCTCGTTTCTTATTCAATTTCGTTGTTTTCGTAAATGATTAGCAAAGCGTCGTCAACTTCATATTCCGGAATCTCAAAGCCTTTAAGGTCGCTATCCTTCTCTCCCATCTAGTGTCACACAATGGGTTCAAAGTTAATCGTTTGATATTTTAAAAGTATTGTACGTCGAAAAGATTGCCAGGAAAAAGTAAATATATTTTCTGTACTATGTTGAAAACTATGCTAAAACAGTACGTACTCTCTCGCCCTTGGCAATGCTTAGGTAATACTATTTATACCGCAATTTCTCTCCGAATAAACACATCTGTCATATTTTGTGAAACTCAAATTTCGGAAAAATTGTACATGACCATATTTCAAAATCCATCTTTAAGGAACAGATTTCATTAAGGGGAAAATATCTCAATCTTTAATATTATAATTGTAGGAAGAGGCCGAAAAAGTTTGAACTTTTGCAATTTTCGAAAAATTACGGTTTTCAATGAACATGAGATTTTCATCGTTCTCTTAAACGTCCTTCACACTATCCAATAAAGTTTGAATAAAAAACGGAGCCATTTTTTTGAAAAATTTTCAGGGGCTTTATGTAAAAGTATCCCCCAAAATTAAAATATCTGCTTCAAATTCAAGGGGCCGCGACATCAGCCAGATCCATTACGGAATATCAATTTTGGACAAAATTGGCTGAACGGTTTAGCCGCTAGCATTGGTCACGGACAGGCAGGCGTTTTGGCGTCAATTAATTTTTCGCTATCAAGGACTCACAAAACATGGATTCTGGCTACACCACACCAATAAGAAAATCCACGTATGATAAGCTCAAAACTATAAGTTTTTAGACAGCCAGTGATAAGAGGAGCAGGTAAGTACGCAAGTACGGCTGCCTACAGGTGTCGGTGTCGCGATGCACAATTTTTTGAATATGTCAAAAAAATGCCATTGGGGAATGAATGTACAGCTAATTCTTGTTACTTTCTCGCCTTAAGAAGGAACTATGTAATGCAGCGGGAAAGAGCGGCGAATTTTCGGCAGAAAAATCTTATTGCCAAGCCTTGTTTACGAAAAAGTGGATAAATACAGTTTCTAAATTTAGAAAAAAAATACTCTACCACGTGGTGTAGCCAGAATACATGTTTTATGGGTCATTGATACCAAAAAATCGAATGATGGCAAAACGTCTGTCGGTGTCAACGCTAGCAGCTAAACCGTTCAGTCGATTTTCTCCAAAATGTACATTCCCCTAACGAACTAGCTGATGTCGTGGCCCTTTGACCTCATATTTGCATTTTTTCTCATAATGAATTTGTTCCTTAAAAATAGAATTTGAAATAAGGTCATGTAAAATTTTTCGAAATCTTGAGTACTTTTCGCGTGAAATATAGGCAATTTTATTTTTTGTTTAAAACTTTTCTCAAAAACTGCTGTAGTTTTTGATTAAATTTTGTTGTCGGATGTTGTGAATGACATATTAGAGAATACTGCAGGTCTCATGTTCGTTGAAAACTTTGATTTTTCGAAAATTGAAAAAATTCAATTTTGTTCTGAAGTAAGGAAATTAACTCATATGAGAAAGTCTGTGCCTTCTGTAGTACTAGTTTCCAATTTGTTTACATGGAAAATAAAGAAAGATTTATAGCTCCATGAAATGAAGTTTGTAAATAGGGAATATGAATAACTTTCTTTTTTGCTGTTGTGGTAAAAGCATACCGAAAAGAGCAAATAAGCAATTCAAAGGAATAAAAGGCTTTATAAACTGTTATCAAACACCAACTTTGTTGGTTTCCTCTATTAATCACTAACCAGTTTGTGCTTTGGAGTGGAACTTTCTAGTAAAATCCAAATAATATAGTAGAAATAGTGTTCAAAAGCACAATGCTAATCCATTTACCTTATAAATATATTAGTTATTGAATTTTGTACCAAAAAATACTTACTCATTAGGTCCATGGTTAGCACACTTCTTTTTTCTGACACAACTCCCTACCTCATACTGTCTGCATCACACCTAAAATTGAGTTCCTTTCATTAGTGATTCAAATATCAACTAGAACCCACCACAGTCAGAACACTTGTATGCTGATTACTTACAAGCAAATTCTGAAAGGCTTGTTTACTCTTCGATCAACAGTCTGTTAATTTCTTTTTTTTCTCCTCACAGAGTGTGTCCCACACTTGTTTAGCTTGTGTTCAGTCATAACAGTTAGTTTGCATCACATCCAAGCTATTATCTTATTAGTTTTCCATTTCCATAACCAAATGAATAGTCCTAAACACAGCGACAGGTTAAAAGAATATCGTTAATTAAAAAACAACACAGTCTTCATTCAAAATAACTTTATTTTTCAGCCCATAATCTGAAGGCATAGGCTGCCTTCCAACCATACTTCTCAAGGACTCTCTTAATAGATATGGTACTCTCCTCTGCATCAGAAGTGCACTGCACAACAGATGACACACATTACAGAATTAATACAAAAATGCAACATAAATTTTTTAGGCAATAGATTTTTATATCTGCATATTTATTAACAAAATACTGTTATTCGTTCTCCAACTGCATTGTTGCTACATTGCACTAACAAGCACCTCAAGGCTTAAATGCCTGAAGCACACTTCCTGTGTACTTGCATTTGTTATTACAATCAACATATCTTGTTCATACAACTGTAAGGATTATCATTACAATGTGAGTAAAAAAGTTGTATTTGCATAATTAGAAAAATGTACAATGTAGCTATGATACATGGGGGTTTCCAAGTCAAACTTGCCAGTTTTTAAACATAATGCTTATCGAAATATTATAATTTTTTTTGTTTATTTTTGGTAATCCTTACAATAATAATCCATGTGGAAGTATAACATACATATTCATGGAAGAATAACACACTAGAATGCACAAAATAAAACTGTACAGTTTCTTCCTTCAATCCAGGCATATCAGTTAGTTTGCATCACCCCTAAGCCATTATCTTATTAGTTTTCCATTTCCAAAACCAAATAAATAGTCCTCAGTACAGGGGACAGCTAAACACAACATACCCAAAGCACACAGGAAATATTTACAACCACAACAGAAAACACAAACATGATTTTGATCACTTCTTAACCTCTTGGCCTAACAATTAATACTATAGAGTCTGGATCATGGCAGATAATTTAAATGCTTTTGTTTGAACGTACTCTCCAGCCAGTCAAAAAATGATACAGTAGAGTGCCAGGTTTATTAACAAGTAGAAACTGTAAGACCGTTCTACTTAGCTTTTTGGAATGACAAATCCTTTTAATCATATTCACATTTCTTAAGAATTGAACACGTTAGAAACAACAATCACAATTACTGTACTGGAATTACCTCTCTTGATAAATACATGAAAATAAAGTTAATAATTTTCCAGTCATACACATACCACAAACCCAAACCTTAAATAATTTCTCAAGTTGGTTAATGATTAATAAAAACTACAGCATAAGTAAAGAAAAATAATTTAATCTGTAGCCTACATCATCTCTTAAAACTTAACCAGACTCAACAATTCAGGCCAAGAGGTCCAAAACAATCCCACCTTTGGAGATTTCTATCGTACTGCATTCAACAAGTGCAAACCCTTCCCTATTTGAGTGACAACTTGCCTCTTGGTTTCAATCGTACAGCTGGAGAACCACAAGTCACTGCAAGTCAAACTCGACCGTTGCTATTTACACGCTTCTACTCAGAACTTGAGAATTAAAATAAGCTAACACTTTATATTTTTTGATGCCTCCACACTTTTATCAACATGACCAGCCCATGTTACGATAAATTTAACTTCCATAACGTGCACACATTCTCGGGATACAAGTTACTCAATGTCACTTCATACCACATACCAAACTAACATTGTCTCTCACAACTCATTTAAAACAGTATCATAGTAAACCATGATGCTTAAACATGTTAAGTATATGTATATATATACACACGACATTACTTGTTAGTTTGGCTTTTATTTCTGACCGTTACCAACCTTAACATACACAATAGAGATATTGGGTTGCAATCAAACAACCCACATTATTAGGGTAAAAATAAATAAACTCAACATTGAGTACAATTTGATTATAATTTATATTTGTAATTAATCTTAGAAAACATGGTGCAAATACAAAAGAAATTCTGTAAAATATCCTGTACATTCTATAACATCACGAAATTCTTAATGCTGCACTTCTCCCAGATTCTAAAGAATCAATGTACATCAAGCATATTTATGCAAAAATAGTCTAAGAACAGTCGAACCAACTTCATAAAAACATTAATGTCCCTTACTTAAAAGAGAATAGCACATTAATAGGAATTATTTTGATAGAGGAAAAACTTGTAGTTCACAGCATAACAGGTTACGTTTACTAGATGATATAATACATTGCAGAAATATTTTCAACCTAGTACATGAACTCTGAAACAGAGAAATGCAGCACTCCTTGCTTTCCCTTGCCACAAGAGGCAGGAATCCGTATCCAAACATGGAATGCAGAGGTGCTTCCCAAATATGGAGAAATGAATTATATAAGCAACTTATGCTTTAAATTCTACAGGGGTAGCTTAATTACAAAACAGTTCAGCAACATTTGATAAGTTTCCTTTCATTGTTTACATTACATCGTTTTGTACCACCAACAAACACTATGCTTTACAGTGTAAACCATAACAGATTGATAGAACACTGGTAGAGCCGATTTGCAAGGCTGTTATACAAAGCTGGCTGCTTAAGGATGGTCTGCAAATGCATAGGACAGTATTGTTCCAGCTAAACAGTAGATGACTACATTTGAGCATATCTTACAAAAGGGACCATCCTCTAGAAGCCAATGTCTTTGTAAATGTACAACGTCATTACAAGCTATTATTCAGCAAAAGAAACACATAGTTAAAAACAGCCATACACTGATTTCCAGATATTAAAGTCTTTAAAAAAAGCAATTGATAAAAACTCGTATCTCAACTATGCAAAATATTATACCTCTCCAATAATACTTTAAACTACTCTCAAGAGAGGTCAGTAAATTTTAGACAGAAACAAAAAAGTAAGAAGAAGAAGAAATCGTCACTCCTCTAGTATCATGGCTGTTTAAAAAGGGCTGTTTTCTTACTTTTATTCTAATAACTTCTCAGAAAATGGTTTATTCAAAAAGTTGTGTCACGTAAAAGAATTGTAGAAACTGGTAGTTCTTTGTGGAAGACTCGCTCAGGCCTTTAATCAAAATTGGCTCGTTGCTTTCTTCCAAATTAACAATCAAGAATTTGAGTACATGCAGTAGATACATTTTTGTTTTGTTTCAAAGAACAAAGTAATGGGGGAAAAACAACCTACAAACACAAAAGTTAAATGCTGCATTTAAGTAACTCCCAATACACATTGAACTAGGCATACCACTCGGAAACAAAGCATACTAAATTCTCTATCTCCACAAACTTGTCGTTTTTAAAAGGAACAAAACAATTCAAGATCCTAATAAAGGGCGTGTCAAAAATTTCCAAATCTTGCATGCACTGGTGCAACATGTATTAAAAGTTACAATTTAAAACATACAAGCCCTACGCATGCCCTCAGCCAGAACGGGATACAAGAAGGAGCAAGGAGTGGGAGGAGGAGAAACCGGGCAGCAGGCGTCTCGCACTCTCTGCGCGTGGCAGACGTACGCGTGCGAGCGAGTGATGTGAACAGCAACCAACCATCGCACTGTTCAGTTATCCCCTTTGGCCTGCCTCCGGCGCAGAGCGTCGGCCAGGTCCTGGCGCAGGGCTACTTGCTGCTTCTGCTCTGCAAGAGGCTGGACGCTGCGCAGGCCGTTGACGATGTCCTTGGTCTTGCCAAAGTAGATCTCGTTGAGGGTGTTTCGGATTTTGTTCTCCATGTCCTCCACCATGCGCCCTATGTTAGCAATGTGCGGTGAGGCTTCCCCCACGGGCGCATCCTGCTCAACCTGTCAACAACACATTTGCGTTCAATTCATTCTTTACTTGCAATCCTGCAGTGCACCCTTACTACAAACCTATCTTTTGAGGATGATGCATTACAACGAAACCAAGAACATTATGTCATAAAATAACGATACAAGTCTTATTTTGAGCAATAAAAGAGCACTCGTTAACAGATATCACTATCAACAACCACACACTCAGTGTCATAATATTCAGTTGCTGTTGTTGTCTATTATTAACATAAACAGGGAATGAAAACTGATATATTGAAAGAAGCAATGTAGATCATCCATATATATGATTATCATATAATATGATTTGTTTTGGTGATAAATATTGATTTACAGCGCATACTGAAATCTCAGTTCTGATTCAAAGTATTAAAATATCTATGTATTACATATTTTGTTCTTGAAATTAATCATTACATTCAGACTGATAAGACAAACCAACAAGTACCATTAATAAAATCAATATATTGCAGTAATAAATGATAATATGGATGTAAATTTACAAACAATTCATGTTTTACTTTGCTTTAAATCTGACGTTCTTGTAAATATTTCTGCCAGCATTAATGCTGTTAACTACAATAGTCCAAAATTACAAATGATTAATTATTAATTTTTAAAAACTTTCAAAACTTCTTTTAACATTGGCATACATAATCTTTTCAAGCATAACTTTCACACAGAAACACGTTTTAGTGAATCGCAAAAAATGAACTTGAAATTTCTTGAACAATACTTCTTAGTCCCATTAATTGATTTCTGAATTATATTTATTTTGCCCATAAATTCAATACTGTCTTCTATTAATTCAACATTGCATCATGTAATATCTTCATTTTAAGAAATTGTTCGTTGTTTATAAACTGTGCTATTCTATTATATGTGTGTGCATATGAAATATCTCAAACTATTCTAACACATCTTATCTCCAACATGTATCCAGATTCTTGTGGAAACCATACACAAACAGTGGATACAGAAAAAACACTCTTCATTTTATTTACCAACTCAATTTAGAACTTTTAGTAAAGAGCTCTGCAGAGAATGAAATCCTTGGCTTGTTTTTAAGCACAGTAAATTTTAACTGAGAGTTATTTTGTAACTAATTTACAGTCAGAGAATCAAAGAATGATTACGTAGGCTTCGGCACCCAGAGTTTGTATTACAGAGATGTGGCTCTTTCTGAACAACCTAGATATAGAGAATCAAGATTTCACTTATGATTCAAAACAATACATCTTAGAATTTATACACATGGATTGACAAAATTCCTGAACAATTGTCTAATAAAATTAAATACAAGCTAAAGCCTATAGAAAACACAATCGCAGGGAACACTAATATATACAAACAGATGTGACAAATGTTAATAATAAACAAATAGACACGTCTCCTGAGAAACAAACAAGCGTTGTCCTCACCTGTCTCGTGAGGCTTCCTCCCAAGTTCATAGTCCCAGAGCCAGTCTTGTTGGTCTGCAGCCAGAGCATAGCAGTGGATGTGAGCTTGTAGTGGGCTGACCGTCCGCTCGTCTTCTCCTGCACCTCCACCACGTGGATGCTGTCCCAACACCCCTTGATCTTCTTGGAGCCGTCTCCGGCTTTTTTGATCAAAATTACACCTGAAAAATTATTTAAACACAGCCTATTACTAGAAGGCCAATCTTACTCTACAATACTTCTGCCACTTTCTAGCTATAATAATTATATTGTAAGTCACTTTTTAAAAATGGTTATTTAGAATTTAGAAGAAAATTGTATAGATTTACTCCAATAGTTTCTATTACATATTTAGTTTATAACATTAATTTATTTATATAAATCATTATTACTTATGTTAACTCGAGAGTGCTAGCAAAACGTAGATTCATGCCAGTGTCTGCAAGGTGTCTCTGCTGCAACTGTTTGTAAATGCGAATGATCTGAAGCTATATTTACTGAAATATGCATTTTATTTAGTTTGTACATGCCCCACAATGCAATTATTAACTGCTGCACTGCAGAAACCTTGTCTAAATAATTATGGTGAGAAAGCTAAAAATTGATAAAGTACACGGAAAAATCATTAAATATCTTATTACCTTTAAAAAAAATATAAAGTATAATTTCCACAAATGATTTCAGTATGTTCAAAACAAATATATTTTACATTTTTCACAAAAATATTTAGAAAGCCTTTATCTTTTTTCCACTTTGCAAAGTTTGCAGTTTTTTCATTTCTCTACACACATCTCCTGAATATCTGTCTTCTGGGAAGAAATTGTGACAGCCGATCTCACATAAGACAAATCATTACATTTTCTGAAAAGGCACTTGTCATACACACTGCTGAAAAAAAGCCGTGATACATATCGCTCAGGCCAGGAACTCTCAGAGTACTGACGCCAGTGTACGCAACATATTGCACAGATATCACACAGTGCAGTGATCAAGTTTCAAAATGCTCACAAGAAATTATTCAGCAGAAGGATAAAAATTCTCAGAAAAGTACAATGAAGTACATGAAATATCAGATGACTAGTTCATTGCAATAATTCAGCAACATAAAATTACAGTGGCTTGGATCTCGCAGATCTATTGCAAGCACTCCCGGCTTAATCAAATAAGGTCTCACCTGCAAATCCATGATCCAAGTCCCACAGGTACACTGATGACACTCCACCTTCAAAATACATTTCTCTATATTGATCAAAGGCATGATTAGCATCTACTTCAAGCTTTCTCAAACGTTCCGATGGCATTGACCCATCTTCCAATGGTGGATCGTATGTGTTGCTCCAAGGAGACCTTCAAAGACACAGTTAAGTAGGGCATGGGACAAAATTAATTCATTTTTCCATTTACGATACTACACTTCTTACCTGTACGAGTCTCCATCTCTGTTATAATCACACAAGAGGTAGTCTTTACCCATTTCCTTATCTCGAGCAATTTTTAATGGTTGGTCCACTGACGATAGAAGATCTTCACAAAGACTTGGAACTAAATCAATTAGGTCGCTTAAATTTTTTTCTATTTGTTGAGGAGGCAAGCGCCGCATTAAATCCAAAGCACAATCCATCTGTTGGTCCGTCTGTAGAAAAAATAAAATATCACTCAATAAACATAACCTGGTTTATAGTAATAATTTGAAAATGAGATTTTAAACAATAGTTAAAGAATAGTGATTATGTTGGGTATTATCTGTAAGCAACTAAAATAATGACACTTGTCAAAATTTGCCCATAACTATTCGCATACAGACAAATGGTGAACCCAACCTCCAAAAACTAGACTTGTACTAGTAACGAAATCACACGAAGGTGATAGACTAGTTCACAAATGAATTTTTGAGAAGGAATAATCAGGGTCATTAGATTTGAAAACTGTATTCAACGAAATCAGTCTTAAATAATGAATTTAACATAAAAGGGGTGTGAACCTATGTCGCGGCAGATCACGTTACACCTTATAGATAACTCCCCGATTTCGTTCAAAATCGATGTAAACACCAAGTAATAAACAGAAACATACCATTTTGGAGAAAATGTCTTTTATTTTCACTATTTACACAATTATTTCCGATGTCATAAGCCACTTCACAGGAAAAATGGTGACTACACGACAGATAGGCTACAGCGAGTCTACTGTTCAGTCGACACACTAGCGATAAAAGTTCAGTTACACCGAGAGACAGTCAACGACGACGACTGCGGTGCCACTCCTTCACAAACTCATCGCGGAAATAAACTAGTAGTAAATACGTAAATAAATGCTATCTCAGACACTTGTTTCCGGTGAACACTGCTCAAGTTGAGCAGCTCAACCACTATGTTGACTGTTGGTAGACTGGCTCAAAAAGTTGCCACTGGTGGCAAGTTTGGGTATCCAGAAGGCGTATACAAAATGTCTCCATTGGTTTGAGGGTCTAGGTTATATTCTTTACACCTAATTTAGATAAATTCCAACTGACATACATCTTATTGCGACAAAGGCGTATTCGAAGGTATATTTGAGGACCCTCTCAATGGCATTCATCAAAATAAATTAAAGAAAGTTGCATTTTTTAACAATATTAGTTATCTACAATCAGTAAATAGATATCGTTCATAAGAACTTATTTGAAAGACAAATATATTGTAATTTTACTAGTCTCCCTTCTTATGTAGTTTTCCCAATCATCCCGATTTAATGAGTCATTGTAATGTTTCAGAGCAGCCTTGACAGGAAGGAATTCGTAATACGGTGTTTTTTACCAAATAGGGATCGCCTTTGGGGGCACGGCACTCTGACAGAGCAGTACGAGTGATGTCACTCGTCCGGAAGGAGGTGGCTCGTGTTGACAGTGCTGGAATAAATACGATTTAACTTCGATGTCAAAAACGTTCGATTAATTTAAAAGTGGATAAAGAAACTGGAATTAATTTTATCAAGGAAACATGTCATTTTAGAGGTTTATTTGCTGTAATTCGACGATAATCACGATGGTGAGTCACTTGAGTGTGAATAATTGTATGATAGCACATTCAAATAATTTTGTCGTATATATATCGCAGATCTGTTATTGTCATAATTTTTGAGTAATGCATTATAACAATGCACAATAACACATTAAGTATTATTTATTGATTTGTCGTGGTTCAGGGCTAATATCTTAAAATCGAATCGCCGTAGAAAAAGACACGCCTGTTAAAAATCACTTTCAATATATTTTTATTATTATAATTCAGTTTCATGAATCACCCTAAACTCAGTAACTAGACTTTGTTTTTTATATTGCAGGTGTACCACTGGCAATCCCATAATGTCAAGCTTTCAGGAGTTGACGATATGGTGCTCCTGCCAAAAATATCAGAAGATGCAATTGTTGACAACCTTAAAAAGCGATATATGGATGACTACATATTTGTATCCTTTTACATATTTGGCTGAAACATTTCAGCACACCACTTATAATCATAAAATATGGTCAAAAGTTTCACAAACCGCACGTGTGTATCTATCATACGTAAAGCAACTTTACATCATTTGTATTTTTAGGATTATTGTTGAAACAGCATTAAATCATGATGTGGTATGCTTCTGAGGCTAGAGTCATGGTCTGGACTGTCTGGGTGACGCTGCATCACCTGGATAGCCCACATCAGCATTAAATCATTTTATTTTTTATATAATTAAATGTATTCCTTATTAATTTGTTGTTAAGCATTGCTGTTAATTATTAGAATCTAAAGAGGAGCCCTTGTTTCTTTTTTATACTTACTTTCATTTTATGAAATTAACCTTAATAGTGTTCAGACATGCATTGGTCCGGTTCTTGTGTCAGTCAACCCCTTTAAGCAAATGCCATATTTTGGAGAGAAGGAAATTGAATTATATCAAGGAGCTGTAAGTGAATGAATATGTACCTTTCTATTTCTGTAAGTTCACCAGAATATTCAAAAAAAATTTTTTTGTTTGTTTTAGGCACCTTATGAAAACCCTCCTCATGTGTATGCCTTGGCAGATGACATGTACCGAAACATGCTCATTGACACAGAAAGCCAGTGTGTTATTATCAGGTAAAAATATTGTATGATTAAAATTCATTGGTGTATTATTGGATAAAATTTTCTTAATAATTGCCAGTGTTATTCATTGTGAATACTAAGATAAATGTATCATATGGAAGATTATTAACATAATATGATTATTCTTCAGCTCAAACAGGATTTTCCTCCTGTTGCATGTGTGTGTGTGTTCTTTCCTCATATCTCTCCTCCTTTTCTTTCTTTCTAGTTGAAGAGGATTGGGGTGGTAGTTTGTTACTTTGTCAGCAATGCTATAAATTTAAATCTATACTTAATTTGCCTATGCAAATATGTTTTGTTTTTTTTAACAGAAATGAACATTTCTACTTTTCAATTGTTGCACACATCAGTATCTGTGTTCATTATTCAGCTACCACATTATTGGCAGATAAGGCGATAGATGGTTAAAAAAAAAGTAGCCAAAAAGCCAGTTTTAAGAAATTGCTGCCGTTGCAAGAAATGAAGATCATTGATCTTAACTAAATTCAAAGGCTGTTGATAGTTTGGGGTTCATCTTATTGGGCAGATATATTCTAAAACTATAAAACCTTGAGAAAAATGTATACCTAGGCTTATCTGAAGGTCATCTTACGTGCAGAAATATACAGTATATAGTCGTCATAACCGCAATAGATCATGTGTAAAAAAAATCACTTTTTTGTTTATTACACCATTGTGAACAATCTAGAAAACTGCAGCAGTTGTAATAGGTCTTAAGATGATGGACTAATTAAAAAACTAAATATCATAATAGAACGCGACTGATAGAATGTGATAGTACGTTATTTGTCAACGCGACTGTCAAAACAAGGAGAGATAGAGAACGTTTTTTGTTCCTTGTGAAAACTGGTAGATTTGACATATGACCTACTTTGGTTACCACAACAATTATTACACTATTACACTTTAAACGAGAGAGGTAGGGATTCTGGAGCTCCAGAAATCTTGTGCTGTTTATACTTTTACCCCCTTACTTCACAGATAGTATTTACTGTTTTATTTTTTTAAATTTTTGTGTGTGTGTGATAAAATTATATAGTAAAATATATTATTTATTTAATTAGTGAGTTACAGACAGCTGTAAAAACTAATAAATGCCCGAATCAGGGTAGTAACATTTAATATGATGGCTAATGTATATAATTATAATAATAAATCTCACACATAGTTGTGTAGGAAAATAGAATACTTTGTTGGCTACTTAAGTACAGAGTATAAAATGAAGTAAAAATAAAATGATAAAAATATAGTTTACAGAAAGATAAAGAAAGAAAGGTTATAAGTTATGTTCAAAGTGTTCACATGTTGGTTCGTTATTCATAACAAGTTCCACTTTTCAAGTTCGAACTCTTGGCGAGGTAACTATTTCTTCTGGTAGACGATTCCAAAACTCTACAATGTGATTTGATAAGAGGTTTTGTTTTTGGAATTGTTTAAATTTGGCTTTGTTTAGTTTAAAACTGTGACCTCTCAAGTGGGTATTTCGAGAGCAGATAAACATGTCTTCTAATTCGTGGTATTAGTAAAACTCCACAACCTTAAAGGTTTTGATGAGTTCTGCATGAAAACATCTCTCACTGAGAGGAGACCTTCAGTTCTCTAAGAGCATTGGACAGAACAGCAAGCACAGTCCAAACGGTGCTGCTATATTCAATAATTGGAAGGATGAAGCGTTTATAGAGAAGCTTACATGATTCCCAATCTAAATTTAATCCCTATTTAAAGGCTTTCCTCAGAGATAAAGTTTTTTATTTGCTTTTTTAGTAATATAATTAATGTTTCTCCCATTTCAAGTGATCAGAAATTATTATCCCAGCTCTTTGCTATTTGATCCTATTTTTCGGCTTCATTCTCTGACCTTTTAGGTAGTATGGTATACGAGGGTGGTTTTTTACCAATGTGGATTTTAGAGCTGTTTAAGAATATCTTTTTAAGTTACACATAAAATATGTTTGAAAATTATTTTATTGATAGAACTCAAATGTGAAATATAAATCCTACCTATCAAGGGATATTCATATTCATTTTGGTGTTTAACTAGGTTCACACCTTGGCCCTTTGATTTTCTAGATTAATGTAAATGATTTAAATAGATTATTTCAAAATTTTATCGTAGGCTGACAATCTCAAATTGTATTTTGTTATTGATTCTGTACATGATTGTTATAAACTTCAATTCAATAGTTAATCTCAATTTATTATTTAAACGGTGCAATGCAAAACACCTACTGAATGTTTTCAAGTGTAAAGTGATGTCCTTTGCTAGATCAATAAATCCAGCTTTTGTTAGTTAATAGGATAGGTTGTATTAGAAAGTTTCACAATTTGATTTTAGTGTGATATTTTATACAAAATGAGTTTTAACTTGCGCAATAGAATCAATAGTAAATAAAGCAAATAGAATGCTAGGATTTGTGAAGCACTTAACTGCTGATTTTTATAATTTACATCGTACCATGAAAGTGCTTTATATTTTTCTTATAAGACAAGTATTGCATTATTCTTCTCAAGTTTGGTCATCCTTTTATCGAATACACATTACTAAGTTGGAAACTGTGCAGCATAATTTCCCCAACTATATCGCCTATAAGTTCTATTTTAACACCTCCTAAGTTTGGTCATGATTCCAGTCAAGTTGATTTATTACTGAATTTGAGTTCTATACACTTTTATGGTGATTATTTTTGTCTTACTTTTCCTTTACAACTAGATTACTGATTAAGTAAATCCAAATTATTTATACAATGTAATTCCATGCATCACCTCTGTGACTTGTGCTCAAATATAAATATTTTCTCTAATATTATTTTTGTTCATACAAACTATTATTATGTTTCACCAATGTGGAAGTGTATTGATTAGTACATAATAATTATATTGACATGCCATCTCTTCATACTTTTAAAAATAAGGCATAAGATTTATTGTTAAATGATTTTCATTTATTATGTGTGATTACCAGGGTTCAGATTCTGATGACTTGTCATCGTCTCCTTAGTGCATTTTAGACGTAGCTAACTTGTAAATGATTTTTATCACAGCATATAGGTGATCGAATTGTATGTAATTTTTGTCATTTTGGGGCATTTTGTTTCCTTTTCATGTTTTTTTGTTGGTAAACGTTTCAAAAATTGACAATGACACACTAAAACAAAGTTTTTATTGAATCATTAGTTCATGTTTAAATTCACTACTGCAGTGGACTCTGTTTTTCGAACTCTCAAAAATGCATGGATCTTTGGTAACATCTTTGGCCCTTCAGAACTGACGTTTGGAAGATCGTAGCTAAGGATTACATTTCCTTTTAAAATAAAGACTTTATATTAAATATAATTTTATATTAATACATTTTATTTAAAATTGTAAAATTCATTGAATAAATAAACATAATCATAAAAATTGTTAGTATTAAAAGAAGTAATTTTCCCCTTATTTTTAAGTATTTTAATAGGTCATTTTTCTCTTAAATTCAAGTCATTTTAGAGATTATTTTCAAAGAATTTTTAGGTCATCAGAATCCGAGCTCTGGTCATTACCTACTAGTTGTTTATTTTTATATTCAACATTGATGCATAACATAAATTGTGTATCCCTTGTAAAAATTTGGTGATTTCCTGTTTCTAAATAAATAAATGAATGACTCTAATTTTCAGTGGCGAATCTGGAGCGGGTAAGACAGTAGCTGCCAAGTACATCATGGCGTACATAGCACGAGTGTCTGGAGGGGGTAACAGAGTGCAGCACATTAAAGATGTCATTCTTGAATCAAATCCACTTCTTGAAGCGTTTGGCAATGCAAAAACAGTTCGCAATAATAATTCTAGCAGATTTGTAAGTATTAATAACACATATTCATTAAAACTTTAAATCAATTAATCCAATACTTTACAGTGGAATATGGGATATGTTAAAATTGATGAATGGAGATACAGTATATTTTTCCTTTTAATACTGTTGGATGTTACTACAGCAGTCAAGTTCATTCAATTTTGTATCATTAAAAATGAGAATCTGAACTCATAACAAGTTTACAATAACATGTAACATACTTTACTCGTAACAAGTTGTCATTGATACATTACTTCCTTCTCGTGAAAAGAATTTTCCACATTTTATTAATTAGCGTGTTTCTTCTTGAAAATATCCAATTAGTATCTAAAACAAATTATAATAAAAGCTTGTTTAATATTCAGAGTTTCTAATAGCTCTTAACAAATCCAAAACTAGTGGTAATGTAATTATGTCACAACTAAGAACTGAAATTTCAAAAGCAAATTGTAATCGTTAAAGGACAACCCCTTCCCCCTGGCATTTAAAAGGATCTACCTTTGACATATAAAGGGAGACAGAGGGAAATGTTTGTATTTCATTCTCCTACTTACTTCACATAAAAATAATTGTAATTGATTAAACCCACCTAGTCTAACATTTTGTTTGTGCTAAATTGGTTAATTTTGAGAAGTAAAAATTGTCAATCAGTTCGGGGATCCTGGTAGCTTCTCATTATGTTTGCTTATTTTTTCTTTTTTGTTTGTTTTTCCCCCATGTAGATACAGTTGTTATGCAAAAAATTAATGTGAAGAATTTGATGAAAATACTGTGTGTTTTGTGGATTCACTATTCCAAATATTGTTTTTTTCAAATCATCTCTCTGTCTGTCTGTCTGTGAACAATGCTAGGTGCTAAACTGTTATTAATAAATTGAATGTTTGCTATTTTTATAAGCAATTTTTGATCTATCTAAGAAAGAAAAGGTAAAAAAGAAATGGAGCAATTTTTGAGAACATTTTGAAAACTTCATTGACGTTTTATGTGAAAAAATCAAATTCCATTGCAATTTCAAGGAATCATGGCATTAGCCTAATCAATCAGGGAATATCAGTTTTGATGAAAATTCTGCTTTCTGTTTAGCAGCTAGCATTGCTTGCAGACAGCATTTGGCCACGAACCAATTTTGCAATATCAAGAATCCATAAAACCTGGACATTTTCAGTGTCAGGGATCCACAATTTGAGTTCTTCTGTTGAAAAATCATCACTTTTCGCTGCACCTGTTCAATATTTGCTGTGTAATATCTTTGTTACCTTTGTACTTTGAGAGAAAGAGAGAGCAAAAAAATGTAACATTAAGATATTCCCACAAATGGCACCAAAATGTTTCTTTAAATGTTTGCTTAATAATGTGGAATAAATTCAGTTTTCATTAGAAACTTTGCAAGTTTGAAAACTGCAAAAATAAATTTGTTTTCAAATTTCTCCTTTATTTGCAGCTAGATTTTTTATAATGCAATCTATTGTTCAATTTTAGATCTTAAAATTATTTAACATAAACTGTTTTGAAAATGGTACTTTTGGGAAAATTTTTGTGTTTATATGGTGGAACCTGCCCTCCGTCCTTGATGTTAAAGTTTAAGAAGTGATTTTTATAATCCAGCGTTTGATGAAAATTAGCATTGTTGCAATATCACTTCTTAAGTACTATCATCAAAGGTTTTAGGTTGTAAAGACTCCATTGATCATTATAGGGAATAAGCCTGGTGTTTGAATTTTTAGGAAATTATTTTAAACAAGAAGTCTGTAATCTGAACTTTCATAGTACTATTATTTAATTGCCTTTTTCTTCAAATAATTTAGTGCTCTAAACCTTTTAAATACTATAGAAAAAAAATTGAAAGATAGTCCAATAACTTCATGGCTAATATTTTAAGGAATCTGTTAGTTTGAGAATTTATAAAAAAGTTTATGAATGCTGTGAGAGAGATCTAACATTCTATTGTGTCCTTGGTAAAGCATTCTGCTTTTTCTCTATTGAGTATTGTATTTTTACTGAGAAACAAATAATTAATGCGGAAAAAATCTCTAAGTTGTTTATTAAGACAGAGAGTATTGCTGTATAATGGCATTATGTATTGTCACCATCAAAATCATGCTAATGATTAGACATTAATTTTGTGGGAGGGGGGGTAGAGAGTTTAAAATTTGACACAAATAAATTATTAAATATATTATTTTCAGCAAAAATGAAACTAATTATCTTACAGTTTGTTAATAAGAATTAAAATATTTTATCAAGCTCTTTACAACAAGCTAGCTCTCAACATTCTTTAGCTATTCATAAAACATAAAAGATTTAAATTACACTTTTCTTCTGAACAATTAATATTTTTTTGATTTATTATAGTTGTACTTTGCCTTTATTTTAAAAAGTGATATTTTCCAATGAATTCTTCTTTTCCAAATTCTTTCTATTGTGTTTGTTTCTCTTATATTTATCTTCCAAAATTCCTTTAGATATAAGCTCAGTATCCAGATCTCTGCGCACACAAATGTTATTTAGACTATTTAAATCTAGTTGTTTTTCATAACATTTCACAACATATACAAATAATTAGAAATTATCCTATGAGGAAATACATCCAGTGTGCAGGCCTGTTATATCATAAAGCTACAATAATTCTTATTTATAGAAAAAAATAACAAAAAATAAAACTTTTACAAGGTATAAATGAGAAGGAACAAACAACAAACACACACGTACTTGCATAGATATACAAATGTATAAACATTCTTACACACACACATATACATATATATTTACACAGTGCTTGATTTGTAAAATTTTAGGTCCTGGAACACACTCCAAATTAATTATTTATTAAATAAAAATGGTTATATATTTATAATATAATTTAATAATTATTCTTGAGGTACCGGAATGCTGTTCCGTTGTTATCTGCCAGAAATCAAGCCCTGCATATTCATATACATACTTACACACCTACATTGATACACGTATTTCCATTTTACATGATAATTTTTTAAAATTTATTTCATTTTGTTTTTTTCTCTTAATTGGATGGAATGACTAGGGGCGAGACAATGTCTGCTTTGAGGTCAATCAAAAATTCTCTTTATTGTGTTATTAGAGGTATGATTAATATATTTGATATAAACAGTCAACAAGTTAAATTCTATATGACTAATATAATTTTGATTTCGTCTACCAATTTCTTTTTTAACCAATTTCAATTAATTTATTTTTATTTGTACTTTCTTTATGTAGGGAAAATATGTAGAAATTTTGTTTGGAAGTGGTGGCCAGCCAGAAGGTGGTCGTATATCAAATTTCCTTCTTGAGAAATCTCGAGTGACAACTCAGAATTCAGGAGAACGGAATTTTCATATTTTTTATCAACTTTGCACTGGTGCTTCAGGAAACATGGCACGTGAGTAGTGCAGGACATATTTTTCCTTTTGAATTTTGAGATCTTTTCAGATCTGCACAAAATACGGAGTGGTCAAAGTCATGACAAATTGAAAATTTTAAAATGTTTGTGATGATTTAATGAAGAATTTGTAGAGTTTGTATTTTTCATCATGAATGTATCACCTAAATAAGAATTTATTTTAGAAATGTGAAAAATGTTAATTCATTATTCTTTTTAAATACAATGAGTACCCCTCATTAAAAATAATGAACTAATACATTAATATATGTTTTGCTACATATGCAAGAACATTGCTAGAACCATAAGATTGTATCCTTTACCTAGGTAGAATTAGGTATCTTTTCCAAAAACACTCTTCTGAAAATGCGACGGACAATATTTTAATTATACAATACTTGTGAAATTCTAGTGCTCCAAAAATTACTTTGGGGCATAGTAGATTTCTTGCGGGTTGCATTTGGAAGATGTTTCTCGAAAAGTATGTTAAAATTTTGAATTATGTTCGTTAATATGTCTTTCATTATTAATGAAAGATACAGTGATAGTTCCCAGTTAGGAATCCAGTATAATGTTCATTGAAATTTGACTTAAAGTTCTTATTTATGATTATGTGTCCTTGATCTTTATTTTAATCTTACTATATTAAAATTAAGTAAGTATTATTTCTTTTCTTTGACAGAGGATTTGGGGTTGACGGAACTCGACTATTATCATTATTTAAGTTTTGGTGGCAGTCACAAAGTAGATGGCACCAACGATGCTCATGATTTTCAAGAAACGTTGAAAGGTGACTATTGTAATGATGAAGAAATTACTGTTTGCAATGCTTCTACTACATTATCTTCAATGTCGCATGACAATATTCATTATTGTTTCAGCTATGAGTGTAATGGGAATTTCAAATGAAGAACAAAACAGTATTTTGAAGTTGGTGGCTGCTGTTTTGCATTTGGGAAACATTTCATTTGTTGAAAGTGGAAATTATTCAGAAATTCAAGATCATAGTTGTAAGTTCATTTTTCCTTATATTTACTGCATTAATGAATGATATCCACCTGGCATTTTTACAATGATTACTATTATTGTAAAACATTACTATTCAAAAATATTTGATTAGTTAATGACCCGATATTAAGTTTTAAATCGGAAGTTTAGTGCAACATCAATTTTTGCAGCATTTCCTGAGGTCTTATCATTTTATTTTGAATTGCCACTTTCCTCAACATTTTTCACAGCTTTTCTCTCTTCCTACCACTTTAAATATTTGAGATGGGGACAAAAACATGATGAGACTAATACCACTTTCATCATCTGTGGTTTCTTTCATGTTCATGCCATTTTAAGGATTATTTATTATTGCTTGTTCATAATGAGTGAATGAATGATACTGTGCTTCTCAGACATGGTGATGAGTCCTTGGTTACATTACAGATGTTAGAAATACAAGCATTAATATTTTATTAAACATTACAAGAAAGAGACTTAATTAATATTTCGGGCACATGAATCTGAAGCACTCTAAACTACTCTCTCTCTCTATAGCTTTTCCTCTTGCACAGTTCTGTCTTGAGGGAAATATTGTGAAGGGGAACTGTCGTGAGTCCTAATGGTTGTTTTAAATAATTTTGTTGTACATTACAACTCATAAAAGGTCTACAATATTTAAATATTGAGGTTTATGAATACTTTTGCCTATGATTGTATATTGGCAAACTCATATCTAAGATATTTGATTTTGACTTGTCAGTATATTGTAATGTAAAGAAATATTTAGTAATCATTCTTAATGTAGTAAAATATGAAATTATATCAGTTATATTATATCAATAATTAAATTTGAAATGTCCAATTTGAATTTTATTTTTCCTTCCCTAAATATAATAACAAATGTCTTTTCTGTTTGCAGTTCTGGCTTTCCCATCCCACCTGCTGGAGGTGGAACAAGGCCAGTTGCAGAGTAAGCTCACCAGTCGGCGCTTCGACAGCAAGTGGGGCGCGCAGTCTGACACCATTGATGTCACTCTGAACGTTGAGCAAGCCCTCTACACTAGGGATGCCTTAGCAAAAGCTGTGTATGCGAGAATGTTTGACTACCTAGTTAAGGTATGGGTTATTAGAGGTTTTCTGCATGCATGCATGCGCACGCATGTAAGAATTCACCTTTGATTATGGCCAAGGTCCAAAATTGCATAGCTGTAAAGATAGCTATAGAGTACAAGAGGGGTACGTACTTTTTATTGAATTCACAGATCAGGTATAATTCTTAAAACTGAAAATCATGTTGAATTTCAATTTCATTTTGTATTTCTACAAACACTAATTATTTTCTTTCTACTGTTTCTAGAGAGTAAATGGTGCAATGGAAACCAATGTAAAAGGACAAAATATTGGAATTTTGGATATTTATGGGTTTGAAATTTTTGAACGCAATGGCTTTGAGCAATTTTGTATAAATTTTGTGAATGAAAAATTGCAGCAAATATTTATTGAACTGACCTTGAAAGCTGAGCAAGTAAGTTTTGATATTTTTGTTTAATATTTGTAAGTGAAGTGCTTGTTACCTGTTGTTTGGTAGCCACTGTTATTGCCAATATTTTTGCAATTGTTTTGCGTTCTTGTTTGTTACTAGAATGTTTATTTAAATATAGAGCTTCGCCAGTGTGATAGTTTAATGAAACCCATAATAATCAAACTGAAATTTTAATAAATGTTTTTGAGTTAAAATTAAGTTTCAGTAAAATTAATTCATATTTGTGTTACCTTCCTTGAGTTAACAATTGTTTAATATGGTTTTGAGTGTTGCGTTTACATTTATACCCTTCATTTATAAAACTACTATTTTCAATTGTACATGGATTTGATTTCAGGAAGAATATGTGGCTGAAAATATTAAATGGACTCCAATCGATTACTTCAATAACAAAGTGGTGTGTGATTTAATAGAATGCAAGAGGCCTCCAGGATTATTTTCAGTCATGGATGATGTTTGTGCAACAATGCATGCAGTCTCAGATGGCGTTGATCAAGATCTTCAAAAAGTAAGACATGTTCTACATCTTTCTTTAGTTTCTGCAAAGAAATACATAGTATACCTTCAGGAATGATCGGAAATTGTAAATGGTGAATGAAAAAAAAAAATTCTTCTTTGCTTAACCTCTGTTCAGTCCCACGCCACTCTTTTCTTCCCCTAATTTTTCCTCAAGATTATTTTGAGTTCACTGATAAAATGTTTTTTCTTTACAAACAAATTGGGCCTTGCCATTGACTTACGTAACAAATTAGCATAGATTACATCAGTGATTCTCAACCGTTGGGAACACCTCCATGTTTGGCATTATCCTGTCTACGAAACAAGTTGATGAGAGGTTCTCTGAACATTTAACATACATATTTCTCATGAAAAAAAACAGAATTATTATATTTTACTGCATATGATATTCATACTAATCATTGAATCTAAAATGCCAAATAAAACTTATTCTAATCAGTTTGATACTAATTACTTGAGGGAAATGTATTCTCATTTTATTGCTATTGTGAATTTCTTACTCATTTAAACAAGTGAAACTGCTAAACTGAGACTAGTTTTATAGACAGCAAATGGTAGACTTATTCAGCAAGTATTCTAGTTAATGCTATTAACTAATTGTGCCACTTGAACAGCTTATGATTGATTCAATTGCAATGCAACTGGAATTCACTGCTATTGATGGGAAGACAAGATATACTTTGGCTTGTACCTTGTAGGAGTGACACTCGTTCATTTGTATTAGTTTTATAGTACTAGAAGGCAGAGGGGTACCTGGCTAAATAACTTTTTTGAATTTTGAACTTGAATTTTCAGCAGAGCCGAACGATGTCAGTAAGTTTTTCTGCAGCATTTCTTTATTATTTTTTATTTAATCATGACGCCAAATTGAGAAACAGTGAACTAATTAATCAAATAACGTATGCTATAATATCTTGTCAAATAAAAGACCTCCCTTTTATCTGAAAATATGGACTATTTTTTTGTGAAGATAATAATACACAAGTATTTGGGACCTAAACAATAGTAATCATTAAAGACTAGAATATTTCTGCTGCTAAATCTGCCTGCAGTGTTCTTGGCACTTCAAAATGAAATCTCTGACGTGAACCTCACCTGTGGAGACGTGATCTCAGGGCCTGTCTTTTTTTTTTATTCCGAGTGTGCTCAACTTACATCCTGCCCTGAATTCGATATCCCCCTTTTAAGTCTTTTTGATAATATAATTGATACTGAGAGACCAAGACTGAACCATCCCTTTATGTATAATTGCAATGGATGATTTCTGGATCTTTCTGCAGTGAATGTAAAGTGTGTGATTTAAAGCCATCACCTCTTATTTCGAGAACATCCCTTAAATTGCTTATTAATGTCTTAATGCACTTTTTTCTCCTTTCTTTCTTTTTTGTAACAAAATGTCTTCCAAATGTTTGTTTTACTAATAAAAGAGGGGTGCCTTGTAAATAAGAAAATAAGGAATGTATTTATTTTTCCATTTTTTCAGAAAATGAATACTGCCCAAGGCACTCATCCTCATTTTCAAATGGTTAAGGAAGGATTTGTGATTCATCATTATGCTGGCATTGTAACTTACAATACAGAGGGGTTTTGTGATCGCAATCGTGATGTTTTGTTTCCTGATCTTGTTGAACTGATGCAGTCAAGCAGCAAGTAAGTACACAATTTGAAATACTGACAACATTGATGCAACATTACGCAGGTTCAGTGGTGTAACGGTTAGCATATCGAACTGTTGTACCTAAGTTTGCGGGTTTAAACTTGGTTGAAGCCATGTATTTTTAAGGGGAAAAAAACTTTCGGAGGGGAAGTAAAGCTGTCCGTCCCTTGTTGCAGCTTACTGCATGTAAAAGATCCTCAAACTTAAATGAAGCTTCTGAGCAAAGTTCAAAATGGCTGTTTCATGACCCGAGTGATTCCTCCTTTCTTTGCCAGGCGGCGAAGGGAGCATAGTGGAATTTGCATGGTCAGGCAGAAAAGAAGGTCTCATGGCCTGAGCCTCACCATGGAACATACGGCATCTTTGAATTGAATTCAATGTTGCATGCAGTTAATCCATCAGTTGCTCACCCATTTTAAAGTGTTTCATCACATGCCCACTTTTGTTTCACATAGGTGTCCAATAATCTTAAAATTTTAATTTCTAAGTTTTATTTAAAGTGGATTGTTAATTCGTTTTATTTACAACTAGTGGATTAGGTAATGTTTCGCTATTGCAGTGTGTTACACATCACATGCTACTGGTCAAGGAATTGTTAATCATGCTTCATGCTTCTGGCAAGTATGGGGTTGTTCTAGGTTTTGGTTTGAAAATGGTTGTCAAGTTTTCTATTGTTAAAACATTCCTCCTTTAATTTGGGCATGCTTTCGCTATGATACTGTTTTGGAGAAATTTGATTTACTCATCCTAGATTCCAGTAATAATTGCTGCCGATATTTCACAATCGCAGGGGTAGAATACTTGTATGCAGTGAACAAGCGCTTAATCCTTAACACTGCGGTTGGCTGCATAAAGTTCAATGGAGCTTGAGTCGTCATAAACACATAAATCATCAACAACTCACATGTCCGATTTAATTCAAACCGTTCTTTAAACTCTGCCATTACTAATAATAACAAATTGTAAAAATTTCAGCATAATTGGTCAAGTAGTTTGTGCAAATGTGCGGCACAAATACACACATTCCCTTTTATTTATTCATAGATTTATTGTTACAATAAAATATATTTTAATGCAAATTTCTGAGATTCATGGATTATTTTAAGGGTACAAAGTTAAAGATAGGTTATTACAATTCGGAGAATGCTATTCAATTGTGGTGTCAATGTGTTAAGTTGGTAATGCTTTTCTATTCCAGTCCATTTCTGCAGAGCCTCTTTCCTGACCAAGTGAGTGCAAGTGCAAAATCTCGACCAACCACTGCCGGCAGCAAAATTCGGACGCAGGCCAATCAGTTGGTGGAACAGTTAATGCAATGTACACCGCACTACATCAGGTGCATCAAGCCGAATGAAACCAAACGACCACGAGACTGGGAGGAGCTGAGGGTAAAGCATCAGGTGGAGTACCTGGGACTCAAGGAGAACATCAGAGTGCGACGCGCTGGCTTCGCGTATCGCAGACCATTCAAGAAGTTCCTGAACAGGTAAAGATATCTAATTTTTGTTGGAAGGATTTCCTTATTTGTGTTTGTTTGTGTGTTTATTCAGATATTTATTGATTGATTTATTAACAGACATTACAGTCCAAGGTTTCTTTTACAAGACAATAGTGGCCTCTATGGGAGTTTAACATAACAAAATTATTATAGGAATAAATATAAATCGTAGAATATTGTTGCATATCGTAAATTGTTCAAGTATTATTAACACACTCAAGTCTGAGGAATAGGCTATGTGGTTAACTAGTGTGACCTGGGCATTTTTGTTGTTATTCAAAATGTACCATACTCGTTAATTTGAAGCTAATATAATTTTGAGTTTTATCTTTCCTCTATAAGTGCATATTTAAGTTTTGTTTATTTGACAGGTAGTGGTTAAAATAAAATTTAAAAAAACTAAAAATTTTGTTATTTTTGCTGTAAAAAAAATTAATGATACAAAATAAGAAAAACAATTCAGAGAACTTTACCCAGCAGCAATACAGGGTCTCTGTAATTATGTTTTATTATTGTTTGTTGGCTTTTTGAAGCGTGTCGTGTTAATTGAGCTTTGATGTGGAGTGCTCAAGAAGTCTGGAGCTCTCTTACAAAACAGTTGACAGTTTCCTGCTTCCTCTCTTCCTGCCATTGCTGTTGCTTTGACCTTGCATTTGCCACTGGGGTTTGTTTTCCTTCAAACCTCTGTTTCGTTTTCAATAATCACTACCATTTTAGAGGTTCATGGAGAGGTATTTGCTCTATTTCTCAAGGTTCGTGGCTGCTAATCTGATTGAATCTTTCTAAATATCGATTTATTTCACTGAGATGATTCGCTGAACATTGATTCGCTTCCAGGAAAAAGAAAATTGGCAATTGGCATGCACTCAAAGAAGATATATCGTATAGATGTATGACATACTGATGTATTCTTTTAAAATTTTTAAAATTATGTAAATGTATGTTTATGAAATATTTCTAGCGATGTATATATTTATATTTCATCTTTTATAATCCTTTGCATTTGTGAATATGAGTGCTTCAAACAATGCCGTATTAACTGTTTCAAAAATTCAAATTTTATGTGAAATTGACATAAAAATTATGCATTTTCAGAAATGCTCTAACAACATTTTCTCAAAAGCGCTCCAAATTTTACAATAAAAAATTTGAATATAGGACCAGGTTTACTCTTCTTTAATATTCCAAATGTCATATTTCAATTCTACAAATAGATAAAAAATTCGAGAAAAAGTGAAAAAAGTATTATAGGTACTGATTGCATATTAGCAGGGAAGAGTTCGGGGCAGAATCGAAAAGCTAGCCCAGGCTAAAGAGATTAGGAGACTAACAAGTGTCTAACTTAACTTTGTTCCATTCTGAAACGTCTCTTGTTTCAACTGTGTCAGTTGGTTCTTTACTGTTTTATTACGTCGTCATCATCATCATCATCATCATCATCATCATCATCATCATCATCATCATCATAAAAGACTAGGCCTGTTGTGCTGCCAAGAAGATTGTCTGTCAATCTTCTTGTAAGGCCTGTATCTCAAGTTTCCTTTGGGTACGTAGTGGAGGAGTTTATTTGGTAGTCTCTCGTCAGTCAGCTGTTGGATATGATGGAACCATTTCTCTTTTCGCACTTGGATTTTCATATTGAGGTAGAAAATTTTCAGTTCTTTTCTTATGTCTTCGCTTGTTATGTGGTGTGGTACAAGTGTGTATCCTGCAACAGATCTTAGAAGTCTCATTTCAGCAGCCTCAATTTTCCTTCTATCCAAGCAATTCCTGCTTGACATTCGCAAAGATATTCAAGTACAAGAACCGCCCTCACCTTGTAAAATTTCATTTGTCTGTTCTTTCTCACTTTGTTCTTAAGGTTTCTTTGTTCCACACTTAGCCTGAAATTTATTGAGATTTTCCTTCTTGGATGTCCTTGCAATAAGAGATGGTATGTCCGAGATAGTTAAATTCTGATACTTGATCTAGTATGATGTTTTCTGCTACTATTTTTCACCTCAAATGATGTTATTTTATTACATTATTATTTTATTACACTCATGTCTCTTTAAAGACAAATCAAACCAAACAGTTTTTGTTGTTTTGTAGATATGCCATTCTCACGAAGGAGACGTGGCCCAAGTGGAGAGGCCAAGACCAGCAGGGCGTGGAGTGGATCATGCGGAGCGTCAACATGGAGGCCAGCCAGTTCCAGCTGGGGAAGACCAAAGTCTTTGTCAAAGCTCCAGAGTCGGTAAGTATTCTCTGGCAACCGGAGTCACAAACTATTGCCCGAATAATGTTTCTGCCTACTGGATAGCTTCGGGTGGGGGTAGTGTGAGGTTGCCACTTACTCTGCCAGCAGACACAAGGTCGTTCTTGGTTTGGATCACAACAATAGTAGTAGTAGCAGGAAACAAGTCGCAACAAGAGCACATGACACAGTAGAAGACACAGATCCTCACACGATGCATGACCAAAGAAGTAACAGTTACTTTGTGCTCTTAGATTCATTTTTTTCTTAATAAGTATCGGCAACTCTGCAGTGACAATATCAGGATTCAAAGCCTCTTATTGGATATCGGAACCACCTCTTCCCTGTCAGCCACTAGCTGTCAAGTAGACAGAACTATTATTCAGGCAATACTTGTCTGTCCGCGAAATACCCATCCTTGGCACAGGTGCCAACCTCTTCACATTGGCCGATCACCCAGTGTACTGGCTGATGGGTAGAGGGGAACCTTGCTGTATATAAACTTGTGTGCAGTCCATCTCTGTGCATCTCACCCTGAGAAAAGCCACAGAATAGCAGTTGAATCCCTAGGATGCAGTGTTTATTAACGTTGTTGGGTCCAAGTTTCTCAACTTGTTTTTGCTCATTATTTGTTCACATTGGCACATCTCAACATTATAGACAGGAATTTATTATATTACAAACTTCTAAACAATCACATATCTTCTGTTAAAATTTACTAAAATTTGTTTTTGTTTGGTTATTTTCAATTAATGAGAATTATGTCAAATTTTCTTATTGATAGCTATTCATGCTGGAGGAATTGCGTGATAGAAAATTCAATCAGTATGCAAGAGTTATTCAAAAGGCTTTTAAGAAGTATTTTGCGCGGCGCCAGTATGAGAAGCAGAAGGGAGAAGCAGCAAGTAAGCTACTCTGTTTTATTTGTTTTTGTTTTGAAACTTCCTTCACCTTTGCTTACATATCACAAACTTCATTGATTTTGCGTTCCTGTTTGCAAAGTATTCATTTCTCTGCTTTGTTTGTTCTTTGGCAATTTTATTCCTTATCCATAGTAAAATAAACTTGAAATTAACAGAAGATTCAGAAATGTTTACAGTTGCTGTTTCTATGAATGATTTGTAAAGAGTGTTACTTCCATTAACTCAATGTTGTGCTTTTTAAGTATTAATTTTTGGTTTGTAAATTGTATTTTCGATTCTTGGTGCTTTGAGTAATTTTAAAATTCAGTGTGTTTGTAAGATTATATTTAGTTTTTTATGGATCTATGGTATTTATTTTTTTATATTAATGATGTAGTTTTAACCACAAGAAATAATTTGTGTATATTAAACATTTCTGATTGGGGTCTTTCTAATTTCCAGACATTTTATTTGGAAAAAAAGAACGTAGAAGATTTTCTATAAATCGTAATTTTGTTGGTGATTACATTGGAATGGATTGCCGACCTGTTCTCCAAAGTTTAGTTGGGCGAAGAGAAAAAGTGCTATTTGCAGAAGTTGTGAAGAAATATGATCGAAGGTTTAAGGTACTCATTACAATTGCATTTGTAATTTGTGCCCCCTTTATTATTTAATATAAGATTGAAACCTTTAAACATTCAGAATTTATTATGGAATCAGAGTTCAAAATCCAATGACAAGTTTCTTTTGTGTCTTAAAACCATTTGTTGAGGTTCATTAGGTAATTTCTTCATTATTACGATGCATGTTTTGAAAAAGATTAATAAATATTTTTTACATAATAGTGAGATAGTTACAACTGACATAGACAGGTACTTATCATTGGCATGAGTATGATCGTCTACATTAACTTTCTTCTCTTATGAATTATTAATGTTTTTTATGTTATGCAGTCAACACGCCGCGACTTGATTTTAACAGCAAAAGCAATATTCCTCATTGGCCGTGAGCAAGTGAAAAAAGGACCCGAAAAAGGAAAGTGTGTGGAAGTAGTGAAAAGGAAATTGGATTTACAAAACATCAGCCACATATCATTGAGTCCCCTGCAGGTAATTAGAGTTTTGAATGGAACTCATTCAGTTTTTATGGAAAACATTTTTTGAATAAAATCGTTTTCTGAATGCACTGAAGCATTGCAGGAACATAATTTGTCTCTTAAGAAATAGTAGTATATGAGGGTATTTTATTCACATTGATATCGTATTAATATTAATGTATATAGAAATTATTCTGTGATTTGGTTTGCTAACTATTTTGAGAAGAAGAAAAAAAGTTAAATATAAAAAATTTATTTCCGTGGGGTTCCATTATTATCAAACGTTTTTGAGAGCTAGCATCTGTTTTGTTCATTTGTTTGCCTATATTTATAAATTAATTTCTGTACTTATTACAAGCTTGCGATTGTAGAGTTGAAATACGCAAGTCTTCAAATCCTCAAGTATAAAATCTGGTTGTGATACAAGAGAACTTCAGAAAAGTTTACATGTATATGTGGAATTGAATATAATAATTTTGTGAACGAAAAAAATGTGTTTCAAGTACATTCTCTGAATCAAATTCCCCCAATATTAATATTTATAAAATAATATTATGATAACTACGACAAGATTAACAAGAAGAAAAACAATAACTAATAGCAATAGGGTGGCCAGCAAACATGGAAACCTTGAAACCGGGAATTTTTTATCTATAATTACTATCAGCACAGATTCATACACATCATTATTCGTATCAAGTTTTAAATCATTCAAATTGAAAATGGAATAAAATAATAGTTATGGCTGAAGTAGATGTTACGAGTTGTGCTCATAATGTAAAATTTGAATCATAATATCGCATATTTTTCCAACAGGATGATTTCTTAATTGTTCATATGCGAGATGATTATGACAGTATCCTGGAGGTTGTTTTTAAGACCGAGTTTCTTCTCACTCTAAGCAAGAAATACCAAGCACATGTCAATCGTGAACTGGTTATAAAGTTTTCTACAAGGTATAGCATCACAATCTCTCTATGGATGGATATATCAAGTATTGTTGGATTCTGAGATAAAATCTTTTCATTTCGTTGTTTCTCAGCCTCGAATTCCAAGTGAAAAAAGAAGGATGGGGCGGAGGCGGTGTTCGACAAGTGAAATTCGTGTTAGCCCCATCAGCTGGGGACATGGCTTTGCTTAAACCATCAGGGAAAACATTAAATGTTACCATCGGTCATGGATTGCCAAGCAATTCAAGTAAGTAGTCACCAAGGCGCTTTTAGTTTTAGGAGATTTAGACAATATTTCAGTAAGTGGTTTTTAGAAAATAATTTTGCATCCACGACTAAAACATTGCAAAACTGATTAATTTGAATAACCAGAATTTGAAAATTGGAGAGTGGTGTAATAAATTGTAATAAAACAAAATCAAAATATTTACCTACATATGAATGTGTTTATTTTTTCAAAAATATATTTGGAATTAAAAACAAAATTTAAATAACAGAAAATCCTATTTAGTTTATTATAACGATGTAGTTCAATATTATTTGAAAATTTGTATTAAATATTAATTATTCTAATTAAAAAAAGCCTTTAAAATTATACTTCAGTTGAAAGCACATGAAATTGCAAGCATAAGGTTGCGATTTATGCGGCGGCGATGGTGTAACGGTTAGCATACTGGACTGTTGTACCCAAGTTGGCGGGTTCAAATCCAATCGAAGCTGTGGATTTTTAAGGGCGAAAAAATCCTTCGTACACCTTCCTTCGGAGGGGAAGTAAAGCCGGCTGTCCAATGTTAGTACATTTACTTGCATGTAAAAGATCCCTCTGAGCCAAATTCAAATCGACTGTTTCTCGCCCAAGAAATACCTCCTTTCTCTGCTAGTTGGTGAAAGGAGCGTAGCGAAATTTGTGTGGTCAGACGGGAAAGCGGGCCTGATGGCCCGAGTCTCGCCATGTAAAATAAGGCAAATTCAATTCAATGTTGTTGCAATTGAGTGAAGTATTGCCTGTCAAGCCAAAGTTCTTCTCTGTCCGTATGCAACACTGTTGGGTGCTGAGGCCTAATGGATCTTGAGAGGAACAACAATGACCGACCAATACCCTCATGTTTGGCACTGAAAGTATTGTTTGGAAGAACTAGTCCGAATTGCATGCTGAATGCCCTATTTGTCTGATACAAATAATCACCAAAAAATTATTTTCTTGACATTTTACTTAAAATTTATCTGTTTTAGCAAGTATTTTGAACTAATACCTGTAAATATATTATATGAGTATTTGAAAATGTAATTTTCATGAAATAGCATAAAAACTTCATTAATGACTTAACAAGGCAACAAGAAGTGTTTATATATGTATAAGAGGTTAAGTAGAGATGTACGTGTTATGAGGAAGAATAATTCACACATATGAAATAATCTCTCAATTTTCACATATCACACTTTTACATCGGAACTACCAATATGAACTATGCTCGGTGAATCATATAACATTTAGTTCAATAGCTTCATCAAACGCACAAGTTTGCAATAGTCTGCTTCCTGTAATGCTTCTGTTTCAAGTGCCTTCTTGTGGTTTGTTTATCTGCTCGTACCCTTCGGTGCCACTTCACATCTTAATCCAACTCTGCTGTTGTCATGCGGCAATGCCACAGAACTGCAAATCATAGAATCATAGAGGGAGCTTAATGGCCTTAAGGCTTGCATTGTCTTGACGTGAACTGAAACTGTCCTGCAACAGCAAAAATGCTGCAGAACAAAGCCACACAAAATGATTTTTGAAAACGTAGCATGCATGTATATAAGATGCTCCGTAATAAACTAATTTTCATAAATTAATTGTTTAAATACTTCTCAATACAGTTAAAAGTTGAACTTGTAACAGTTATCACAGTAAATTGTTAGAAAATCTGTGTATTGTTAATTTCTGTCTTTCTGTCTAAAAAATATAAAAGTTCAATCCAGTAACTTCTCAGCCCTGTCGTTTGCGTGTTTTGTTTGTTTTGCATTGTAGTTATCTCTTGCACTGGAACTTGAATTGAAATTGTTCCTAGTATTTCTTTTGTACTTTGCTTATTCATTGAAGTGTTTTTGAAATTCCTGCCCTTTAGAATTTTAAATCTTAAGAAAATTAACATTTGTGTAATCTTGAATAATTGTTTGTTGCACATTAATTCCTTTAAATGAAAGACATCTACTTAAGACCCTAAATAAAAATTTGTGGTGTTCTAACTTGTAACATCTAAAGGTGTGGAAACTCTTGGCCCTCCACTTGGCAATGCCTACAGACCTTCCCCACCACGTCCTCGGTTCTCTGCGGCCTGCACTTTACCTCTGATCAAGCACTCATCCCTCATGGACGTTTGTCCTCCACAGTGAGAGAGTTCTCCCTTCCAATTCTAAGGTTAGTGGCATTTTCAAGCCTTGTTTGGCAGAAGTAAAGCAGGATTTTGTAACCACTCACTCAACAATTTTCACATTGAGACACTTTGTAATTGGCAAACAGATCAATGTAAACTTAGGTGGTGAACCTGAGTCAGATGAAAGTATCTCGAAAATACTCTAAGGGGCTGTTCACAAATTACGTAACACAAATTTGGAATACTCTCTCTCCCCTCTGTAACACACCTGTAAAATGTGCTTGAACCCCCTCTAATAATTACATAACGCTTGCGATAAGAACCCCCTCCTGCAATTACAAGAAATTAAAAATTAGACGTTTTCCAGCACACAATTACATAACTTTCTCTTGTTACGAAGAACTTTGTAAGCCAAGAAAGTAAAATCGATTATAAAGCAGAAACAAGTTGTATTAATTGTATTTGTGTTATAGATTAAAAATTCTAATTATGAAAGTGAGAATTAGTTAATGGTGCAGACTGTACTTAACAATAGGATTGGGGACAGTTTTTGAATGAAAGGAGGATGCATATGCGAGGAAAATTTCTGGCAAGCTGTGCACACACCATCGTGTATAATGCATGTTCTCAGAGTCTACTGCATCAATTTAACTGGATTTGAGAATATATTGTAAATTAGATCAGTTTTCAATATTTGCTTCATAATATAAAAGATTCATTCATTGAAAAATATTTCTATTTGTTGTAACAATTTATACAACATAACTTCATTAATTTATTATATTTTTTTTAAATTTAATTTGTTAGTATGATAATTTTTTAGTAAAAGGCTGAATAAAAAGAATTATTTTAGTTAATGTTGAAAGATTTTAAAAATAAATATGAGCATTACGTAGCATTAAGACCCCCCCCCCCCCACTTCCCTATGTAGCTTTAAACCTGCTTGCCCCTCTCTTTAGCATTACATAATTTATTGATGATTACTCAATACTCTTGTTAACAACGACATTATTGGCGGAATAAAAAAACTTAAACTGCAACTGATGGGCAAACCAATTACACTAGTAGATTGTGGCAGCCTGTCAGAAACACTTTTTGCCCTGCCTGGTCTTCACTTTCTCCCCCACGCTCTGCTTCAGCTAAATTCTTTTTCATCAGTGCTTGCAAACTCTCCGATTCCTACTCCTCTTCCTTGATACAGCCAGCAACCTGATCATGATGTAACACAAATTGTTTGTTCCTAGAACCGAGTGGCAAACGGGGAAGCTTGGGCTTTCCGTTGGCCTCACAGCAAAATCGGCCCCAACACCCCACCATGCAGAACACGCAGAGCCCTCTCAGAGGGGCGACGCGAGGGCCTGCGCCACCTCGCCCTGCAGCACCCCCAAGCCAAGCGGCAGGGCCCCCTCGCCCCGCTCAGCCTACAGGGCGAGGGAGGGGCTCCATTCGTGCCCCTCCGCCCCCCAGCGAGCCAGCGCCACCCAACCAGCCCATCCTCCGAGCTGCCTCCAAGGCAGGAGGTGAGGTTTGCTTTCTCTTCTGGCTTTGGCGCAAGTGATGTGTTTGTTCTCTATTTGCATAAACATAAATAGCCAATTTGGGGAGCTGAGAATGTTAAAACAGCAAGTGCACCTTGATTGTTTTGGATCGAAGAAAGCTGCAAAAGGATTCTGTAGTTTACAAATATTATGTACGATTATTGTGCCATTAGCAATGTTGTTCTGCACGTTCCCTTCTTGTTAGGTCACGGAGCAGCACCTGTTGGCGCAGGCCTTCTTGCTGCAGCCGCTGGTGGCGGCCGAGGGCGACCAGCAGCCGCGCCTGCCACGGGTCCAGGTCAGGGGGGAGGGGCTGGCCTTGCAGCCAGCCAGACCAACTCCAAGTTCATGCAGCCTCCACAGGCTGGCCTAGCAGGGTGAGGCGACAGCAACGTTACTGGGAATTCAGCAAATTAAGGCCGGGAAACTAAATTTACCCTCGCCCCGATTATCTCATAATTATGTAGAAATATCAAGTTTTCTTAATATTAGCTCCTTTGAATCAAACCAAGTATATAATAACCACCTATTTTATTTTTTTTTACTAACTAATGAAATTGAGTGTATAAATCTTATCGCAAACATAAAGTGAATAGTAACTATATATATTAGAAGAGAAATAGTAAATAAAATACGTTTGAAATATCTTCAGCAAGAATAAAGTTATCTCTAAATGCTTGAGATGTATGGCTACCATTGTGAACAATTGTAATATAGAAATGAATAAGGTAACACTAAATCAGTTTATATTGAATTCAAAACTTTTATACTTGAATTACTTCAGATAGACTATATGTATGCTTATTGTAAATTGGGCCTTTGCCTGTTAAGCGGTTGATTAATAAAAAATTATTACCTTTATATTATCAACAACTGTGAAGACCAACCATTAAGAATGAATAATTTATTCAAGTTAAAAATAAGATAATTTAAATACAATAGAAGCATTTTCTAGTATGGAAACTTCCTCGGTTGTGGCATACAATTTAAAACTAAGGGCTAAATAATGTTATAAAAGAATAGCATCAATATAGTGTGAAGGATTTTATATACAGTGCAAACAATAGGTTGTGCAGGAACAGGATTTTGATATTTATAGGAATTTCAATACAACTGGTATTTCACACATTTAAATATGACTACCCGAGTTGGTTTGGTTGGTAACAGATATAGATGCTTATAGAATAGGAATGTGTGTTACGAAATTCGGATTAAAAAACAGCCCAATTTACATATGGGATGAAGTATGAGTAAACCTCTTCCTTGGAACCATGCACCAATCACAAAAAGTCTTTACAATGTGGTGAATTGTTCAGTAGGAGCTCAAAAATTTGTAAACTGGGTGAGAGACATCATGGGTATAATGAAGCATGGAATTTTATAAAATTGAAATATTAGAAACAATTTTATAAAAAAATGACATGCTATGTTATGCATTCCAAGGTTGTCTCTAGATCATAATAAAAATAATGTGTACCTTAATCCAGAATTGGCAAACTGTTGACCTTGATGTGCTGATTGGTGATGTTGCGTGCGCAGGGCGAAACGTGCTAGTGCCCAGGGGGGCACTAAGCCTGTTCCTGGGGGAGGCAAGCCTCGTCCCCCTACGAAGCCAGCCAACCTTTATGCAAAGGCTCAGGCCATGTTTGACTACAATGCACAGGACCTTGACGAACTGTCTTTCAAGGAAGGGGATATAGTTGAGATAATGAAGGAACGTAAGTATGCATGTTTAATACTCAATAACAATTTGTTTAAACAACTGTGAAACAGATTTCAAAATACGTAAAAGCACTTCAAACAAGTTTGAACATACATTAAGTCTTACAGTGACTGTGTGGAATTTTTTGTGAAATAAAGTCCTTGTTGAATTGACAGACTAAATGGATACCTGAAAAGCTTAGAGATCCACGTAAAAATTTTGAAAAAATGAAAAACACTGCTGATTTTCAAAAAGAAATACATGTCTTTTCAACAAAAAATTCTAAATTTGATGGCCTGGAAAGTTATTTATCTCATAACTATGTAGAAATATCAAGTTTCCTTAATATTAGCTCCCTTGAATGAAACTGAGTTTATAATGACCACCTATTTTTATTCAAATTACTAATGAAATTGATTATGTACATCTTATTGCACACATAAGTGGATAGTACCTACATATTATAAAATACTTTTGAAATAGCTTCAGTGAGAATAAACGTATCTCTAAGTGCTCATTTGAGATGCACACATAAGCTTTCACGGCTTGATTCCATTAGTTCTTGGCCATCCGGGAGACGCTGCATCATTGGCAGAGAGGCCTACATTTCGACTGACATGTCGGAGGTTTCCTCAGGACAGTGACCATATTTAGTTTTTTCTAACGAAGAAAGGATTATTATTAAGATGTGGCATTGAACTTGTGGAGGATGAGCATCAGAGTGTGCAGCATCTTGTTTCAGCATTTATCTGATCGTGGTGAATCGTTGGGTGATGTAGATTTGGATGTTATTGAGTACAACACTGATATAGGGTACATGTCTATATTTCAGATTAATGCTTTTGATGGAATTGCAAAACTTACAGGATAACAAAAATGCTAAACCTAATGGGATTTCAGCTAATTTTCTTAAAAATTGTATTGTTAATTTAACTTTTTCACAATTTCTTTTCTAAGTCATTTTGGGAGGGTTCATTCCCATGAGTAGAAAAAGAGTTTCTTAACACCTTTTTTTTAAAATCAGGGATCAATCAGGTATGAACCAACGTTGAAGCATAGTGTCATTTCTAAGCATTTTGAAAAATTATTACTATTCACCTTTTTAAACGTTAAAACTAAATTCTTATTGATGAACAACATAGTTTCAGAAGAAAGTGCTCAACCTCTACTAATATAATTCTTTTTAGAATTTTGTCACAGATCAAATTAATTATTTTTTGTCTTTTGTCTTTAAAAATCCATGATCAGGTTTGAACCTGCGAACTGGAGTATAACAGTCCACATGCTAACTAATATGCCATCAAAGTTGAACGATACAGTTGTAATTTATTTTCTTTTTAGATGAAGGCGGTTGGTGGCTGGCACGCAAAGGTCTGCAACAGGGACTTATTCCAGCCAATTACGTGAAAAAGCTTTGAACCGTTTTTCTGAAGATTTTTGTTCTTTGGATAAGATATGTGTCTCAGAGTGTTCAGAATTCTCAGAGAACAGTCCTTCATTCCATCTCTTTTCCAATACATCCAAGTTTCTTAAGAATAATGGGTCTTATGGTGTACACTCTTGTGTATACAATTTTTTTTATTCCAGTGTCTCTCAGAGTTAAGAACACATACTCGTGGAAGTATGTGCGCAGTATTCTCTCTAAAAATTGAACTACTTAGTGTGTATAATGAGACTTTTCCAATAATTTGTGCATCTTCATTGGCATTTCATAGCACTTTCTAGTAAATCTAATACAAGAGATGCACACTTAAGTTAATTATTCCTTTTGGATATTAGAAATTTGAGAATCATTAATTCTGATGTTCACTTTATACATTGTACCTGAATAACTATAGAATTGTTGGTTTGAAAGCAGTTGCATTTGATGTTCTGAACACTCATGTTTCCTGATTATTGAGTACATTGTTAAAGGATAAATTAATGGTACTTTGTGAATATTGTAATTTTGAGTAGATTGGCTAGTTGTAACAGTATTCTACATGATGTTTGTTGCAATGATATCTGCTTTATAAGAAGAATGTCTCTAATTCTGTTCAATATCAGAAACTAGAAATTCTTCTCACAATTATGAGCAAAGTTCATCACAAATGATTTGGTGCAACAAAACCCAATTATTTGTTTAACTCTCAGCAGGGAATACGCAATTGTAATAGATGCTTGCCATTCTTTTAGTTCCTTTGTCCACTCACTCACAGTCAACCCCCAATTGTGTGTCAGTATGTAGCAAATCTTCCGTTAGTTGAAAACAATTGAATTGTGAAGCATATGTAGATTAGCATCTTTGTATTCATGCAGTGTGACCAGAACTTAAATTTTGTTGTCAATTTGGTAGTGATAGATTACATTTGTTGTGTATTTGTTAACCTGATAGCTGACAGTGCCCCAACATGAACAAGTATGAAAGTGACATTGTCTTTAGAAAGTTAATGGTGAAAAAGACAAATGCTAATATTGATTTAGTAGTGGTAGAAAACAAATTATTTTTGTCTTATCAGGCCATCCCTGAACTAATGACAATCTCTGGGTATGACTCTGATTTTATTGTTAATTTTTTAAATTCTAAATATGTGTTATTTTTTATTTCTTGTAGTTTTTTACATAATTATATTTACCAAACATTAATTTTAGGATCTAGTTGCCTGGCAACTCTGGTAATGTGGAAGCAATAACGGACTTGAAATTAGATGTTCAATAATTTTATATTTGATTCTTGGGACATACAAACACAATAAGTATTATTTATTTTCCTTTGTGTGCCCTCATCGCCACAGTTTCAAATGACTTTGTCTGTGCTGTAAAGTTTTCCAATGTGTTGCATCTTTTCGCAACAAGTCTATTAGCCCTTCTTGGGCATTGAACGTATGGACATCTGGAGTAATCTTTCATATTTTTTATCCCTTAGCAAGGGGCTTAGCACTGTTCATAACTGGGGTTCCCAGACAGTCTCTCGTCCAGGAATGAATGGTGTCTTGAGTTGCTTAACTTCCAGAACTTCAAGAGCATAGTTAAGCAATTCAGCTAATGATGCCAGAGTTCCAAATGCAGTGAAAAACAATTTGCTTGTATTTAGGTTTATATGTTGGAACATTCCATAGATCATTAAAATGTTATTTAATTAATTCAATTAAGGAAAGCTTCTAAATCACTCTATGAATGGTGGCAACTTTTATGATATGTGGTATAGAGCACCAAAGAAAGTTGTATGAATTGAATATTGTTTTTGATCTTAACGTTGTTTCTCTAAAGTGGTAAACGGTGAACGTCTTCAGTAAGAGTTGAAGCAAGTAGGTCGTTACTTCTTAATTACAATACCTCATACTGTTATTTATTAAGGATGTATTTATTGAAATAAATGACATATCTATTTTATTATAAAGGAAAATTTTAAAAATCTTTATGGGTCTGTGAAAATGGAGATCACCAAATTTCAATGTTTAATTTTAAATGTCAGATTAAGAAATCTTTTTGAGGAATACTGCTTTTAACTTCGTTGTTTTATATTACCAGAAAATTATCTTTTATATATTAGACTACTAAAGAAGACACAGCAGAACTTTCTGTGAACTTAATGCGACCTTTTTTAAAAAAAAAAGGTTGCATTAACATCTAGGTCATTAGTGACTACTATTGCATGTAACAGTATGGTAACTCGATATGATGACACGATATGACGATGATAGGGGGTGCAAGGATGAACGCAAGGATGATCATGCCCGAGGCGGGACTCAAACCCGTGAACCTGCGGTCCGAGATCGATACGGAACTACTGCCTTAGCGATCTCGGACATCCAGACCGGCAGTATAATTTTCGATTTATGAAAATGAAGAATTAGCACATGTGTTCAAGATTTTTTTTATGCAATGTATTGTGATATAAGATTTAAACACTTTGAAGACATTTTCAATTACTTCTAAAGGTTTATATTCAAATTATAAATGAAAACTCTTGAGCCACGAGATGAGCTTCTCTGTGTGTACATTATTTGCATTTGTACAATTTTTCTCATTGCTTGTCTATTGAGATGATGACAAATTCTCTGATCTCATTTACTGCCATTTATTATATGTCACAGTTGTATACATTGCTAATTTTGTATTACAAGTTCATCGATCAACAGTAATTTTTTGTGCTACTTATATATTAAATGATGTTTTGCATTTTGTTCATATTGCGTAAGTTTCATTGTTCGTTTTGGTCTGGTTGTGGGACTGTCATAAATCAGGTTGGCTATGCTCATGGTGAAAAAGGACAATTGTTTAAGACAAATATTGTAGTTATTTTCATGCAATGTTATTGATAGCACTTTTTATTGCATGGTTGTGTTATTTAAAATAGACTGACGGTTGATGGTAATGAAATATGTAAGTTAATTTGTTAGTACAAATTACAGTGTTGGACATTTTTCCTTGAATACTTTGCTTAAAAACATGAGTTAGAGAATAATTTCTATAATGATATGATGTAGGGTGATTTGTGAATGTGGTTTCTGCAGGCAGAAACTGGGTGTTAATATCTGTTAAGAATTACTGTTGTGGAGTATTGTTTGCCAGTAATGTACAGAAGTCAGCTTTGCCAACTCAAGTGTCTGATGGACCACAAGTGCCTATTACATTGGTGTGTAAAAAAACTCTTATTTAAGAGAACAAAAGGGAATTATGTAGAAAGCATCGAATTCACAGGAATCAAAATAGATTCAAAAGCTTCAAAATATGGGACATACCTTAAAATTTCAAGCGGCAAAAATAAGATGTGTGGAATGTATATTTACGATCAAATCACATTAGTTGTTCATAATTTAATCAAATAATATACATCTTTATGTCACTTTCTGCAATTAAGACTAGTAAAAAGAGTGATATCTGACGTAGCTTTTCTCCCTGCTGAGAGGAGGAGTACACAAACATTGCTTGGATGCATGTAGAAATGAAGGGAGTGGTAGTCAGCTGTCAAGATTTCATGGTCAAATTTGTGTCATTATATTGAAGCATTCACGAGTGAAACATCAAAACACCAAACAAAATCAATTTTTTTATGCTCTGAAGAAATAAAATGATATATATGAATAAATAAAAAACTGCAGTCTTCTATAATAATTGCATTTCCTTATAAAGTTGTTGAAAGAAATGGCTCAACATTTTGAGAAACTTTAGTTTGAGTGGTGACCAAGTTACTAGAAATTTGTGTTGGGCTAAGTGTGCAGCTTTTACATTAAGATTCTTCCTTTTTCTATAATTTCACTATAGCTCCATTATCCAACATATGTTCATGCTGAATGCGAGTCAGTTACCTTGCAAAACTCTGAGCATTCCTCCTTTAGTGATTCCCTTGGAATGTGGGAATTTTGAGCATGTGTGGTTACGGAGATGATGTTGAATACCCACTGCCAATTGTCTTTTCTTAGCCAATGTAATGGGCACTATATATATTGGGAGATATGCATTACCCTAGGCATTTACATTAAACAGACCAGTCCAATCAGTTTTGAAGTTCATAGCTGTTTCTTCAAAGCACATTCATTCAAGATTTAACAACAAAAATGAGTTTTGAAGTGCAATGGAAACTATAAATTCATGTAGTTCGATTGTGCAAGCAAAGTAACATTTTTTTATACCACTATTCTGTCTTTTGGCTATAGTATACCACAAACATAATGTGTTGTGTAGCGAGTTTGAGGTCATAAAGTAGTTATCATTTTTAAGAGTAACAGATTGTTGTGAAAGGATTTATGTCAGTTTTGGGGGAAATGTTAATTTATTTGAGTGAAAATATAGTATATGTTAGTATTGAAGTTGCTTATCGTAAATATGCTATTCTTCCTAAAACCAATTTGTACAAATACAATATCTTTTACTCAGCATTCACAAAGGTTGTTGAATTTTAAATACAAATGTGCATTCATGGTAGAAAAATTATCAAAATATTGCTTCTTCTCGTTTCCAATGTTGTTTTTTATATGAGCTTGAAACGTGCCTTTCCGCTAATCAGAAAAATATATAGTACATAAAATTTATAGCAACACTTTAAATTAGATATCATATTTTTTACTATTGTACATTTTGTATTTATCCAGACTGATTACAAATTTTGAATATAATAATTGAAGAGTAGTGTTATATGTAATAGTAGTCTTCCTGATAACAGAATGTTTAATTTTATTCATATCAACAAAAAAGGAAATGTTGCTTGCTTAAACATTAAAAGGTACATCTTAATTTATTTCATTTCTAATGACAGGATTTCTTTTTTCTCTAGCATCTTGGTTCAGTGAGATCAAAATATTGTTAACAAAGAAGGTTACTCATCAGATTTTTCATTGTTTTTATTAGTTTACTAGAAACAATGTTCTATTACCATTAGTGATGCTAGTTGTTAGATAATTGTTAGTAATGTGATTATGGAATTGATTGAAGGAATTGAATTAATTGCTGTTACATAATATGTATACAGTTCAAATATTCTAAAAATGAACACACATTCCTTAGAAGATTTTGAAAGTTATATTCAAAAAAGGGTAGAAAAGTATACTAAAAAAAACCTTCATGGTGCTTTTGCAGAGGGTAAACTAATACGTGCTAGCAGGTGATAGTCATTACATTTGTTGAATATTTAAATGTTAGTACAGGTTGCATTGTTACATCATTTGTTTTTCTGCTGAGGAAGGGAAATTTAAGTCATGAAATAAGTTAATAAATTAATAAATGATCTGGCTAAAATTTTCCTCAGGGTGTTGTATTTTCGTGTCGTCTTCTATTCTCCAAAATACTCAGGTATTGAAGATGGGGAAAATGTTTATTTTAAGGTAATAGTGGTACATTGGTTGGTCTTGTGGAGTAAGTTTGTTTAATGAACACGATAGATTATATGCACTTGTCTCATGATTATATAAATTTTACAATTATCCACAATTAAATATTTAACATTCAGAAATACTGTAATCGAATTTGGAAGGAAAGTCATTCTGTTAATAGACCTACATAGGTTTATGTATGTTATTGTATTATTAATCAAGTTAATACTAGTGAGAGAATTGTTTTTGAGCTTTATTGAAGTTGTAATGGAAATGAAAGAAAAGACAATTTGATGTTTATTCCAAAGAATTGTTTACAGTGTTAAAAAATATTACAGTTAAAATAGTGTTACTTGTACATCAGTTATATAGTGTATTATGTAATTTTAGCCCTTGTGTACATACCACAGGATTTGGTATAGGTTGTGTTGTTCTCTGTAACTGGTGTCTGAAACATTCAGAAGTACCCCCTTTTTCTGAAACATGTCATGACCAAAGATTAATATTATGGATTATGTCAAGTTGGTCAGCAGAGAATAATGTGTACTTAGCAGAATAGAACCTGTATGAATTGAGCTTCTTTTCAAAACATTGATTGGAAAGCTCATTCACTAGACTAAAACTGTAGCAAAATTTTATGTTATTGCGACTGTATATATCATAAATAATTCCATTCATAATAATTTTAATAAATATGAACGATGTTTATATCATTTTACATTCTTTGCTAATGAAAAATCAACTTTAAATGTCATTGTGAAGTGTTTTTTTTTTTGTAAGTGATTAAGGTTAACCAAATATTTTGTGTTATTTTACTTTTTTTGTACATTAAGTGTTTGTATAACAGTATAAGAAAGTATTATTCTTTTGTTTGAAAGGTCTTGAGTAGGTTTGCTGGGTAGAATTGTTAGTTATGTATTATGAGAAAACTATAAAACAACGCTTTTTTTTTAATAAACATATATTTATTTATTTCCTCATGAGTATTTTCAAGAAATCAGTGAAGAGTGAATAATTTTGCACTTAAAACAATAACATAACTTCAAATAATTCTACCTAGTGATTTGTAATATAGCAATTATTTCCAGTATTGATTGACATACATTTTCAAAACTTGCAATATTCAGTTTTAATCTACAAATATAACAGGCATGCTTAAGTATTCATTGCTAGTCATTGATGTGACTACTTGAGCTTTTCCAAGGTTTATACATAATGAATTGAAGTAGTTGTTACAATGACCATAGTTTGTTTAAGCTGTGATTCTTTTATTATCAGTAATTGAAACTTGATGTAGCTAGAACTGTATTCTTGTTAGTGTGCCAATTAGATTTCCTCTAATTATTATAAAATGTGTGAACAAATCAGTGTTCCTAATTAATTTTAATAAAACTTTGCATTAACTTGTTAATTGTTTTTGAAAAAAAGGAACACTGCTTTGAAATATTTGTGTAAAGTAATTTATTAATTCTGTTCTTTGGAGGTAAAGGTCGCTATGTCCTTTAATGTTAAAACAAGATATTTTAACACAATTGTTCCAACTACATTGAAGGTACTGAGAAATGTACATAAAGATATGAATAATAATGTTAAAAGCAGTCAGAGTAATGTCATGTTAATTTTCTTAGAAATTCAACATTTTGAACTGCACTACTGTGAAATTATGTAAATGCAGTATTGTGTCCTTTACTTTTGAAGTAAAGAAGTATAGGCGAGTGTGTACTATTAATTTTTTTTAAGATTTTTTTTTTATTTACTACTTTATTAATCTTGTTTGCACTGTTATCCAAAGACAATCGCATTTTACTGTTCTTCCTGTTGTAATAAAATTCCTCATAGAGAACACTTGTGGCACTTTATTTTTTTAACACGTTTCTCCTAAACCTGAAGGGGTTAAAAAACATCAACGTACTTTGTCACTGAACTATATTTTCAAACTAATTATAGTCGTGAGACATTGAAATGGGTATGGTAAAACTGTTAAATTAATAAAATTACAAATTAATAATCTATTAATGGACCCAAGAAGTAGAAAGTGGGTGACAATATTTGTACATGCCTTATGGTGATGTTAACTCACGACTGCCAGATGCAATGATATTGCATTGTTATTGCAATATCATTGCATCAAGGCCAGAAGTACACTGCACCTGGCTGGCCTTTGGTGTTTGCTCATACAGATCAGCCACTTGAGGTGGTAAAATAACACATTGTGTTTGTGATATTAATAAATCACTTCTTCACTGATTTGGCCTCAGAAGCTTAGATTCCCATAGAACCTGTTTTTATTTAATTTCTAATAAATACATTTTTTTATTCTTATAAATGTTGTCTAAAATAATAATAATCACTCAAAACACTTTTTTACTTTGTTATATGTTCCAGTTGCCTTTATTTTTATAAGCGTACTTGTTTTATGTTTCCTCTCACTTCTGTTTAATCTTGTTGCTTCTTACTAATATCATTGTTGTCCTCTTCAAATTGTAATAACTACTATTTATGTTAATCCACTCCCCCTCAATTGCTAACCCCCTTCTTCTTGAAAGAAGGATGCATACATTTACAATGGGTTTACAAACCTTATTTGTATTTATTTTCGATTTATCTTTTCAATTAAAATTTTTATTTTCAGATATATTTATACTAATTTTTCCTTCACATCAGATGCATATACATTTTTTGCAAAAGGTTGTGTTCCAATATAGCATAAAATAAAACCTTTTTTTGGAAACTTGTACATCAATAGTGTAAAAAAATTAAAAGAAAAAAGTGAATGTAATTGAATGTTAATATTTACACCTTTTTTGTCTGTCATAATCAATCATTATTATTTAATGGTTTGCTTTATAATGTCGAACATTTAAAAAAAAATAGTTCTCCCTTCTTACTTGTGCTTTCAAAACATTCCCTCTCCCCTTTTTTTAGCTTCCCCTGGCTCTCAGAACTCATTATTTCAACCGTTCTCACCAATGTATGAAATTGATTTTGTCAGCTTGTGATTGTTAGCTGTAGAATGTCAATATAAAAACCATTTGTTTTTTTTAAGCACTCGTGTCTGTAGGTTCATTTCTGTCACAATTTCTCAAGTTTAATATTTTATTGTAAATAATTTTAAATTTGTACTATAAAATTTCAAAATCCAAAATTACAGCCTGATAATTGGGACAACAATCCTCAAAACTATTGCACATGAATACAGAATAAATTAACATTACAAGAAATTGTCTGACAAAAAAAGATGGCCCCTAAGCCCCTTTACATAATCATGAATGATGTCATGATCATTCATGATAATCATGGGAGAAGGGTCAAAAACTTGATCTTCACCTCTGCTATACTTACTACTGTGCACCATCTTTCTGCTTACCTGGTTTCTAATCTCTACCAGCTAGATATGACTGTCACACACCACTCAAACACCGACCACTTCAACATTTAAGGAGTCCATCCTTCTCCTTTTGTTAGATTGCAAATTTTCAAAATAATTATATAATTGTTTACTATTAGATTTCAGGGTTTGGGATTATGGAATTAAATTGAACAGGAAGAATTAAAAACACTAACTTGAATTGTGTACAACCTTATACTCTTTTACAAAACACAAAATGTTCTCTTTGAAAGTAATCCCTTGTACATTATAGAACGTTCCCTGGGAAAATTACTTCCAAGAAATAAATTTCTTAAAATAAAAATTCAAATTGAGACACTGTCAACAAGTCCAAGAATTGTGGTATCTTGAGTAAACTAGCTGGTGGGTCTTTTATGTAGAAACATTTCACTCTCCAGTTAATGAGAAACAGTAGTAGTTTCTTCTATAAAAATTAATCAATATTACCACAGTGACCACTGTTCCATAAAATTTATTCCATAATACTAAATATAGATGAAATTCCTTTCATTTAAGTGTCAATATAAGCCCCTATTGCATCTCTTAATTCTAATCCTATTTACATAATTCCCAGTTAATTATTCTGCCTATGAACAATCACAGAACAGAAGTAGTTACTATCTTTTGGTTAGCTCTCTTTTTGCAACAATTGGATTCTGTTATAATATTGTATTGCAGCAATCAGGTCTAGTACTTCCCTCTGCAGCATACCATCACATTCAGATACAAGAAGTTTTTGTTGTCCTATACCAAGTTATTCCTTACATCCAGTTAAATATATGCTCCTGGTGATTTGACAGTACTCTTATTGAGTAATTGATAACATGTTTCATTATTACCAGACATAGACATGACGATTTCCATTCAACATTTACTGGATTCTTCGACATTCAAGAGGAATGGAAATCCTTGCATATTTCCGAGCTCAGACGGCATTGCCAGCTCATCCCGCAAATAATTTTTTGTTTTTTGACAATACACTTGTACTGTGATACATTCCAAGCATTGTGGAAGTGTAATAACTTAAAAATGGTATAAAACAAAATATACAATTTATTAACACACAATATAACATAATAATACACATATACAAGAAAATACATACAAAACAATTTATAAAACACACATTTCCTAATGCATTAGTTACAGGGGCACATTAATGATAAATACTTTTCACCAAGTCATTAAATTTCTTTTCTTCACGTCTTTAATAATTTTAGGCAGTTTTTAGCATATTTTTAGATGCAGATATAATAAGACAGCTCTGTGTTGGGGTTTTTTATTTGTTGATGCTCCATATGTAAATATCCTATGGTAGTTCTCTTTGCTTTTAATATCATAATTATAGTGCTAGAGGCAAAGGACTTCGAACCACCACAAGATATTCCTAGTTTCCTGTGGTAGGCAACGAAAACTGGAAGAGTGGAAGAAGAGAAGACGGGTAGCATCAAAACCAGAAAGAAAAGGAATTGAAAAGAAACCTGTCTTTACATTTAAAAAAGTAACCTACATTGATTCACGTTTGTACAAACCTCTTGGATCTTCCAGCTTTCGTCCCCCTAAAGGTGTGCTGCCGGTACAGTTATCTCAACCTGACTGGCAGTGAAGGTCTGATTCAAGAATTCTGCACAAAGGGCCACTTCCGAGTGTAATGGAAGCTCAAAGTGCATTTGCTAACACTACGGCCAAATCAAAAGTGGCAGCAAATCTGCTCTCTGAAACTTTCAACAAAGTGAATTTAAATATGACATTAGCTGTTGCACCCCCAGAAGCAGTTGCAGAGTAACCTTTGGTCATTTCAGGTCATTGCGTAGGTTATCCGTCCTCAATGCGTTTCCCTCCATTCGTTGCTTAAAGTTCTCCCACTTTTCTCTGTATCTGCCTTTGTCTTAATAATTGAATGGGGGAGAGACGACAGAGTTAAGAATTCCAATCGGAGAGTTAAAAACAAAAGATCGACTGTATTGCAAGTAGGTCAACCCCATGTGTCAAAGTCTGAATGACTGAAATCTTCAATCTTCAAGGGCTGGAGGGAGGGGGGAAGGTCAAGCCTGCCCACAAACCCTGCTGGCGTTCCCCACGCAGTCACAGAGCTAGAACTAGAACTTGATGCTTTGGACAAAAGAATACTTTGATTTCTTTTTTCCAACCAAGATGCAAGAGTGGGTTCTTCTTTAAATACTGGATTTTTGAAGCTCGCCCATCTCTGTTGGTCTTCCACTTAAAAAAAAAGGCAGATTAATTGGAAAAATTATTCTGGTCTCATGATCTTGTACTTGATTAATGGTCTCTTAGTTTCTAGCATTAAAGCATTCCTACTACAGGTCAATTAAATATTAATTCCCCAATTTTATTATTATATGACAATTTGCAATTGTCTTTATCATTCAAAACTAGAAAACAATGGGAGGACTTGGGACCTAAAGAGACTAACCCGTAATTACCACGAAACAAGAAAATAAGTGTTGAAGTTAAGATGAACCTTACAATAATAATGACTATTTGTTTCTAAATACATCAGCTTAACTATCTCAAATAAGCAAGTTTATCATTTCACTCTATATTCATCATTGTTAAATACCATTATTTCCATTTGTTCCAAATTAGCCTCATCAGATTTCTTTAATTGAATATTTTAATCTTGAGTGGCAAAATTAATGACTCAGTCTCTTTGATTTGGCAAGTGATAAATGATTTATACAAATTGTCATTGTTCCATTTTCTACTAATAGAAACATTTCTTCCCAAATCAAAGAAAAAGTAAAAGTATAGATGGTCTCGCACTCATGTAGCCTGAAACATCAGCAATGGTCCCCTGCCAAGGATTTCATCACTGGTGACTGCTGTCGGTGGAGCCCTCCCTTCCCCCGTTGCTCACACTGTTTCTCCTTGCACCTTCTCACCCCAGACAAGGGTGCTCCGGCGTCTTTCCTTCTCTGGGTGCAACTCTGCTCTAGACCCCAAGTCCTTCAATTAAACTACTCAAGATTTTATTTTATAATACACTTATCTCAATTAGCTTTTAAATGTAACATTTTTTAAAGGTAATTAAGCTTGTGTTTCAAAAGAAAGAACGGTTGGAATCTTTCTTGGAACAACATGCTTGTAAACATTTTGAATTCCTGTGTCAGCTGTCATTTGATTAGCATTTACATTTTAGATACCTCTTAATTGAGTTTGGTTACCTTGACGTTTCAATAACTCCAAGTCTTCCCTCGAGTAATGAGAGAATCTGCAATTGGAACCAAACACACATTCTCCAAAACGCTGGAATCTTTTGCAAGTCAATTTTGCTGTTTCTTCTTTATACAGAGTTTCAGCATCTGCAATAAATGTGTATTAAAATATGCGAAAAAATGGAAAAAGTATGAAGGCTAAACCTAAACTTACCTTTAAATTGATTATAATAGTCTTTCCTCATGCGCATATGCATAACACCGGCCAAGTGTTTCTTCCGAGCTTCTAAATCATCAACAAAGTGGCGATCACAGTAGTCGCAATAATATCGCTTGCCCATTTCTATTATATATTTTATTTCACTGTCATTTCTTAATACCACCTGACACTTGTATTTCACGTACAGATACAAACTACTACACGCCCGCACACACCAATTCGTACTGCTGCTCGCTGCTGCTGATTCGCACCAAGATCATTCGGCAACATTTGCATGCTGAACTTTGCTGGGGTCGAGCTGCCAGCCCTGCTTCCACAATGCATTGTTTAACAAAATGCCAACTCACGAAATATCAGACCTTTCATTAGTTTCTTATAAAAATGTAATTGACGCTGCTGAAATAGTTTATAAAAAATAACTAGTCGTTCACTGTATGTATAACTGCATTAATCACACATTAAACTAATGAATATTCATATCCCCCTTCGTTTTCTCACTTTTGCACCGCGTAATATAACGTTGGTGCACATGGGCTTTTACGATAGCCGTTTGATTTGCGGCGAATGCGAAGAACACGAAAAAATATTCTGAAGTTACCGGCAGGTTCGATGCATGGGAGCGCGGTTAGCAAGCATTGTGAGCAATTTGAATAGTTCTGAGAAAGTGTTTGTTTATGTATTAGACAGAACGATAATGCGTGTGCTGTACAGTTTTTAACCGAAATCTGTAGTGCATCGCTAGTTCTTTTTAATACAACTTAGATTCGTGTAATACTTCTTATATTCATTTAGAATTATGAACACTCCTACAAGAACTCTGTATTCCCCACGAGTACCCCGTACTTCAGCTTCTTCTAGCAGAAGAAGTTCACTTTTACCCGGATTGAAAAAAATATCATCTTCGTAAGTATGAAATCAATGAGAACTAGTAGAACAGTCGGGTATTTTTGTGATTATTCTTGTCAAATTAATAGAAAAGTTAAGAATTGTATCACGTATTCTTGTAAAACTCTCATAATGTTGTCTTTGTTTTGACATTTAGGAAGTACAGTGTCTCAGGTCGTTCAAATCAGTCTGTCCAAGTAGTATGCAAAACACCATACCATGTTGTGGAAAACTTTGGTGTTTCTCTACCTATGCTTGTTACTGAAGCTTTAACATTCTCTGATCGTGAGTAGTAATTTAATTTTGGGGCAACTGAAAACTGATATCAATAATTACCTTTAAACCCATCTATCTGTTTAGGAAGCGCTGCAGTTAGTGTCTGCATTTCCACCGATGGATGGGCTTGGTTTGTTTGTGGCAGACGTCTGCTTGTTTGGCAGTATAAACAAGTTATTGATGTTGAAAGACATCGACCAATCATGAACAGCCCATGCCATGAATTGACCCTTCCTCCTAGTGATCTTGCTCACAAAGCTGAGCTTGTTTGTGTGTTTACTGCAGAAGGAAGTCAAGTAAGAGTAGTTAATAGACTTTCATATCTAAATAACTAGTGTGCCCTGATCTTAGCTCTTATTGTCGTTCATGCAGGCAATGTATTACGCTTTGTCTCTGTGAAATATTGTGATAATTTGGGTAATTGTATATAGAGTTCCCTCCAATAATGTTTAAATATATAATTTTAAATTTATAAAAATTTTAAAACTTTTTATTCAATGGAGACATTTAGCATTTTGTCTGTTTGATCTTGAATTGGAAAACTATGCCCATGTACATTTAAAAGGCAACTACAATAATTACTAATTGCAACTTCACTTCAGATATTTCTTTAGTTCTGACTGCTAGTGAGTTTGTGATGCAGTCTTGAGGTATGCACAAGCTCATGCATAGCTGTTGGAGAAGATGCCTTTATCATAAATTTTAATCATTGTTTACGGTCTATCAGGCTTTAATGTTTCATCATCATCATCATCATAAACTGCAGGACGCTAGGCCTGCCGCCTGTTCCTGTTTCCCAGCTGACCAGGAGGCTTGCACCTCCAGGTGTTCCTGATCGAGCCATTTCTTTGGTGGTCTCCCCACATCCCTTCACCCTCTTGGTTTGCACTTCAGTTCTGCTTTTGGGAATCTTTCTTGCTTAGTTCTGTTAATGTGAGAGAGCCATTTTCTCTGTTCATCCTTTATTTCTTCTTCTATATTTTTCACCTTTAGCCTGTTTCTAATGTCTTTACTCCTTTCCCTATTTTTTAGTGTCACTCCAGCAAGATGACATATGAATCTCATTTGCATTACCCCTAGTCTTTGTTGCTCACTGGTTTATTATCCAAACTTCTGAATCATACATGAGGATTGGTGTATTTCACAGGCAATAACCCAATTGTATATTATGTTGTGAATTCTTAGTTTGGTCTCTGTGGTCTTACATCTTCCGAAGCGTCTTCTGATTAATCCGGTCATCCTGTTGTATTGCTGAAGTCGGTTTTCCATATCTTCGGAACTCTGTCTATTGAGGTTGCTCACATAATTGAATTTGAATTGATGCCTTATTTTACGTGGTGAGACTCCAGCCATGAGGCCTGCTCTTTCATCCGGCCACGCAAATGTTGCTACACTCCTTTCACTAACTAGCACAGAAAGAATGTATTCTTTGGGCAACAAAACAGGCAATTTGAAGCTTGGAGGCTTCATTTAGGCTTGAGGATCTATTACACACAGTAAATCTACTAATATGTGATAGCCGACTTTACTTCCCTCTGAAGGAAAGTATATGAAGAATTTTTTTGCTCTTAAAAATCCACAACTTAGATCGGGTTTGAACCCATGAACTGGGGGTATAACAGTTCAATACGCTGTTACACCATCGCCGCTGCCATCTTAGATATTTGTTGTATTATTTTTTCCCATTTATGACAATTTTGACTCTTTTCTTATGTTGTGTTTGGTTCTGACGTGCTGATAAATGTGCGTGCGTGATCACGATAAAACACCCTTGCCCATGCCCAAAATCCAGTCCTGCTGTTTGGAGCTCATGTTGCGGCATTGGTGACACGGGTCTGTGGGTGCTGACGTATGATATGTTGTAGGTTCAGTACCTCCTTTGGTCAGAAAGGTAGAGATGCCATCGAACTATCAACCCCAACATCCCCTCTCCCACAGTGAAAGTTTGGCTGTGATCAATACGTTCAAGTAGTTTTTGGTACAAAAACCTTCTTTATTAAGATTTGCTTTTAATTAAATTTTCTTTCATTACTTTTATTATGTTGTGAAATTTGCTTGTTAAAATAAAGATATATTTAGGTCAAAAGTTTTGCAACTCCCCTTTGGGAGTTCTTGAAAGCATTTGATTTATCTCAATGTGTTAACACAATACTTGTATTTATTTTGTTTCTACAAAGTTGTTAATGTGTGACGTGTGTCTGCAGAATCCGTCTTGTATCGCTGTCTCCCCTGAAGGGACTGTGCGCTACTGGCCCAGCGTGCAGCACGAGGGTGTGTCCGTGGAGAGCAGTGCAGACCTTCAGGGGCAGGAGTGCCATTCGCTGACCAACTTAGGCCCTTTGGGATGTGTCATTGCAACGACCACTTCCACTCTCCTGCTGGTGGAGCCACGTGTGACTCCTGCTGGCCGACACGCTGTCACCTGCCGACCCCTCCGAACACCCCATGGGTGGTTGGGGCTCGGGGGAATTGGGCGCAGAGTGTCTTCATTGATTTTTGGCAGTTTGCCAACATCCCAAATAATGGAAACGGTATTTGATTTTTATTTTATTACAAATGAATCAACAGGTTGTAAGTTAAATGTATAAATGAAATACAATAACGTCTTTGCTACAAAATAATTTATTACAATACTGAAATAATAAAGTAATAAAATAAAATAAATCAAATAATACATTGATAACATAGCTGCATCCAATATTAGATCCTGCAGGCCATTGTTCAATCACAATATTCAGTTAAAATAAATTCATACACAATCCATTTAATCCATTTGAAAATGCCACTTTTGTAAGATTAATATCATTTCCAGAATTGTATAAATTAGCTAATCTGGTAAGTTGAAGTACTGCTGAATTTAAAAAGTTTTCTTTTCAACAATTGAATTTAGCAGTGGTGCTTCTCTGAAATTAAATCTATTTACATATGGTATCAATAAGTTAGAAATCAGTGAATTCTGAACTGATTCAGTCAAGACCTTAGTCATGAAAAACTGTCGTGGAACACTTCGCAGATTTCAAAGTATGCAGTTCCAATCTGTTACTGTAATTATGATTAGGTATATTCAATTTAAATGCCATGTACATATTAATGTATTTTGAATTTAAATGTATATTAATAATTTATATTTGCATTTCATTTTATCATATTTTTAATATCAAGATGACTAGAGTTATTTGCAAATGTATAATTAGTCTCTAATGTGTATTATAATTAGTATGTCTATTAAACATTTTCTTCTAGGTATATTTTGCTTGTAAACCATAAGAAGTTTTCCTATTGACGAGGCTGGACAATATTTCTTATCTTTCATAATCATTGTTTAAACATTTTTCAGTGAAAAAATATGATAAATTTAATTATCCTTCAAGGGCTAGTCTAGGAGTCTTTCTGTTCTTCAACATGCAATTCTTCAAATAAACTTAGATGAAGTTTCCCCACTACTGTGTTGAATTTTTTTCTTTGAATTAGGATTTTCTATTTCTGGGTATATTTAGATGGACTCTGTTTTTCATTTTGGCCTGTTCCCAAACACTTCTTTATATTTCAAATTTCATTGCCAATCTAAATGAAAAATAGTATTGGCAGAAACTGACTAGTTAAAAACTAGTCAGTTTGATGAATGAAAGTTTATTAAAATGTAAAGGTTTTATTCCATCATTACAAGAATAGCTTTGAAGACAATCTTTTTGGAAATTTATCAAAACAGAAATCCAAAGACTAATTATCATCCATTACTAATTATCATAAAATAATTAGTAATAATCTTATTTATCTCTGCACATTGAGCCAACTGACGACATTGTATTTTTAGAATTCAGAATATGAAATTGTATTTTTCCAATAAATTGTCCATTTGTGGCTATTTGTAAATTCCTCTGGGCCTCGATAGTGGACCCTTCATCTCCAGGAACACTGTGATATCCTTAGCCTGTGGACAGGGTTTTGTGTTTCAGCGACTGAGAATAACTTTCCTTTGCAGAAGTTGGTGAAAGTTGTGGCCGTGAAAGGCAAAGGCTCGTCTAACGACTGGTTCCTGTACGTTCTGTCCGAGCAGTCTCTCCAGAAATGGGTTCTCACACCAGACAAGGAAAAGGATATGGAGCACTTGCTGTACGAGTGTGAAATTAACAAGATGGTTCGTGATGCATTTCATGAAACTGTTTGGGTAAGTTTCAATGAAGCACTCAGGGATAGAAAATTATGATTTAAAACACAACATTATATGAATAGCAGCTTCTTTTTAGAAATTTATCTGTTTTTATTGCAATTTGATTACAAGATTTCCCGAAATAAATAACACTTACCGTACCTAACAATGACAATGACAACATTTTTGTCAAGTACATATCATACAATTACAATTAAATAGTCTGTGTAACAATTTCTTATTATTTATAAACAAATATTTTGTGAATACTGGTTCTTGAAAGTTGCTGTTACAAAGTTTTGTGAATAAAAATACCTATAAAGAAGATATATGAAATAATGATTTCTTTAAGTAAACAGTGAATGCAATTGTTTTGTAAAGCATTGTGTTTCACTAAAAATGATTTCATTATTGAGTTAAATTAAAAATTGAATTGACAAGATTTTTTTTGTGTTATCTTTATCAAGTACAGTAATTGTATGAATTGTTACTATTTGTAACTGAGAGCTGTCAAGTTACATTTGGCACGGAAAATTAGAGTACGTTGAGGTTTTGAAAATTAGACAATTTGTAGAATTCACAATCGGTTTCATATTATTTATATCTATTTACTTGCGAATGTTTTTGATGTGATAAATTTTAGGTAATATATTAAATTGGCATTGTGTTTGGAAATAATTTTTTCAAATTTTTATTTTCAAAAAACATTATTTTATTAGAATCTTTTCTGGTATTCTTGTTTTGAGTGTTAAATATATGAATTTCTTCATTGTTTGAATTTTGGGAAGCAAGAAATATTTTAGTAGTTTGTAATAATTAATTTCAAACGGGGAAGAGGTTGTTTTATGTTTTTGTGAGTTGAAGAGGGGTTGTGTCATGTCATAATAACACATTAAGTGTAGAATGTTAAGTTACGGAAAGTAATTGTACCAGTGCATTCCAAGTGGAGGGGGGGAGGTATGCAAATGTGTGTTATGAAATTTATTGATGGTTCCTCTTATAATATCTGTTTTAATGTAAAACTCACAAACATTCAAAACTTATTTTTGTTCAGCATGAAATGTGTTAGTTGAGTGCAGACATTATCTGGTAACTGCTCGTCTGTTGTATCAGTAAATAAACAATAAAGTATTATATAAGAGAAAGAAGAATCGAGTATATTTTAAATATGAATGTGTTGCAGTAATAACACATACAACAAATACAATTTCATTTACTATTGCATATAGAACTTGAGAACTATATTAGTTTCAGGGAAACTTTCTCCCTGATCGGCAGTTTTCCAGTTAAGGAATCGCATACAAATTTCAAAATAGATAATAAATTCACTCCCAAAGTGTAAACATTATAGTATATACTTGTTGTGTGGTAGGAGTCGTGTGCTGGTACACCTGCCGAGTTGGACGTGTGGATGCTGGACATGCAGCCTACGGAGGGCGGAGTGATGGTTCTAGCTGCGGCCGTCAACACCCCTCTGACCCCACAGTTGCATTATGCCTTAGGTGAGTGAACACAGAAATCTTTTGGGGGAAGGGAAGATGAAATTATCAAAAGCAAATTAATTACATACACTTCAAGGTTTAATGACACCTCTGTGCTAAATTCTGTAAACTTTTGTTTGTGTAATATTGTTCACATGTAGATGGCTTTGTGAAGGTACAAGATATTTCATTTGGTCAGTAGTGATGCAAATCGAGTTTATTTTGTTTTGTTAGTAAAGTTACGTCCTTTCGTCCAAATACATTGTTTACAAACTATAAAAATAATTTAACATACAAGAGAATTGTATCATTCATATTTCAATGTATTACTACTTACATCCTTGTAATACCGAGTGAATTCTACATCTAACACACAACAAGATTGTTTGTTTATCAATGAGCACATCCTAAAAAGTGGATTATTTGCGGTATAAGTTAACTATGCATGTTGGCAAGAAAAATGATAGCTGATCGTTCGGGTTGTCTGTTCTGGAACTTTAAACCACAGTTGATTGATACAAAGCGGGCAGTCAAACATTCTGTCACAAACTTTATAAAAAATATCAAATCATTTATTTCATTCTACTAGACATTATTGTTGATTCAAGTCAATATGTAATGTCAATATGTATCTTCATTTGTAATGAATTTTGTCAATTACAAATTGGTACTTAGCATTGTATGTATGTTAGTGTTAAATATGAATATATATCTTTTTCAGGCAAAATTGCTACAGAATCAAGCGAAGCACCTACTAAATTTGCTACTTTTTGTCCCTTGAAAAATACAACGGGATTCTATCGCAAAGAACAAGATGCTGATGTTAACAGCTATCAATTCCTTTCTTTGGGCCAGTCTGCTTACTTGTATAACCAGAAGGCCATCTTGGCTGTGTCTTGTAAGTATTGTACATTTTGTATTAATAACTTGAATTATCAGGTTACTGAAAAACTAGAATTTTATCATTTGTTACTGACTTTCTGAAATGTTAATAATCTTGAAAAACCTGAAAAAGTCAATATCAGACTTTGCAAGATACATTGAGAAACTTCCAGCATAAATCTCACACAAAATTATCTTAATTTTAAATGACAGTTTCAAAAGAGAAAGCAGTTTCCACAAGTGAAGAAATTCAGTGCTTGTTACAAAACTAGATTTGTCACTGGTAATTTAAAATCTTGAAGCTTCTGGACAACATTGCAGTTAATTGTATGTACTGTAAGATAGAAACTGTAAGAAATTAAAAACTGGAGAAGTTGTTTATTAAATCCTACTACTACTATTATTCTTATTAATATTTAACCTCAACCGATATCAATGTTTAGGTAATTGTCTAGAAAGTCTTCAAATACCAAATTCCAGGTACAGTAGAGGAGTTTTAGTGAAATTTTCTCTTATCTTGACATGGTCTAATCATATTTTCTTTTCTTTATTAACCATTTTTAAGGTGCATCTGAAATAAATTTCAGTACTTTGCTCATTTACTTTGTATTGTTACACACCAACATCTATAATTTACAATGTCTTCCTAGCATGTCATGTATTATGAAAGAGAACAATGGCCATGTTGACAAGATTGAGCATGAGAAACTTTTTATTTGAAGTGAAATAGATGGTAGCAATAGACCTGCAGACGTTATAATACTGGCATGAATCTTAAAGAAAGATTGCACAACCAAGCGTAATTATTTTCATTATGCATTCACCTGGAATCTGCCATTTATTGGAAGCTTTCACTTCTTAGACAAACAAAACAAATACATGCACAAACATGTAATGAAAACGGACTATAATTTCTCCCTGAGGAGATGGATTGGGAGAGTGAGGTCCTTAAGAAGAGTATATTGATTTGTAGAACAATAAATAAATATAATCTTTGAGAATTTCAACAATTATAAACAAATTACAAATTTCAGAAATATTTACATACAAAGAACAGGCAAATTTTTCTCAAAATATTTTATATTAATTTAATAATTTAAATCAATTTATCCTGCCAACAGATTTCATATCGTTTCCTGCTGACGTTTGTGTTGTAAGCTGTGTCATGAACCATGGTTTTACTAAAAGCTGAATTAAATTAAAATCTGATAGCAAATTGATAACTACCTTAACATTAATATAGCAAAGACTGTTTTTAGTACTTTTGAAAGCTATAGTGAAGTTCAGTTTATATGTTGGGTTTTGTGAGTTCCTGATAAATTCCTGTTCTTCCCATACTAAATTTCAGATATGCAGTTTATATTTGTGTTTCTCACGCTTTCATGCTCATAATGAAACTCCTTTTAAAACTCTATAATGTCCAAATGATAATGATGCTAGTAATCAATAAGTGAGGACGTGTTGGCTGGGCTATCCGGGACGAGCCGCGTCAATGTCATGGTGGCTAACGTTTCGGCCAGCGTATTGTGGCCTTCTTCAGAGCATACATACGTCAGCAGTACATTTTCCTGCTTCAGAGCGTAGAGGATAGGGGCTGTAGTGCCATCCGGTGTGACTTTGCATAACGATCACCAACATTGGACAATAAAAATTGTGCGCATTTTAAGGAAATATTGAAACTCATGGTAATCAAACACTTAAAATGACATTAAAGGATTGGTGGCATGAAGTGGAAATTTCTGCGCTCTTTTCTACCGGCCGTGTGTATGCCTGGCCCACATGGCGTCTAAGTAATGTTGGTTACAGTTCCTGCGAGCTGGTCCAAAAGCACAGCATGCCTATGTAAAAATATTGACATTTTATTTTGCTCTTAATATTAAATTTCAGTGATGCATTTTTCCCACTTATATATTTTTTCCCTTCAGTTCCCTTAAAAAAGTATAAATGAAGTTTTACTGTATTTGGACAATTCCAATGAATGTTACTGAAAACTAATTCTCCAGAGATAAAAAAGGGTTTCTCTTTTGAAATATCTGGGCATTCACATTGATTGCTATTTGAAATGGGTACATGTAAAAAAAAAATTGTTAGTAAATGACAATATGAGGATAGGAGATGTCTCGCAAACAAGCAGCTGCCATCATGAGAATCTCCATCAACACTCCTTTCTGGTTAAGAGAGTGTTGTACTTGGCATGGCATTTTGAGGTTTTAATATTTCTTCACTAGCTTTAAAAACATATCTCACTGGAAGAAATAATTTTTTGTTGTACAGCTACTGCTTCATACAATGAAGACACTGATGTAATTGAGTTTATGGGCTCTGGGGACCGATTGCTTGGAGCAGCACTTTGTGGGAATGTGCCAGTCTTCTTCTCTAAGATTTATGGTTTAGTGTCTGTCTCTCCTGCTGATATTTCACCTCACGATCTTCTCAACAGGTAAGTTTTGTGAAATTGTACAACCTTTTTGGATTATTACATGCCAATGCTTTTCTGAAAAGATTTGTGCAAACGATTGTGGATTTATGAGATGCGCCACCTCAACAGTAGAGTTGCAACAGAGTTAATAAGGAGGTTGATTGCAGGATATGAAAAAATGATGTAGAAATTTCTTTAACATTTAAAACACGCTTTAAATAGTAAAAGGGTGTCTATTAATTTTAAGGTCATTCAGATGACTGTGCCACATTCGGTTCTTTTAAAATAAACTATAATAAAAAAAGGGGAGGCGTGTAAAATTAACGCCATTTTCTCAAACAAATTGAATACACCCCTAATTTTTCTGAGTGCAATGGGGCAGTGAGAATAAAATCGCAATTAATGAAATTTCAGTTATTAATTTATACAACTTTTATAGGAAATATAACAAGGCGTGAATTTTGATTTCAACTATGGATGTAACGACTAGACACAAATATTATTTCTCCTGTGTAATGCAAATCAATATTATTTACTATTACAAAAATAGGCAAATGCCCAATACAAAATGTATTAAATTATATAGACCGCAGAGGCTCAATAACCGAAATGATATATACAAATTTGTACAAAAAGAAAATGATATCATTGTTATATATATTGTCTGTTAATATAATGTGTTTCATATTTCTCAAAAACATATTGTGATCAATTAAAAAGTTCAGAGAATTATCTTTAGTAAATCTCATCAAGCGACAGAGGTGCATTATAAAAAAGGTTTGTTCTCGCCAAAGGTGGTAGTACAAATTGCAATAAATGATTCTGTGAATGTTCTCACAGACTTATCTAGAATAATATTCTGTTGTAGTTTCCCACAGTTGATTTGCCCAATGAATAATGAATAAATTACAAAAATTTCTCCTTGCGTACAAAAGGTGATAATGCTGTTTGTCGCTTGTTTCCTGCAGCAGCATGAGCATGAGCGACGTGCGCAGTGCCTCTGACATCACCATTTCTCAGCTGTCGGAAACCGGGCTGAACATCACCGTCACGGAAGCGGAGCTGAGTGAATTCACTGTCAACAAAGACATGACAACTCGTCTCAAGGCAGCCTTTCTGCATTACATCAAAAATAGGAAAGATCATGTAAGTGGAAGGTCGGAGGGAAAATTATAAATGACTTAAAGTTGAGACAACTTCATTTAGGATTCATAGCCATTTCTCTTGCTAGAATCACTTCCTTTAAATTTATTATGTTTATGCTTATACTTGTCATGCATTTAATCTCTGGAAAATGTTTTACATGAAATTTCTTTTTATAACAGACATATACTTTTTATGTGAGAAAACTACCTGACTTTGTTCTTCCAGCTTTGCCAGTTCATTCAGTTTCACTTTCCCTCTTAGCATCAAACCTGTTTGCTTAAATATCTCCCAGTCCTAATTGTTTTTGAAGATGACATTTCATTACAAGAAAGAATTTCAAACCCTTGATATAAAGGGTTACCAATGGGGTTGGTATCAACCCCATGGGGGTCCATGAAATTTTGAAGGACATCAATGACGAGCAAGACGTCAATCAATAACCCTTTGATTGCAAAAAAAAATATCAAATTAACTTGATAATTATCTTCTAATGTAAAGTAATGAAACATAATAATAAATTAAAATTTCACAAATTTCTTCAATTCTTTGAGAAAAATAAGTCAATTAATCCTTTGATTGAATCTGTCAATTTTGTTTATGCATGTGTTTGTTGTTGCAGTCAGAGAGTGAGCAGATTTTGCGCGAGTTGTTTCCTGACGACAGTGCTGAGGTGAATCCCATTCTCGACTCGGTGGTGGTGAGGTTGTGCAGAGACCTTATAAACGATGCACCAATGAGTGATCCTCGTTGGGCAGACGTCAAACCTGGAGGTAAATTGGGACTATTAATGTGATGCAAAAATAAAGACTGTGGAGGAGAAAAGTCTGGTAGACTGAAAACTTTGAAATATTAAATTACAAGATAACTTGAGTGCATTACAACATTTTTATTTCTTCAGCGATTAGCAGCATTTAATGGCTTGACCAGCTTTGTGTTGGAATTTGTCTACTCAATGTCTGACTAATCTGAGAATTAAAACATAGCTAGAGACAAAGTTAATTTGGATTATTATTTGAAGCCAAGTGTCTTGCTAACAGATCAATAAGATTAGATGAAGTGTAAAATTCAGCGATATTGAAAAGTTGAATGTTTGATTGATCTATTGATACTGCAATTCTAAGGTTATCTTTTAGTAAATGAATAGGTTTTGCAGACACGAGAAGTAGGAATCACAAGCATCCCGGTTGAAGCCCTGCCCTGTTCAGGGATATTGAGTTGTGTTCTTCCATCTTCCTCCCATTGCTCTCAGGGCCTGCACTCCACCACTGTAAGCATGATGTGGTCGAGGCACTAGCGAGCTATGCTCTCTGCTCAAAGAAAGGTTCTGGCTCCATCTAGGACTAATGAACCAGTTGTTGCTTCTGATGGAATGAGAGGGTAGGGCTGGGGGGTGGCATAGAAAGCAGAACCCAAACAATTGGGTCTAGATATTTTTCTTTTGTGAAAAATGTTTTACTGCATTTAAGAATGGAAAAGCTGTGTAATTGCCTATGCAAATGCTTTTGAAACAGGAAGAAATTAAATTTTTTTAACTTTAATAATGCATGAAACAATTTTCTTGTTTTAAACCAACATTTTTTTTATTGATTACTTTATTTTCTATCTTTAGGATCCTGTATAGGTTATGCATCCTTACAAATTGAACATCAGTTACAAGATAAGAGCAGGGCTCTTGAATTGTTTATTGTTTTCCTGAAGGATTTGAAGCTTTGGGATCGTGTAAGTGATTCTCTCTAAATACACTGGAAGTTCTATGCTTTTTTTTCTCCTTTTAAATTCTATTAAATTAATATTATCACAATTCTATAAGACAGAGTATAGAAAGTTCAGGAAGACAAAATTCCTGAATAAGTTTGATCACATATGTTAATTGATATTATAGAATTGGAATAACTGGGTTCTGTGTCAAACTTGTCTTTTATTTATGACTTGTATTTCAGTTTACTGCAGTTTCTACTTCAGCTGGAATAATGGCAACCTCATATGTACTTGAAGATTTTGCGGAGAAGTTGGTAGCTGCTATCTCATTGTACAGGTTGCAACCAGAGTAGGTTGATTCTCTTTTTTATTTGTTTATCAGAAGATTGTTATTTTCTTATAAAAAAAAGTGCTTTGGGTGGCAATAGATGGCATCAGGCAAGACCAAAAAGCTAGCCCAGACCAAAGAAATTAGAAATCTAACTAGTTCAAGAAAGCTTGTGCCATTCTGTAACGGCTCTAGTGAGTTCATAAAATATGAATTGGTAATAATAGGTCATTGTTTTTGGCTAATGCAACCACTAATCTTACAAAATTCACTAAATTTGAAATATTTAATTCACATATTCTTCTTATAGAATATATACATACAATGGCTGTAGGAAGTACTTTTTTTGTGTTTTTATGTTTTTTCCAAAAAATAAAATAGTGGAGTTGGAATAAAGATTTGCCTGACAGCAGAAAGGAAAAAAGGAAATTAAATGTCTTCTCAATGCAGGGATTCATCAACATTTGACCACAATGCACTTGCCTCATCAGAATGGCAAATTGTTTGTGTTGAATTGAATAAGTTCATTGAATACTTACATTTCTTTGTAGCATTTATTTCCTCTTTGTGGTTGTAGGTATGGACAGTTAGCAGAAGCTGTTTTAAAAAAGGTGTTACTCCTTCGAGAAGAAACTCCCACTGGAGGACTCAATTACCAAGATTTGTTTTACAAAGAGGTTTGTGAGAAGTTTGAGTCTTTGTCTTAATACACATCAGTGTGTGTTCAATAGCAATATTGCTAGAGTTTGGTTCTTTAACAATCATATCAACTCGCCATTTCACATGATAAAAATTTAATAAGCAGAGAGTTGCAGAAATATTTCATTACATTTTCTAGTATTTTGACTTTTATTTGGTGAACTTAGTACATACATCTTTATTTGATATTACATTTATAGGCAGTGAGGTGCAAATTAGAAATATTACTGTATTTACCCAAATATAAGGTGAGGTATTTTCCTAAATATTTCATTATAAAAGTATGGAGTCATCGTGTATTCACAGATTAAGCCTAGTCGGTTAGGATTTATGTATTTACGTTGCCTTCTATGTCATGAAGCTTGTAATGTTGAAATAACAATCAGCTGTGAAGAAGAGATGATACAATTAGCCTATCTATAATAAATACCTAAATTATTCATGGCCCTATTCTTGACATTGACTGCGATTTTTGCAGGGTGATTCAGAACTATATTTTTGAATAGGTTGGTACAGAGAGAATAGCATTGTATCAAGTGCAACACAAAGTGAAATTGAATAACTATTGTTACTGAGATTTTGTAACCTGATGTGCTGATCAGCAAGGCTGCGCAGAGTCTTGGTTCGATGCCTTGCGAGTGTGAATCTGCATTTTGGAAGAGATGAAAATGAAAAAAATTCACATTGACAGAAGTATGCATTCTACATTCAACCACAAAAAGGGATTATCAAAAAATATTTTGTAAGCAAAAACTTTCAAGACTCAGACACATGCTGGTATCTCTCACATGTGCGAAACTGAGATGTAGGGGTTTCCAGGTAAAGAATATGAAGAAGTTGAAGAATCAGAGGCCACACATAAGGGCAGGACAGAAAGAAAATTGGTGAAACAGAAGGGAATGTTCTTAGGTGGCATCAGATGCAAGACTGAGTACACTAAACTCTCAGAGGGGTCTAAAGAGCCAGAGGACATCAGGGTTTGGGAGGACAAACAAAACAAAAGAGAGAGGGGGAAAAAAAGGAATAATGATACATGTGAAGGTGTGTGTGAAGATGATGGTGACAAAAACATGATTATGATGCTTAAAAGCATCATAACAACAAGAAAATAGTCATAGCTTTGGCAATAAGTTTTATCATTCTCACAAGCAAGACAATTTTCTAACCAATTTTGATTGAATAGTATAGGTTAAAACATTTTAAAATTCTCATAATGTCTTTTCAAAATTAGGCAATCATCTTATATTTGAAGTCAACTTGTAATTGGATAAACATGGCATTTCACATTACTTGGTTTGTATGATGACTAGTGGATATGACCAATGTGGAGACTGAGTATTTACAAAGTATTTGTAGTTTTAGGCTGCTATTAGTAAAACCAGTTACTTTGTACCATGTGCTAAAAGTGAGGCAATGCTCAAATGTTCTGATAAAACTGTAAATGCAACAAAGAAAACCAAATACTTTCTCATCTGATCTTAATGTAACATCCACTGAGTTAAATGATTTGCTTATTTGAATTAAAATAGGCAGCCAGTAAGACTGACTAAAAGTCAATGTATGACAGATGTGGTAAGTAACTATTGTACACTATGCATTATAATTTCTCAGGGAATATTTTACAGATTTGAGTTTGTCTGCTATCTTTCATTTTCACACTTAGCAATTTGCCCAATCTTAATGTGCCCCAGACATAGTCCAGGGATAACCTATTCAGTAATTTGGCAAAATATGCATTTTGATAATTGACCCTATGAGATACCATGTTATTGTTATTAATGTGATTTTTATTGTAAATTAATTGTTAATGTTATTAATTTATTGTTATTATCATCATCATCCTGACATCTCTTGACACTTGTGGCAGTATTAGCAATAAGTAGTAATAAGAAGAATAAGAATAATTAGTGGTAGAGGTGTTGGTATTAATGTTAGTAATCCCAATTTTAGGTGAGTGAGGTGCACCAGTTCTTCCAAGTGGTAGCGAACTGGACAGAAGAGATTGTGCAGAGTGACAGGCAGCCTCAAGAGGTGGTAATGCTCATCTCTCAAATCAACACTGTCATTTTGGTGAGTTCCTTCTTCATGCTATCTCTTTTCTCTTAGAAAAAATCTCATGGAATTCAACGAAACCTTGGAGGAGTGCTGTGCTTCGAAATTGATAACTCTTTTGCATACTAGTTTGATGACATGAGTAGTAGACCCTGCCAATTTAAATGGTGGAAGTGCAGTTGTAATCTTTGTACTAATGATGAGTCTACTTCAGGATGTGTTTCCATCCTGTGCATCCTGATCAGATGCAGATGATACTGTTGTGAATGAACCAGACTCATTCGGATAGTCTCAGACATCTGTTGTTAAGAACCTCATTCCTTTGGTTGTTTAGTGTCATAATTATTTCCTAATGACAATGCTGTGTCAGATGAGGGGAGGGTATGTGAAATGAAACATCACACACCGGCTTCAAAAGAAAGCATATAATTAAGCGTATAATACTGCAGTAACCCCAGTTAAAAGTATTCGTAATTCTTATTGTTCTGTAAAGAGCTTTAAAATAAACTAATTGTTTGAAACCGTTTTTTCAAGGATCATCGAAGATCATTAAATGTTTCATTTATACCTTTTTTAGTTGAATGTTCATGTAACCCACCTCCCCTACATTTTTCGTATAAATATGTATTAAAAACAAAGTATGTATGTGTGTGTGTATATATATATTTATATATTTATTATATTAATTATTTTTAGGCTGTTCTTCAAGAAGTCCTGCAGTGTCGCCAACAGAAGGCTGCAATGTTTACTCCAAGTACATCCCCTAGCCCCGATGTGTGTGAATATGTGCCATGGACTGCTGCACCGGGTGAAGCGGGCCTGAAGGATTCCCTTGCTACATTGGTACTATTATATTTTTTACGTCAATCGCACTTGTATGGCTGATAATACTAATTGTATTTTCATTTCATTTTAGAAGCAACTTTCTCAGTAGATTACTATGATGGAAAGGAGAATAAAAGAAATACAGTAGAAATAAACATTAAATACAGAGAAATAAAATCAAATTCACTTCATTTCTAAACAGTGCAAATGAGTATTTTTGAGAGTTAAAAGGGAATTTATTAATTGAAATATTTCTCTGTTTTCCGTAACATAAAATACAGTAGTTATCTCTATGAAAGCTACAAAAAATTCAAAACATTTGGCCGTTAATGATAAACCTAAAGTGTTATATTGATGTTCTGCTTCTTAAAATTGTTCAAAAAATTACAAATCCTCTATTCAGTTCTGTAATAAATGCGTTAAATAATGCTGAATGCATTCATGCTATTTATGTCTAATTTGCTAATCTGTCTAATATTGTAAATCTTTTCTGAATGTGTATTTCATCCATTTCATGTGAGAAAATAATATACATCGGTGTTGCTTGTTGCTTTTAAAGAAAGAAATGAAATGGAAACTTATTTTCAATGTTGTTGATTTTACAAATGAAGTGAAATGTTATGAAGAGTATAACATTTATCAAAAGTCAAATGTAATAATTGTTTGTTTTCCAGCAAGATTTAACTCTCAGATATGGAGCTCGTTCTGCTGGAGAAATTATGATACGGAACCAGTTGTATGATCAGCTTGTAAATATTATTGATATAATCCTAGATGGAAGGAAATGTCAAATTGAAAGTATTCGTGGTACCAATAAATTTAACATGATGCTTCAAATGTATGAACGGGAACGACATGAAATTCTTGAACCATTCTGTAAGTTTCCTTAAATATGCTCTACTATTGAAGTTGCTTGCATTAGCTGTTACGCTTTAACAGATTACCCTTCAAAATCTGGGGTAAAATCATGTTATTAGGGGTAAAGGGATGAAGCTGTCTCTTTAATGGGTGAATTTGATGAATGTATTATTGTTTTTCTTTGCAGTGGAAGATGAAGAATATGAAAGAGCAGCCATTTTGGCAGAAAAATATTGTGATTTTGAAATCCTAATAAAAATGTGTGAGAAGACTAAAAACAAAGAAAGGCTGGAGATGTACATGGACAAATTCTCTGAGCAGGTGAGGTATTAAAAATAATTATTTATTTATTGTGGTCAGTTTTACAAAGTACAAACACAAAGAATTAAAAAGGATTATTACCTATATATAATTTGCATAACATTGACTGGCATTTGAATAGTTACACATGTTTTTCAGTACTCTATTCTAATTTTGTTTAAATGTGTGATTTGTTGTTAGTCTGCTAAGTTTTGGTGGTTAGCTATTTATCTAAACTGTCTTTATTTATTTTGAACATTATATCAGACTATTATTAACTCTGATTACTTTATTATAAGTAGAACCTGTCGAGTGATTTGCCCACAATGCTGAGGTGTTGAATGATTGAATCATGGAAAATTTAAAGCAGGGGCACCTAACCTCTAAGTCATCTTGTGAATGGAAATAAATTAAGTTGTTGGAATTTAACGATCATAAAATTACACATTGACTTGTTTTGTGAAATTAATTAATTCGCGATGTTGATTGTAACAAAAACATTTGAATATAGAACAAGCCATCCACGGTCACACTTTTCTAATTCTTGCACTTCTTCCCTGTTTCCTCTGGTATTCCTTTAATTCTTCTTAAATAAGGATGTCCAGGGAGGAAATGTTAAAACTTCGGAAATAAGCTCTTAAGACAATTTTAAGTATATTTTGCCTAATAAACTACTTGGATCTTCTGAATGACTGAGCCGCAATAAGCACTGAAAAGTTGGCTTGAATAAAATGCTTTCTAGGCAAAAATTCGCATTGCAAAAGCATGGAAACGCTTCAGAAATATGTTAATTGTTTATTTATCAAAAAGAACTGGATCTATTTGTTCAGAACGAAAAATTAACTGAGACATAAAAAAGTGCCAAAGTTAGTAAATTGGGTGCTTTTTTATTTTGTGCGTTAATTTTTCTTTCTGAACAAATATATTCCTTTCTTTTGTAAATAATAAACAATTTAAATATTTCTGGAGTGTTTCTATGTTTCTGCAATGTAACTTTTTGCCTAGAAAGCATTTTTTCAAACCAACTTTTGAGTGCCTTGCATCTCTGACATTCAAAATATCCCAGTAGTTTATCAGAAGAAATTTGCTTAAAATTGTCCTAAGAGCCTATTTTCCAATTTTCAGACAAAAATTCAAGTGAGCTATGCCAACACTTCTAGTTTCCATTATTCATGTTATTCATATTCCATTTCGAAACCTTACTTAAAACTTTGCTTTTGATGTGATTTTTCTTTTCTCAAGTGTCTTTAGTATTGTAGTGTTTCTCTCCCCCCCCCCCTCCCCCCAACTCCTTTTGTTCTAATCGCATTGTATTTCCAAGGTATTTAAAATGGTCACTTATTAAATTATTGAATATTTTATTACATTTTTGGCTTGGAGTTCTTTGCCATAAAAGACTAGCACAATTTGAATCACCTTATCTCTGCATTTATTTATTTCATTCATTTTATCTTATAAACACATAATTATAATTGTAATTTATTTTGCGGATATTTGGGATTCGTGGTGTTATTTTTAATTACTATGTAAATGCCCATGAGTGGGTGAATCCTATGTGGTTTGAGCAGAATAAATAAATAAATGTGATTAAGATGTTTTAATTGCATTTTTAAGAAAATATTGAGAGAGACATAGTTGTATGAAGTGCGGGAAGAGCGGAATTCAAATTGTGTTGGACTATCACCATCACATTCATAATCATTGCAATTTTCATGCTGATAAAATGTAAATACATTTGTACAGAATATAAAAGCACAACAATGTGTTTTGCATACTGGTAAGATTATTAATATTGAAAGGTTATAAATAAAAAAGTTGCAATAATATCTTTCAACAAACATTTTTGTGATTTGTTTCAATTCCAGGGCTTTGGCAAGTTCCTACTGGCTCGATACATGCAGGAACATAAATATGGTGATCTTTTGGAATTGTACTTGCAAAAGCCCAAACCATCTGATCAGCAGGATGAGTTTTCTCGTTTCCTGAAGGACCATCCTTCTCTGTCATGGGTCCAAGATGTTTTTACTGGCGAGTTCAAGCAGGCAGGCGAAACATTACAACAACTTGCAAAGAGAGAACAAGAACTAGTTCGTAGGAAAAAGGTACGTAAATTTATTTTCATATACAGTTGTATATCGTATATCATTGTCAATTTAAAGTGTTTTTTCAAGGCACCAAACATTTTGAATGTTGATAGTGGAAAAAAATGATATTGACAAATGCTCACTTCATGCAACTTCAAAGATAATGCATGGGTTGTGTGCCACGTCTTCAGCAGGTCCTAACAGTCTCCCTGCTTTATACCTTTCCCATTGGCCCCATTTATGAACAGTATCTTCAGGAAATCCTTGACACAAGAAAATTACCGTCTATATGGAGAAAAGCAATCGTAACACTGATTTTCAAGAAAGGTAATAAACAGCAAAATTACAGACCTCACAAGTCTTAGCACAGTACGGGGAAAGGTAATGGAGAGATTGATTGCCCAGAAGCTCTGCGATTGTGCTCAAAGAAACAAGAATAGTCTGAAACAACAGCATAGTTTCATTGCTCTGGAGCACCGACAACAAAAAATTTGCTTAGGTGATGATTGAAATAAAGCCCAGGATGAAGGTCAATTCATGGACATAATCTATCAAGATTGTGCATAAGCATTTGATGAAGCCCCACACAACTGACATTACCTCAATTTTTTTGCAATAAGAGGGAAATTGCTCAAACGGATCCAAGAATATCTTTCTGGCTGAGCTTTTCAGGGGAGCATTGGCAGTAAACTTTGAGGCAGTTTATTAGTGAAGTACCTCAAGGAGCTCAAGTACCCCAAGGAGCACCGTTGGAAATGGGCTGTCTTCTGAGTGAAACATGCAGAGGACACCAAGTTATTTGCTAATCCAACAAAGCACTATCAGGCTTTACAATTTGACCTTAAACTAGTAAATGGCTACTTCTTCTCAATACTAGTAAGTGCAAAATTCTACATATCAGGAGGAATAATCCACAGTACAAATTACACCGTTGAAAATCATTTCCTTGACATAACATTCATACAGAACAAAATGAGCTGTAGCAGTGAGGGCACTGAAAATTTGCGGCCATTAAACTGACCTTTGACAATCAAAGTTACATTTCGTTATACTCATTTGCTCCCCGTGTGTAATTTTATTGGCTAATAATGCCACAAGCTGGCTAACAGTTACCTTATGTGGATAATTTGGGGACATGGACCACTCGCTAAGGAGGGATCTACAACCAAGGGGAGAGACTGCACTCACTCAACTTTTAATTATTAAGATATTATACACAATAATTTGGCCATGCAATTGGGCTGAAGGCCCTAAGAAATCTTATGCCATCTCACACTTTGTCCTGCTTGCACTGTGGTCTTTGCTCTATTTCAGAGGCTTTAATAAAAATTAACAGCAAATTTAAAAATTAAAGAATAGTTTTTGAATTGCTTGTGAGAAAACAGTTCACAAAGTTTCTGTAAATTGTCTCATTTTCTCTCAACATTAAGCACGAAATGCTAATATTTCAAAACATATGTTTATGACATCATTTAAGGGTCAGATTTTGAAGATTATATTTTTTTAAAGAAAAAACCCCTATCTTTGATAATGTAGTTGTCAGAGGAAAGCCAACAAATATTGACGTTTTGCAATTTTCAAAATTTCTGAGTTAAAAAAAAACAGGCCTATGCCGTGCTATTGTGCTCTCTATTTGAGCCAAAAATTTAAGCAAAAATTTGAATTCACTTTTGAGCAAATTTTTAAAAATGACCATCATTTCCAACCTGATGGTGATTCTGTCCAAAGGTATTCTTCAGAGTATTTGTTAGGATTTTGCAAGGTTTGGGGGTGTGATTGTAAATGTGCAGTCCTAAATTCAATGAACAGGTGGTTGTCCCTTTTTTGTTTCTTGGTGTGGGACAGAGTAGGATGTGGGAAGGCCTCTGGGCACCACGTGCTTCCTGAAGGAGCACCATCTTCATCCATTTACTCTCACAGAAGCTCCTTCCACTGAGATGTAGAAAGGGGCAACTGTTCCGGGGGTATTTTGTTAGTGGCCAACACAATAGCTTTATACTGCGATTCAGGTCATCAGCTATTATAGTGCCATCCAATCAGGACTTCACATGTCACTATGGTGGCGCTCAACCCTCCTATTGGATGACACCAAACCGGCTGATCAGAGGCAGATTTTAAAAATCGCAGTATAATAAGAAACATCCCAATAGTATTTAATCATGGAAGATTTCCCCTGTGATGTTATCAGCAGGTATAACATTGGTACCATCACTTCTGCAATGAGCCTCCTGAATCTTCCTGAATAAGAAGGGAAATGTACAAATAATTTTTTTATATTTGAGAATAATTAGGAATACTGAGGTGTGAATTTGTAGAACTGTGACCATTGCAATAATTCTATTACTGCTGCTTTCTACTAGTTTCAACTTGATGATATTGTTTGCATGTTTTTTTTAGTCAATGGTGTCCCTGTCAAAGATGGCTCTGCTTGCGTCAGCGTTTCCTCCTTCCATGTTAGAAAAGGACTTGGAGGAGCTCAACACAGAGTTGGAGCTTATACTGTGCCAAGAGGATTTGCCTGAAACGGTTCTGCTGGCCAATGGCTATGATCAGGAGAGGCTGCCTGTACTGTCAGCCAGTGAAATAATAAAGGTAAGTTCTGCATTAGACTGCTTTGTGTTTAAAGCATAAATTCATTATGTCAGTCCCAAGAGAAATGTTACTACTACATAATATCTCTTTCAGAAAGGACACCAGAGTACATTTTCATAAAATTAAGAATATTTGTTTATTGATGAGGTGTTATTTATATTTGATTACTATAAAAGAGAAATATCGTTGTTCCTAACATTACTTAATATGATTATAAATGTTGGTAAAGACACTACTGTTTACGTAATCAAAAATTTAGAAGGTTTTTGAGTGCCTTTTGATACTGGTCTGTCTGGGATGAGCTGATGTTTCGGCCATCATGTTGTGGCTTTGTTCACGGCTATATTGCTGAATGCAAATTTTACAAATTGAGACTTCTTTTTGAACTTTCTATTACGCGTTTGGAAATTTAGTTCTTTTGGATTCTCCCTGCTCTGTAGCGTTTGTGGTCAAAAAGCACTAGAACTGGATCTGTAAGAAATTAAATTGAAGGACAAAAATGGATTTTGTGCGTGATTTAATCTCGGTGCTTAGCAATATTAGCATGGTTTTCTCACTGTACTGAACCGATAATGTTGTAATGAACAAACAGGGGCTGACAGTTAAGAGTTGGTTTCTCCTATGAAGCTATTTTCACTTTTGAACCAATTATTTTCCAAGTGAAGATTTTATTTAGGAGGTCGAAATTGTATTATTTATTTTGTTTGATATCATTCAAATGCTTGAAAAGAACACAGCATTTGAATAATTGTTTATTACAATTACATACTAACATTCAATTACTTTTAGTAAAGCATTTTATGTCGAGCTTGTTCAGTTATATAAAATGAATAAATTCTGCTATATATGTTGTGTGTGGAATAATAGCAATTTAATGATTAATAAGGAAGTTAAAACGTGTAAGTGAATATTTTGGTTATGCATTTTTTCTTTCTTTTTTTTCCAGCTATATATTTGTGATGAAAATGAGACTGCTACTGAAGCAGATTTTAAAAAGGCTCTAGATCTTCTGCCGTATATCAAAGACGAATTTGAACAAAGTGAAATGAGGTGAGTACGCAGATGTACTTTTGAAATCCTACCGACTTGGTATTTGCAAATTTGTTCTTATTCCATCTTTCCATGTTGCAGGCATACAATATGGTGTCAAGCAATTTTAAGAGATAAATGGGATGAAATAAATACAGATTCGCCCATTGATGCTATTCAACAGACCATTTTCTTTAAAGTTGTTGACCTTATGCAATTTTTTGGTAAGTAAAAATGTATTTCATTACTTTATTATGTACATATTCAGTACTCTTTATAATTTGAACAATGCCAAGATTGTTTTATGCTTTAGAATAAAGAACTTTGAGAGAAAGTTATGGCCCTGGAAGAAGTCTGGTCAAACATAGAATTGGACTGAAGGACCTGGAAAATAATTTAACTAATACAAAATTGCAGTAAAATTCTCATTCATTCTTTTATCATGTGTACACATTGATGATTGAAAGTCCCAGCTAAATTCCCATACTACACTTTTAAATTATATAAGATATACATTTTACATTTATCGATGTTTCACACTTAAAAGTGCATAATAAAACCCTGACTGTACAATGACATAATGACTGGTAAGTAACAAGTCCAAGTACAATGACGAGTCCAAAAAATTTGTGTTTCGTTCAGGTTTTACTCAGGTTGTCTAAGTTTTGTTGGTACATAAGGCATATCAGTCTGGAATCTGATAAGGAAAGGTCATGATGGTGGACAAAACCACACAGTCCAATCGAAACCAAAGATAATGTGGCTAGTACCCACTGGTGTCAAATGCTGCTTTGTGTAATGTTTGCATGCCATCCGTTATGGCTTTGCGTAATGTGTGCTAACATTGCACGGTAAAAAATTGTCCTATTTGTATAAAATGTATGGGAATAAAGTAATATGGGTAAAAATGGGGCAGTTGTCACATCATAAGGGGAAAATTTATGCTTCAGGTGAAGAGAAAAGCAAGTGGCCCAGTGACTTCAAAAAGGGAGAACTTACTTTTTAGAAAATGTTATGTATTGAGAATATAATATGAGCGTAGAATATAATATTATATGCATATTACATTTCTAACACAACTGTTTTATCAAAATACCAAGATTTTATTCAGCACATTCATTTTCAGTAATGTAGTTTTATCACTTATATATTACTCTCATTTGGTCCCATGAAGTATAAATGAAGTTTTATTGTATATTTTAATAAAACTAGTTCAAAAAATTGTTGAATGCATTAGGCACCACAACTGAATGTTAGAATAATATATTTGAAGCACTGAGAAAAGTTCACATTTTACAAACTTGTGTTATTTTCATGACTTGTATTATTTGTTGTAGGTGCAAATCCAGATGAAGTTCTTCCTTCATTGGGCCGAATGCTTGAGAGTCCAGAGTTGGGTACACTCCGAGAAAGCAACAATTTCAAATATTTATTACGTGTTGGTTACGAGTATGTTGAGAGAACAACAAAAGACATTCAGATTGCAGAATCGTAGGTTTTTGTTCATATTTGTAAATTTCGTTTTGTTTTTATAAATAAAATTATCTTCAAATCATGTATTGAAACATTCTTTCCTCCCATTGAATTTTAAAAATGGATTAATGTGATTGGATGAATGGGTTAATTAGCTTCGATTGTTAGTGCCTTTGCAGAATATTTTTTTCATCTTTTTATAGACTTTCTGATAGTCAGCTTAATGTTCCTTTGGATGATTGACATACCTGTTTCTGACATTTTTGATTTTTTTTTTTTTTTGCGCGTCACAAGCTTTATTATTACTCAAAAATTAAAAATTGTTTTTTCACAAGTCTTTGGTTAATGCTCAGTGGCACAGATTCTGGGTTCTATTCCCGTAGAACCTTATGTGAAATTTGTTATGACAAAACGAGTTTGCATTCTTCACAGGGGCTTGTCCAACCCCTGTGAAGAATTCTAAACCTTACTGCCGCTATCATCGTTCCATCCCAACTCTGACCAATAGATAGATAACGCAGATGGTGTGTGAGATGCGAGCACGCTACCTAATAGCGATACCCCTACTTGACTGCAACTGACGTGACTTTGATTATACAACAGCCTCTAGAAGGTGCTGGGTAATTAATAACAGAGGTACTCCCACTAAAATTAATGGAGGAATTACTCCATGTACGCTCAACACTCCTTTAGGAGCTAGGAGACACATTGCATCTATATAGACACAACAAATAAAAAAAAAATAGTTGTTTCCCCCCTGAGTGAAAATTCTCCTTCGCCATTCCCATTTTAAAATCTAGAGATGAAAACCTTATAACAAACTATCGACCTCTATCTATTTTGAGTGTATTTCTGAAACTGTGGATCTATAATTACCAATAAAATCAAGTGAATTTTTTGCCTTTTGAGGGTGCAATCTGATAGCGGAATAACAAGAGAAATGTACTGTGTGTTTTGAATCAAAGTGCCTCTGTTTCTACCACAATGTATTAGTACTGCAAGAGAATCTAGAATGCAAAGGAGGAAAGGGCTAAATCAATAACAGTGTTTTAATATTAACCAAAGTCAAACTTTATTTTATATTGTATTTAAATACCTTGATATATTTCACAAATTTTTCCATGGAAAAATAAGGAAAAGATCTGGATAATCTGGAAAAGTCAGAAAAATTCATCCTAGAAAAAGAGTGGTCCACCTGTTGTTATTCTTGAAAATGTCAATGCAATTTATCTTCATCTACTATTTAGTTGTTTACTTCATATACTATTTCTTTGTTACAAGATTTACTTGATATACTACTTAGTTGCATAAAAATAAACAAATCGATCCCAGGCAGTTCCAAGTAGAATTTGTGGTGGACAAAGCGGGTTTGTTTCAGGTTTTCTCAGGGTACTCCAGTTTCGCCTGCTGGTGTGCTTTCCATCAGTCTCCTCCATCAATGACCATCATTCCACTGAGGATGCAAGGAATCCTTGCTAACCGAGGGACTGACTGAGTAGGGCTGAGGGAACCTCAGTGGTTTATGGATGGGATGGGCGGGCCCCGGTCTGTTGAACGCCCCCTCCCAAGACACGGGCGAAACGGAGTGGATGGAGGGGCGGGGAATATAGCAGGCTCCTGACGGAAAAAATCAGTGTACTAAAATTAGAATGGAAACCATGAATCCATGCCTTGCATGATTATTGGCATGCACATTTCGAGGTTCCTCAAAATTGGAAATTCGGCAATCGTGGTGTTGTTTCTCAAGGTGGATAACAGGAGAAGTGTTGACAAAGAGAATTCTAGTAGTTAAGTATCAGTTGCAGAAGTGTCTCATCTTTAAACATTGAATAATGACCAAGGTGACTAAATTAAATAAATTCGGCTACACATGTCCCATGGCCATTGACAACTCAAGAGTAGAGAAGGTTTGGAGTATGTATGTGCACGTCCTATGGTTTTCACTCTGGCATATTGGTATACGTTTTTTATAAATATATTAAATTAAAATTATACAGCTTACAGATGCAACACGCTGCAATACACTATTGTACATGAACATTGGAAACATGTTTTAGAGCCTTAAAACTTGATTTTTGTGTTCCCTGGGCGATATATTTTGTTGTCTATGACATAATCAACAAACTGAGACTTTTTCAATTTTTATTCCAAGCTTAGCGTTTAAGAAAAATATACTTCTCTTCATATTTGCATAAGTGTATGTGAAAAGCATATTATTAATAATATTGTAATAATTTTCATGGGTGAACAATATTAGTTCTTACAAAAGTTCGTAGTAATGTTTTTTCACTTAACATAGCATTACACATATTGGCGGATCCAGAGGGGGGGGGGGGCAAGCCCCTCCCCCAAGTTTTCGTTTACCTTCCTTTATTTGTCAGAATTGATTTAAATATTCTTTTATGGCCGAATTATGTAATTATTTAAACTAATATTGTATAGTATCAAATCTACAGTACGTAAATAATATACAATCTAATAACAGATATTCATTATTTAACTCTAGGATGGCCCCCTCCAAAATGATCGGCTGGGTCCGTCCCTCATTACATGTAAACAAAGGGCTCTAGAGACAGGTATTTGGCTTTTTCTCGGTTTAGCGAAAGGTGTGTGTGTGTTTCTAGCAGTGTTGCATTTCGCGTTTTACTGCTATGGCTAAGTGGCTGGCGTGGGTTCCTGTCGGACCTTAGTCAATAGCCAAATCGGCTGTTGTGTTGCACTACGCCCTTAGAATAACGGGTGTGCTCGTCTTCTTTGCCCTATTGTAAGGAGCTAACTGTTTTAGCGTTGCCGGAGCTTCGTTGAATTGATAGGCGTCGTTAAACGCAAGCATTGAGTGAAGGACTCGATATCAAGTTCCTTCCTCAGTACTTTCAACCGTTTCCGGAACGGAGGGCGTGCTATGGGCCGTAGAACTTTGTTCTGTGCCAGCGCAAGTGCATCCTTGTGCGTTTGTGCTGTGGTCCCCCGCGTTCCATAGTGTGTCAAGCGGGTGGCACTGCGAGGGGAGTGTAGGTGCCCTCAGAAGAGGTTGTAAGACGCATATTCGACTTCCGAAGGGCTTGACGGCGCTCTCAGCCGTGCGGGAGGAGGCGACCAGCCCAATGGCACCCGCTTCCCTAAGCGAGGGGAATTGAATATGTTGGTGATGAGATTTGTCTTGTTGAGACGAGAGATGCAATGAAAGTTGGAGCTGCTGTGGCCCATACCTCATTTTATATCGGGAGACGGATCTTACCAAGGGCTTGCAGAGGCGTGTTTTGGTTCTAGTTGCTACATAAAGAAAGCGAAGTGAGGGACTGAGTCTAATAAGGTGTTGCTAAAAGATTTTCCTGGAATCTTAAACTTTAATTCCTAAATATTTCACCGTTCGAGTTCAATCAGTCGTGGTGTCGTATATTGTAAGTTTTGGGTTTGTTATTAATTGAGTTTTCTCTTCAAAGTGAAGATCATTGCTTGGCATTTTTTCTCATTTAATTTCAGTCCATTGTCTGAACACCAAAAATGTAAACTGCGATTAGGAGAGATTGTATTTTTGTTTTAAGGTTCGTCTTGAAAACGGATAGTTTTCGCGTAATTTTGGGCTAATTATAAGAAATTTTTATTTTAAAAAATTTTTTTTTGGTCAAAAACCTGCTCCAGACGTTTTCTTTAAATTTTTCCTCGTATGTATCAGAGAACGGTAAAAAATATGACGCTAGTCCCATTTTCTGTAAACCCTCTGAGTTTTCGAAAATTGCAAAAATTTAACATTTAAAAACTACTGAAGATGGTGATTTCGTCTTCAACAAAATCTGTTTTAAAAATATTGGGTATTTGAAAAAGGTCATGTACGAATTGTTTTTTAAAACCGAGTAATTTTCACGAAATTTCTGGTTGAAATATGTAATGTCAATTATAAAAAGAATGTTTTTTCAAAAGCCACTCATTTTTTCTTTGTATTTTTTCCAGGAATAAAATAAAGGAAGCTTAAAAGAGAGGTGGTGTCTGAACTTTTGGAAACATTGGGTAGGAACAATTCGATTTTTGGGCGTCGGCCCACATTAGATCGTCGACGTAGTTCCGTAGCGCAAAGCTCGCTGCGAGGACCTGTGTTCGTGGCACGGTGCGGAAAAATACCGGATGAAATCACTTTGGCAGGTCCATGTAGTAGACCAAATGAAATTGCATACAAGTTACAAATAATGCGAGAATGTATGTGCCGTTGTAGCAGCACTAGTGTTTTTATAATTTATTTTTTTCATTTAAGAAAGAAACGTTTACAACGTAAAACCACACCACCAATAATAGTTTATTTTAATTATTGGCTTTAATAATTCTATGTTACAATATAGATGTTTGCTTAAAAACATCGAAGTCCATATCGCATCCTTAGTTCCTTTTCCTCCTTATACCATAGAACAGGGACGAAACATATTGAAATCACCTCAACAGTGGCGTAACGTTCGGGCCCGGGCCAAAGAGGGCCCTTTTTGGGGGATATATTTATTATTTAAGGTAGTAACACTACTCCTGTTAGCTTTACACTTTCATAAAGGGGGCTCGGATAAATGTTTTGCGGGCGGACCCGCACTCATTTCGTTTACTGACCTCCACAATACGAGCTCAATTTTTCTGTCATAAAATCCATGTTCTCTTCGAGTAAAATCCAATTCACAGACTAGTGAAGGTCATCGGTGAAGCACCGGAGAAAAACCTTTCTTGTTCTGGCGTCCGCTTCGATGTCGTCCAAGCTTTTGACAAAGTGTGACACTCGGGACTCAAAATCAAAAATATATTGCCCCACACATTGTTCGCACTACTTCGCTCCTGCCTGACTGGAATACATTTCCAAATAACATTAATGGAAGAAACATTCTATCTTGTCGCCGACGGAGTATCGCTAGGAAGTGTCCTCGGTTCGCAACTATATCTACTATACACGGCCGACCTATCAGTCTATCAGACATCACGACAGCCATGTTTGCAAATGACACAGCGTTGTTAACCTCCCATGAAAATGCTTTCGCAGCATCAGAAAAATTTCAAGAATACCTCACTCTGCTGCAGGAATGGTTCACTGATTGGTGTATAAAAACAAATGA